TACTTGTTACGACGGGCTACACAACTACCAAGACACGTGATCACAAATGATCACTGATGATCATTAAGGATCACTAAGGATCACGGTATAGGTGATCACTGGTGATCATTAAGGATCACTAAGGATCACGATATAGATGATCACTAATGATCATGAAGGATCACTAGTAATCATGGAAGCATGAAGGACTATATAATCAAGATGGATTTCCTTTGTATAGAGCTTCGTGCTCAAGATCAATCATTTAGTATATCCTACTATTAGTTACGAATTGCATTTCATTATTGTCATTACTTAAGTCCCTGCTTGACGCCTAGTTATAAACCATCTCGAGAGCCTAGAGCACTTCCACGTGATCTAGACGGCAAACCTCGTAACAATACTACAGAACGGGAACAAAATCAATACTATATATACATAACCCTATATCCGCCATAACCTCGACCACATCCTTTCATATACCCGTTGACTTCTCATTTATAGATTCTGTGTATGCAATTGATTATACTGATCTTTCATTTTCCGGTAAATTGGCTTACGTACGGACTCGTGTCACGGTGGTGTCACGTTCATGTTATGGTCACGGCTAATCACCCAATTCCCTGTCACGGTGTCACAGCAGTCAGCCAATTACCATTACGATTGTCGTCACTGCTAGGAATATCAGATGGGCACGGTAAGCTACGCCCCGCCGAACCACCACCGGTGAATAGCCACCATTGTCGAGAAGCCAGCCGCTACTGGAGAGCTGTTCCCGCTGTGATGTCTGCCACAGTTACGTGTTGATTGATTGATTAAATTAACGTCTACACTGAGTCTATGACTATCTAAGACGGCCAGGAGCTTTGTAGGCTTCTAACAATAATAAATGGAGGGTAGCTGGCCTTACTCGACCGTAGCTAATACAGGTTGGGGAGATTGAGAGCCTCAATCTTCTAATGTTTGAATGGGGGAAGTGAAAACTAATACTAGGGAACCAAGCCCGACAGTTACGTGTAAAGGCGTGAGGTTTGAAGCAATGCAGCGCCCTTGGATAGAGAATTCCTTTAAACAGAGTATCTACCAACGATGTATCGGGAGCTCTTTCGGAATCACAATTATCTTCCATCATATTATGGTTTAGGCTGGAAATCGGATAGCAGTTTATGTGACGCGGGACATTATCACATGATGTAGAGGCACGTGACACTTTGTTCCCCCCAGCCAATCAAGGGTAAGAATTACCACCACTGCAAAACCTCCACCGTCTAGCTTTCTTACCGTAGTCTATTGAACTCCATCTAATATTCTAGTATGTGAATGTGATTCGCGACATGTTAAGATGAAATGTACAAAGGAGCAGATTGTGTACCAAGCAGAACTAGGCAACAAGGATGTTGATTTCGCATCTGGAATCCCCGAGGCTGCATGGTTTCTCGAAAACCACACGTTTGCCGTTGGCTACTATACGGAGTAATGTGCGCCAAATCTACTTCAATCGAAAACAAACAAGCAGGTCTCGCCATTATGTAAAAGTTTGTGATTATGTAGTGTGTCGCGGGGTTAATCTACATGGATGTGGTGTGGCAATTGAGAGAAGATGTTGTTAATATATGGTTTGGACTTAGAGAAGGAGATACTCTTGTCTGATGACAGACCAACATGGTAGCTTGGTCTCACCATGACGGTGATTGAAATAGTGAATATTTACTCCATGATCAATCTTAAATCTCACTCAATGGATTTTGTTCCTCTCTGTCCAAACTTTCCCCGCCGGGCTTGCCAATGATGCTGGTAGGAGGCAATCAGCTAAAATGAAGCCGGATGTACAATCGATCAATTCCCAACACCAGCACCTTCACTGCAGAGCCCAAGATACCACGTCTCGAAATTCACCTCCATATATGATGGTCCAGCACTTTGGCATATGCTTACACCCATTTTTTTGAATACTATCATGCTCTTCGAGGGATTTGGCTGATTGCAGAATTCCATGACAAGCTGTTTGCTCATCATTTAACACTTTCGAACCGACGGCGAGATGGCCAGGTGTTAAGCACCAATGATGACCACAGAGATGTAGGATCGTTTGCGCATTTTTCTCCGACTTTTCCTGAGAGACCGACCGAAGTAGATCTGGAGTGAGCCGGGGACCTGGATTGCGAATCGCGGTGACCAGCGCGACGATATGATACACATAGACTTTCGTTCTACTGCCTTTCGTGAGGATGACCCCAGGTCTATCCTTGTTCGCATTCCTGCCCTCCCTAAGCTTAACAGACTCATTGATTTTTCCATCTTTTTCCGTTCTCGTCACAAGTGCCGAACAGTGATCCAGGGGTGTGACCTGGTTGAATTGGAGGTTCGCATCATTGAGTGCTTTTATAAAAGGGAGTAAAAAAGAATTCATTCTTCGAAAACAGCCACGAGGATCTTGGGCCAGCAGTATTTTATCGTAGTACTGGTCGACGTCTTTGAAATCCAAACCGAAAATCGCCAACATCTTAACATCAGCCGACGATCCAGATGCAACGGCTTTTTCCAGTGGAGCCTCCAGATTCACATTTCCAACGCCATCCAAACCCAATCCAGATTTTTTGGCTCCTAGACGCGGAATCACAAGTTTTGTCTCCACTGCTCTTGTTATCTCTTGGAGGTTTTTCATCAAAATGACTATCATTATCCAAACTCTTATACGACGTATAATCCAAACTAAGTAAGTTTAAATGTTCTTTTTATTCGGCCAGTTTGGGCGGCATGGCCATTGGAACCTTTTAACATGAGCTAATGTTGCGTTTGACACGCTTCGCCGGCAGCCGAGTCTTGAATTGGGGAAATTTCGTGTAAAGGGAGAGTCGAGAAAGGGATGAAGATTACGTTGTCTACTAAATCCAAATGGAGAGTTTGAATGCGTAGTCAAATCTCCCTCATCGTCACTCTTCTCCACTCACTCAATCGGTCGGCTACTTCAGTCTCAGAATCTTTTTGAGCTGCATACACACCCTCCATCGCAACATCTCCTGCAGGGTGGTCCTCCATCCAAGCCTCCCAGCATACCGTGCACCTTTGAGCATGGAGAGCCTGGCACTGATGCATTACTGCGCTCATGTGTAGCAAACGCATAGCGACGTATTCGTGACTGCGAGGCTGGCGGGGAAGTTCAAAGTTGGTGAGACGGTAGTTGAAGTACATGTGACAATTAATACGACTCTTGTTAAGGTTGTGGGATTCCTCGATTATATGACGCGGGTTAATATTACTGTTGTGTATTAGCTATTGTGAAGTGTGATTATGACTCGCTATCCTCCAACCTCCACCTTCCTATATGGATTTGATAGCTTCCTCCTTTATATCCTTCTCCCACATTTTCACCCCACAATACGGAGTATAAGCACGTCATCAACAAGGGAGCATTCGTCATGTGATATATCAAGGCCCTCAGTCCCCGATTGGGAATAAGCTTTCTCTCACCGCCTTTTGCTCTCTTTCGAGATATTTGATCGGAATACGAAAGTATGCAATATATTTGTCGTTCTATGATTACATATGGCTTCAAACTAAATTATCCATACCTTGAGGAAACGTGGTTTATTTACATGAATTGATGAGACTTCAAACTGCCGAAAGAATGGGGAATACTTAAAGCACAAGCCGGCCAGCGTTCGCCATCTCCCATTCACGATCCTTCTCCAACACAATCGAAGTCAACCTTTTGGAGCTCTAACCATTCATAAAATGCATGCTTCAGTTGTCCCTCTTGTCGCTCTGGTTATGGCCACTTTAGCCCAGGCATCCGTTACTTGTGTGAAGGTAGGAGCAGCGGCGAAAGCCACCTGGACCAATTCGGCAGCACAGACATGTACATGGACAGGAACGGTTGGAAGTAACTTTGGGACCAACACCGTCAATAGTGGAGAGTAAGCTTTGTCCAGAATTCCATGTTTCTCTCGCATACTGATAAATGTCTATAGCTACAGCTGCAATGGACGCTGCGGAACTGGTTGTACTGGAGTTGCGCTTGGCAATTATTAGTATGTTAACGCATGAATTTTAAGAGTTGCCTCGAAAGAATGTAGAATGCTGATGAGGGAAACTTGCAGCACACAAGATTGCTGGAATCACGACATATGCTCTTACTTCAACAACGCCTCTGGCGGCGCAAGGTAAGATGTTTCACAAGTTCTTTCGTTTTGACAGCTACTTATCAAACGACACATAGTGATGTCAACTGCGGCTCGGCATTCACGGCTGCAGAGGAGGACTATCTTCTTGGCGGAATCGATGGTTGTAGTCAGACAAATCCTGAAAACCCGGCTGCGGTGCCTAATACGAAGCCTGTCTGTGCCTGATGCATACGTCATATGTAGAATGTATAGGCAAAACAGGCTCGGAAGAAAGCAATGATGTTGGTAGTGAAAAGAAAAAGATTTGGTATCATATTATCAAATACACGCATGCACAACAAGCTTCTCCTCCCTCAACCAATTTCTAAAACCCCATACATCAACCACAGCACCCAGAATGGGAGAATCCAACAGACAAGGCGTGAATTTAGTTTCCCATCTGCTCCTCTTTTGGACCTTGCTTCTGCCCACCCCCAAAAATACCCCCAACATATCCACCTGCACTCTTTGCACCATCCGCCAGGCCAGAACTAGCATTCTGTGCGCCGCCCACAACTCCTTGCCCAACATCTTTTGCATTTCTAATAACTGGATCCGTGAAGGCTGACGTAGGACCACCGTATGAACCATCTTCGTCTTTTCCTTTGCGCTCCATTCTGTTGATACCTTCCTTCCCAGCCAGGTTTCCGACGGGGGCCAATAGACCATTCTCTCCGAGTTGATTACCGACAAGATTATGCACGTCGTCTTGAATTTGGTCGATCTGTGAGACGCCGGTGACTTTGGTTTTGTTGAGTGTATCTAAAGTTATGATTTAGCTTCGAGGATGTGAATGTTGAAGTCTAGGTCGACCAACCTTTTGTTACATATGATGCCTTGTTGTCCCCTTTCCCAAACCATTTCAAATATTGGTCTTCAATCCATGGCATCCACTTCTCATATTGATCGTTGTATGCCTCCTTTACCCATTCCGTATATGTTTGTTTTTGTTTTTGGTCATCGGAGAGATTGTCATAAAATTGTTTCTTCTGTTCATCCGTGTGCTCGGGAGCCGACATTCCTGTCGCTTTCTTCAAGGACTCCATGGTACTATTTTAAATCGACAACTTTAACGTTGTTGGGAATCGTGATGTGAATTTGTGATTATTGTAAACGATGTCGACGAGATGTGTGGTAAAATATTTTTAATTGTCAAAAATAAGATCTTACCAAAACTCTTAACAATCTTAATATATATATAATCAATGAATTTTTGCTGGGCAAAAAAAGTTCCATGACGTAAATTGAAGATGTTCCGATTGCCTTATGATCCCATTGTCGAAATCCTGTTTTGCCATTCAGGGATGCAGGCTCATTACGATCCAGCGGGGGTAGGAAGACTGTTAGAGGCTAGGAACCCCCAGAGCAGTCCTATGGAACAAAATATTTGGGCGAATGCAAACGAGATCTAAAAATGATGATGATGATGTAGTGTAACCCCAGTTCTGCAACTATTTTGCACTTGCAAAGCCACCTTTTTCTATCACATCCACCTTGAACGAACAATCAATCCAGCAAAATTTCATATAAACTTTTGATGCGAAATCTCTTCATTTAAGCTATGAGCTTTAATGGAATTTCAATTGGACGTAACAATGTGAGCTTCTGATGTATATCGAGTAACTAGGGACTGATCGAGTACACTCGTGAAGTAGGAGAATTCCGGGGACCACGTCGAATATAGTGGTACATTGTATTTGCCGACCCAAAACGCCGTGAGGATAAGCCCGTTAACGCCTCAATGTTCCTCCCACTACCATCCACCTCTGAATCCCCTTCCCCTGCCTCTGAAGCCACCTCTCCCTCCACCACGACCTCCATACCCGCCCCCCCTGCCGCCGTATCCGCCGTCGCCATATCCTCCATCGTAGCCTCTTACCGCCGAGGTGTGATCCATATCATCTACCATAGGTCTTGACCTCTTCATCTCTTTCGGAAATGCGTCGTATGTCTTCCTCATTTGCGCGTAACCCAAATGCATTTTCCCGTAAAAATGGTCCGCCAATCTCCTATCATTATCCAACCGGCTCAAATAAGCCCCACAGACATCACAGACTTGTAACTTCTGGTGTCCCGAAGGTCCACTGGTGTCTGATAGTGCCTTCAACTCCTTTTCCTTCTCCACTTTCGTCTGCATAGCTTGTCTGATGCGGAAGAATTCCTCATAGGCGCGCGATACCTCCGATTGTTCTCCTAGAATCTGAATCTCCAACAACCCTGTCTCAATAGATTTCGATAGGTCAGATATTTGTTTCAGCAGGGCGTTCGTCTGTCGAATTTCATCGGGCGTTTTCTCCAGGCGTCGCTGCGCAACATCTATCCTCCTATTGCATTCATCGATATACTTCTGTAAGTCACGCATGTAATCGTATTCGAATCCCCATTTTTGTTTTTGGGGAGGGGCTGCAGCCTCATACTCCGTCTTCAAAGGTTCTGAATGAATTTTTGGACATGGCCCCAAGTCTTGCTTTGTATTCGTAAAGAGATCGTGAGGACAGGTGCCGACGAGGAAGGAACGGCAGATCTTTGGATCTGTGATTGACAGTTGAGCTGCGCGAGATGATGCCCCCGCGCCCATCAGCTGCTCTGTTGACAAGTTATGTTAGTGGGAAAAGAATAACAGATTTTTGACGCTCGTAGAAGAATTGCAGCCGCATTTAATGAAGCGCAAACATTCTCCAATTCGGAATCAAAACAATCACTTACCTAACAGCTTTCTTTGCTCGGCGGCCATATTTCGAAATGTATAATGTACGTTGTTGTGATTTTATCTCGAAAGAATTGATCGAAAAAGCTCAAGAGAGGACAAGGCTCGGGCGGCGTGGGAAGCGCATGGAGCCGCGATAAGGCTGCACACTAAACCACTAAATTGCTTCCCCAGACTCCAAAAGGTTTTATCATCAATCAATCGATCGCTCGCCAATCAACCATCCAATCCTTCATTCATTCATGCCTTGCTTCATAATTCAATGAGGAGCTTCCTGACGATATGGCATTGGCGTTGAATGCCATGGATCAAATCTGCTACATCTTGTGCCTACTGTTGGGTCTATTATCCACCAGAGTAATCGCATCCTCAGATTATCACGAGCAACTCCTTCTCCAACCACTGCATCCCTCCTCTTTACTTGCTTCCTTCAATTTTCAAAGCAACACCAGCCTCAAATCGTTCGAAAAGCAGAACTTCCGCTATTTCCCAAGATCTTTAGGACAGATTCTTCAGTATGCGAACACTAGAGAATTACACTTGAGGTTCAGTCTGGGGAGATGGGATGCTGAGAATTGGGGCGCGAGGCCATGGGGTGGTACAAAGGAAGGCGGAACAGGTGTGGAGCTTTGGGCTTGGGTAGAAGCTGGTACTGATGAAGAGTACGCTTGACATCTTCAAGAAATAGATTTAGTAGGCTAACACATCCTTAGAGCTGATGATCGCTGGTTGACTTTGACCAACGCATTGTCTGGTCTCTTTTGTGCCTCCCTTAATTTTATCGATTCCACGAGAACAACGAGACCGGTATTATCATTTCAACCCGTCGGAGATCACTCAAACTCTACACTGTCAAACCTACACCTACTGCATGGAACCCTGCCGCGAGAAGTTGTCTGCACAGAAAACTTGACACCGTTCTTGAAACTGTTGCCCTGCAAAGGAAAAGCTGGCATCTCGAGCTTATTGGATGGGCACAAATTATTCGATGCATCATGGCAGAGCATGTCTATTGACGTGCGACCTATATGCACAAGCGATTCAAATGAATGCCAGCTTCAAATCACACAAACCATTGATATGGTTCTGGATGTCCAAAGATCCAAACGCCCGAGAGGTTGGCAAATCAGTTCCTATCATGACCACGGTGCTAACTCTAACCAGATAATCCAATTCCACGACCTGTCCCTTTTGAGGATTTGAAATGCGACACCTCTAGGGCATATCATGCTGAGGACACCTGTTTCCCCCTCGATAACTCTGCCGGAGAGGAGGATTGGAGTTTATCGCAGATTTTTGGCCATTCACTGAAGGGATCCTGCCCACTTGCCAAAGATGTTGAAGATTCTGTTTGCATAAAGGTCCCTCATGCGCGCAATGTCTTTATTTCTGGAGGGGCGGTTGAGCACAAAGATTCTTCTGGATACAGCCGATGTTTTCGATTACAACAAGACAGTGATTTCGAGATGGTATTACCTCGACAAGATATTCAAGAAAAGGCGCCATTGGAGCAGCCGCTACTTTATGCCGAGCGCTCTTTCATTGGGTATGGGCAGGAACGAGGTGGTGTACAGGCTATTCTTACGAATCCATCGCCAAGAGATGCAGTTGATTTTGTGTACATGGAGTCGCTCCCTTGGTTTATGAAAGTTTATCTTCACACTCTTGAAGCCAAGACGAATGGCTTTCACGAAGATGTCATACAAGAAATGTTTTATCGTCCAGCTCTAGACCGGAAGAGGGGAACTCAACTGGAAGTGCGCATGCGTATTCCAGCGAACTCTACGGTCATTTTGACCTATGACTTTGAAAAGGCAATCCTTCGGTATACAGAATATCCTCCCGACGCCAATCGTGGGTTCGATGTTGCTCCGGCCGTTATCACGATTGGAAATGTTAGCATCCGTACCACGACCCTTTTGCTTCCCCTTCCAACGCCGGATTTCAGCATGCCTTACAATGTCATTATTCTTACTAGTACAGTAATGGCCTTGGCATTTGGAAGTGTTTTCAATCTTCTAGTGAGGAGATTTGTTGCAGCGGATGAAGCTGAAAATTGGGATATCAGGGCTGTTAGATTACGGATTGCATTGCTTGTGCAGAAGATTCTGGCTCGGATGGTTGGGCAAGCGAAGTATGGCAAGGAGGAATAGGATACGATACCCACCACATAATATAAATCATTTATCCCTAATTCTATCTCGAAAGATAACCACTGTGCCATTAGGAAATCATAGGACGCAGGCTGGAACCCGTTTCTTCTGGGACCTACACAGATCTGCATAGCTTGCTTCTCGAGAATGCGCATGAGGTCCATGAGGCCCATGAGGCCCATGAATCCCAAAGCCAAGTGCCCAATCGCATTTTCGTCTTGCCGGTTCCCCACATAACTTTTGCATCCAAGAAAAGGAGGTAGCTAAGCACGTTGTGAATATGAGTGAATGTTGAATACCCTCGATGAATGACGGGATACGGAAATCCCCTTTCCCTCATGCTGAATTGTGAAATTATCGGTGGTAGGTTTCTTGGCTTCGGCATTCGCGACACAAGATTTCTGAACACTCTGATCTCTCTGATGACTCTGATCGCTCTGGTTGATGGGTTGATCACGGGGGTCGCCCCACCTAGTCGGATCGGATCATCTATCATCCTCTCCGGCTTCGAGACCTAATTCGGATACTTGTCCGGTGTACCCCATACAGTCTGTAAGATGTAAGTGCCGTTTCGGCTCGTTTGTATGGTCACACCGGTCACTCATCCATCTATCTATCCATTCATCCCTTACATAGCATCCGCGTGCCGGGCAAAGGGACAAAGGTCAACATCCTTATCTCCATCATCATTTATTCTATCTTCCCATGCTCAGGAGACCTTTCTGTAACGTTACGTACTCACCATGCTCGAAAATATCCGTACATCATCTCCAGGTGGCGTCAGCTTCATGCCATCAAGTCTGCCCGATCAAATTCCGCAACCCAGTCGCAAGATCCTCTGCGATTGCCCTTCTATGGCGTACCATGAACGGTTCCATCTAGATTTGCATATCATTTCACCTCGTCGAAAAGCTACTGTTATGATCCGTCTGGAATATATTGCCAATGCTTGTGGCTTCCACTTTGAAGATTCTAAATTAGGATGCACGACCTCCAAGCAGTCTAGCGCAATTTAAAAAAAAGTCAAAAACATTCTAGTGTGGTAATCTTCCATCCTTTTAAAGTTCAAATTGAAAGTTAAATAAAATAGATTTCAAGTTTGGGTCGATCTGCCAGAGTACCGCATAACCTCACTTACTAACTCGCTAAGGATTCAACGGTACAGGCAATGTTTGTGGGCGGATTTGACTCCAAATAGTGGATCAGAAAACTCTTCCAGAACATCTACGGAGTATGTGGTTCATTCCCTGGTTTTCAACCAACCGGCTTAAACCTATGGTGACTTAAGTGAGTTCAGTGACTTGACTGACTTGACTGAGTGTTAATACCGGATGAGACTTGGACGCTAGAGAAACCATGGTTGTTCTGTTCCTCTGAAAGTTTGCCATCTCCTGGTACGTGCATAGAGTTTCGGAATTTTACATGCTTCCTGGTGCCGCATGAGTAAATGAACTCAGTCGTATTATCTGCCTGGATAATGTGCGTGAGCTAAAGTCTCACGGAAATTAGATTTCTTATTTCGACATCAACTGAACATTTCCAATCTAACTACGGGGCATGCTAGTGCGGGCATGATGCTGCGGACTGCGGATATCCCCTTCTCATTTCCTTCTCTCCCAAGTTTTCGCATTCTCTGCATCTTGATTCGCGGGCGTATATTGTAGGAGACCGATGATCTGTAGATGGTGTAAATGCGTAAGTCATTTGTGTCGTCCTGGAAGCGAGGCTTGGGACATTTCTCATTCCCCATTTAAAATTCAAGAACCAAGGGTCATCGGATGGAGACCTAGTGGTAACGTTATATGATATGCGATGGAGCATTGATCTATAAAAATGACTATTAAAGAGAGGATCCGCCCACTCAATTGACTAGAGCATTATCTCTTCAACGTCCGGCATTTGCTACTACGCTAGCACTTAGTGACGCCAGTGACTCGACTTCAACGAGCATTAGCAAGCTCTGCTTATAAAATCTGCTCTCCCCCACTGCTCTTCAGCTTTTCACTTGACCTCTTACTTTCACCACTGCTCTCAGCTCTTTACCCAGTTCTTTCACTTCTTTACTTACACTTCTTGGTCACTTTCGGTTATTTGCCTTCGGCAAAGCAATCATGATGCATCTCTTCATGCAGTACTCAGTACTAGCTTTGACGTGTCTATCCTCTTTCGCATCTGCCTCCGCAGTTCCCCATGGACATTATTCGAAAAAGTCTGGTGTAAAAGCTGCCGTAGGAGGCACTGTACAAACCGTGAGCGGAGGATATCACAACACAGCTTACTTTGTCAATTGGTGAGTGTATATACTTGCCTTTTCTTTTGTCTGCTGATAAATACGTCCTCTAACTGGTTTCACTACAGGGCAATCTATGGACGAAACTATCAACCTCAACAATTGCCGGCCTCCAAGCTGACCCACACCATATATGCATTTGCTAACCTGAAAACGGATGGCACAGTGTATGTCTACCTACTTTCTGAGAAACATTTTTCAATGCATACTAACCTAAAATCAGGTACCTGTCGGACACATATTCCGATCTTGAGAAACATTATTCCACTGATTCCTGGAATGACACCGGAAATAATGTTTATGGTTGCATTAAGCAGCTTTACCTACACAAGAAACACAATCGTCAGATGAAAACTCTTCTAAGCATCGGCGGCTGGACGTACTCAGCAAATTTCGCTGCTGCCGCTAGTACAGAAGCAACTCGTGCACGGTTTGCCTCGACAGCCGTGCAATTTGTTCAAGACCTTGGATTTGATGGCCTTGACATTGACTGGGAGTATCCAGCCAACGATGTCGAAGCTGCCAATTTTGTGCTTCTCTTGAAGGCTATTCGCTCTGCTCTTGATGCATATGCCGCACGCTATGCTCCTGGCTATCATTTCCTCATCACCGCTGCAACCCCTGCCGGTCCAGACCACTACAATGTCCTTCATATGGCAGATATGGATAAGTACCTTGATTCCTGGCACTTGATGGCGTATGATTATTCTGGGTCCTGGGATAACACCACTGCTCACAACGCGAATCTATATCCTAGTGTGCTCAACCCAAAAAGTACACCATTCTCGACACAAAGGGCCATCGTTGACTACGTCGCCAAGGGTGTTCCAATTTCCAAGATAATCCTGGGTCTACCAATCAATGGGAAGTCATTTTTGAATACCACCGGATTAGGAATGCAAGCCACTGGTATCGGTCCAGGATCATGGGAGGCCGGAATATATGATTACAAGGTCCTCCCTCGAGCTGGCGCCACTGAATTTTATCTTCCTGATGTCGTTGCAACTTACAGTTACGACAATGTTACTAAAGAACTCATCAGTTATGATAACGTCAAGTCGGTCTCGATGAAAACGAAATACATTATGACTAGCGGACTGGGCGGTGCAATGTTCTGGGAGACTAGTGCGGACAAGACCGATGATGGAAGTCTCATTTCGACGACCGCCCGACTTTTCCCCGCTTTGGACCAGGCCCGGAATCTGTTGACGTACAATGCGAGTGCATATGCGAACATGGCAGCCGGTATGCCTGGTGAGTAAGCTTGCGGTAAACTTTTGGGGCAGAGAGTTTGTTCGGCGATATGCAAGGCAGGAGATACCTCGGGTTTAGTTTATCATCTGGCGTATACATGGAGTTGCTTTACCCATTTTCATCAAATAGAAGATTTTTAATTTCATTACATATGTTTGATTAGATTTGGCCTTATGACACAACACGAAAGATTTTGCTGCCAGCGGATGCCTGCCATTATCTCCATGCTGCGCTGTGATTATCTGGTCAATTTGTTAACCCATTTCGTTTTACTGTTCACATCTTGTTGCGTCGCTCATCTACGTGTGGTCCTAGACGACTCGTCCAACACACATCGCTTCCGGCTTTCAAACGCAGTCCCGAGATATAATACCACTGCTCGCTGGGTCTAATTACATCAAAGGAACATTCAATGCATCTCAAACCTTTCTTCCAGTTGAGCCTCCATGAATTACGGCGGGAAGAGCATGGGTAGCTTTAAGTTGTGTACTCCAGGGGCGACAAGAATTGCTTAACCAAATTGGTGGTATCACTTCAGTGGTACAAGTTTCCATACTGCTACATTGGTATTGTGTATTATTCATTCTTGGTAGCTACACTATGAAATGAGGGGGATATTTATATTGGGAGGGAATGGGTATAATGGTTAGACATGCATAGCATTAAACTTGGGAGATTGTCGGTTATCTAATATATAATCGCGATAGACTGTGACACTGATAGGTGGCTGGAATGCATGCTGCTTCACACATGAGTAATTAATTCATCCGCTTTCAACTTTTCGAGTAAATTGTGACGCCGCTACAATCTCAGATCAGTTAGAGGAGATCTAAGGACTGATAAAAAGGCCAACATCTGTTGTTTACTAAAGATCAAACAGGGACTCAAGAAAATTTATTTGACAATTGTTACGACGGCGTAACATAACCCGCATCAGGTGACCAATTAGTTAACAGGATCATGTGATAAGTGTCACCTGATCCGAAAGCCGACCGACTTTGAAGGAATCGATCGGCCCTGAAAATCGATCGGCCCTTCAAGAGTCGATCGACTTTCAGAAACACGAAGGTCTATATAATCAAGATAGATTCCTTTACTGAAGAGCTTCGTGCTCAAGATCAATCATTTAGTATACTCTACTATTAGTTATGAATAGCATACCATTGCTGTTGTTACTTAAGTCCCTGCTTGACGCCTAGTTATAAACCTACCTCGAGAGCCTAGAGCACTTCCACGTGATCTAGACGGCTACCCTCGTAACAACAATATCATATTGTATAATGAGTGATCACTAATAGTATAAAATACTGACGAAGTTAATATACAGAGCTCTACAATAGAGAAACCCATTCTGATTAATTATACAGACCTTCATTCTTCTTGAATAATCTGGATAACTATCTATCCTTAGTATCCTATCTATCTGTCATATTCTCTTTGCTGATTAATCCTTAGATTGTATCATAATAGAGCCTAAGGTCTTCATTTAATTAATCATATGATATAATTATGGATCGTATTGATGCGTCATCCAACGTATTAACAAATTAAAGCTTGGGAAAATAAGCTTTAGGACCTCCCTGGAATTCGACTATATTACCCTATAATCCTAAGCTACTGATCGGTGGACTCTAAATGTACCATCTTTCGTATTGCAGCTTGTTCAAATCATATAATGAGATATTAACAGTGTGAATAGCTTCATTTTGATGCACAAGCTACGATTCTTCAACCTTTCCTTTTTTCCCCTTCTTCCCTCCTCCTTCTCCCTTTTGTTACGAGGATTGCCGTCTAGATCACGTGGAAGTGCTCTAGGCTCTCGAGGTAGGTTTATAACTAGGCGTCAAGCAGGGACTTAAGTAACAACAGCAATGGTATGCTATTCATAACTAATAGTAGAGTATACTAAATGATTGATCTTGAGCACGAAGCTCTACAGTAAAGGAATCCATCTTGATTATATAGACCTTCGTGTTCTGGCTCTAATGACTCTAATTAGATTCTCTAGAGCCGCTGGCTCTAACTAGATCTTTTAGAGTCGGTCACATGATGGCTCTGATCCCGTGATTAGTCATGTGATGCGGAAATATGTTACCCGTCGTAACAAGATGCATTTAAACTTGAATGACCTTCGAGGGTTTGTAGCGATTCGCCTATTGTATTCCAAAGCTGGATGGTTTTATTGTCAAAGACGGAAGCTACCATTTTGCCATCTGGTGAAAAGGCTACTGAATTAACTTCGCCTGAGTGATCTTCAAATACTTGTAATGATTTGCCTGTTGTTATATCCCAAAACCGTATCGTTCCATCATCAGAACCGGAAACTATTACTTTTTTATCTGGCGAAAAGGCTACAGAGTTAACCCAATCCGAATGACCCTCGAATATTTGTAGGGATTTGCCTGTTGTATCCTAAAGCCGGATCGTTTTATCATTAGAGCTAGAAACTATCATTTTACTATCCGGCGAAAAGGCTGCCGAGTTAGCCCAATCCGAATGACTCTCGAGTGTTGGAGGGCGGCACTCTAATTTGATTGCATCCTTGATATTTTAGAAATCCAACTCGAGATAAATTTTTGAAATGTTTTCCGAATTATACACTTCTCTGGAGCAAAGAAAAGGGGTGAGCAATTGTGTGAACGAAGTGAATGACTTCAATTCAATTACTACTGTAATAAAGAACTAAGCGAACGCGAAAGAGACTAGCTCTTTTAGTAAGTCTATATAAGACTTACTACTTTCAATATGTAGCTAGCTCTTTAGACAGAATACAATTAGACATACAGGACCTACGTAATCCGTGGGTGCTACGTCTTCCGTATCCTTCTCGTACCAACAGCAATAGATTCGAAGAGGAGCTTGTTCAATTCCTACTCGGTTACGAAGGGCGAAGCGCTTGGCATCGTGAACATAGGCGGAAAGTTCAGGAGCTGCCTCGACCTTGACATTTATCAGTTGAAGCCATTTGAAGCTGTTTTCACTTACAGAGACATAATTGTCTAAAGAACTTATTGCAACAATGCACTCAGAAATGTTTTCCATCAAGCTCATGACCTCCAACCAATGCAGTAAATGTTCTGTCAGAAAATTATAGAATTTGCTATTATTCGAACACAGTTTTCTGTTTTTGGAGGATTTACATCCATAAAATGATTGACCCAATAGGTACATGAATATCGTATATGCGCTATTGGGTCAGGATCGGATTGCTTGACTTTATCAGTAGGGAAGCCTGGATGACGCAAGTCATATATGTTCTCCTCCAATAGGTTGCTCATTTCTGTTTTGAATTTAGAAATATCTTCTCATTTACCTTGCCTATCCCATTTCGAAATATCGTCGCAGTAGCGTTTTTTGATAGGAAATCCTTTGCCGACTTATAACGAAGAATATGCTCTGATTACGAACGACCAGAAAGGAGCCACAAAGCAGAATGATTTCTTCCAAGTGGATCTCCAGTCCGATTAGACGCGCCAGCTTGCAGAGCGTAATATGTCGAAAGGCTACTACCACAATAGCCATAAGCTGGAGGCAGAGCTCAGTCACTCCATGCTCTTTTAAATCTAGAATTTGCTGTAGCATGCGTTCGTATAAAGGATTCAACTCTGGATGGTAATGATCTTGTAACATCGAAGTCGTAAAGAATCGCAAGTTATTGAAGATTTTGGCAGACCAAAGCCACCCAAAGGAAGGTCCAGTTCGCATTCTCTAGGAGATACGATTCAACCGCCTTTCTATTTCTTTTAATACTTTTCTTTATCCTCGCGAGCCTTTCAACCCTATCTCTTATATACCCGTCGACAGCAATAGATAATGTGTAGATATTTAATTCGAGACTGAGCGTTGTCATCTCCTTAATCGGCCCTAGTGCCTCTTCAATTCCAACCGAGTTACGACTAGAGACAAGCCACTTGACGTGAGGAATCAGTTAGGCTCGAAACAATCAGACGAAGTAACTTGACCATATTCTTTTCGCATTCGTCAAGTGCATCAATAATCAAGATTATTGGCTTCAAACTCTTGTCATGCAAGATATTCTTCAGGATATCAGAAAGCGCCACCCACGCATTAATGCCTTTAAATAACTGCTTCCCTGGCACCTCATATTCCTTTTGTAAATACCGAATGAGGAAAGGCTGTTCATCTAAGAGCATATAAGTAAGGCCAAATAGGACGGAGATAGCACTATTGATGGTATCGACGGTGCTTTGGCAAAAGAAATAAGCTAATGTGTAATTAGTTGATGTCTGCATTTCGTCTATGATACCAAATAGTAACATAGTCTTGCCCTTGCCAGGATCTCCTCTCACCCATAGCAAGCGCTTGCTTTGGTCGTTGCACCATTGTTGGTATTCCGCGTTTTTGAAGAGCCATTCGTATATCTTAAGGAGCAGTCATCGTTTAAGTTCCTCGGTACGTTGCTTGTCCTTTCGTGTATCGGTGATGAACAGATCAATTAGGCAGCGCTTGTCTGGGGAGGGAAGATAATCGCGATTACTGTCGATCACACTGTTGAGCCTCCTGAATGTATTATCCCTTCCCTCGCCATAGATAACTGAAATGGATACTCCAAAGATACCAAGCAAGCTATATGCTGCGTCTTCTTCTCTAGTTGAAGTTCGGTTTTCCGCCTATTTCATTCTATCAATAACACTAAACTCCGATAAAGGAACTCCTTGGAGCGCTTCAATAGCAATTCCCGTGATCTCATATATAATCAACTTCAGAGATTCCCTATCACCAAGCTTACAACAATCCCGTGAAAAGAACTCGACTGATATTGGAGCCAGGAGTTCTTGGAGCGTCCATCCTCTTGTAAACCATCGGCCGGCCCGAAAACGTCCTTCCCATATGCTTTGTGGTTGTTCTACACCATTTTGAGCTGCCTCTACATCTGATAAATAAACACAGCATTTTATAGCCTTCCCATAATTACCAGCGGAACATAGAGTTCAGATATTCGCTCAACTCAGAGTCGTTCGTCTTTTTGATGCAACAAGTATCCAGCCAGGAGTAGTCGATGTTGTCACGGGCAGCCTGTTTCCGCAAAACTGTAGTTTCTTGTAACCGGTTTTTGCTTTGCCATTACCCGTATGTGAGAGAATGGCATAAGGAGGAATATTGTTATCCAACAGCGCTTTGGTGAGCCGATATCCGCCAGCATTATCGCACTTTAGCAAGCGCATTTTGCGATCTAGAGTATGCTAAATTGAGATACCAGTAAGTAGATAAAGGCGAAGTACGCAGCAGGAATCAGTATGATGTTGGTATCTTGAAGTTGCCCTTGGTCACAGATTGTCTCAAGAAACTTGTGTGATAACACACCTCTTGGAATGTCGGGCTATGCCTCGCGGCGAGAATGCTCCGACGTTACATTGTCTTCCTAGCCGGTCTCCAACGTGGCTAGGGAAAAGACATCTGATAATAGATGGGAATTGCAATAAGATGAGAACAGAACCAGGCAGCAGCTCGGTCAAATATGGGACAGACATCAATCCGTATCAGATATACGTTTGCTCGTAAGATTATGTTTTAGAGCCTGCGACTAAAATAAATATGGCGTTAACTAAGACCCTGATTAATAATCGTACGCTCAAATCGCGACTCAATTTCTGGCCCATGGGGGACATATCACGTGAGCATCCACCGCTTCCTGCAGAAACCAGCACTAACCTATGTGGCCTAGTATAGCATAGCTCACTTCGATGAGATGCCTGCATTTCGCTTCGATTCCCCCTTACGCTTCAAGACAACTGGCCTCTATCACGCAGCAGTTTACGTGGATTCTCGTAGCTATTGCAACAGTAAGGGAACAGGTTTGTCCCAGGCAAATCACACGTAAATTTGAACCACAATGCCCGTTTTCCGATAGACGCTTGTTCACATTTTCTCTGCTTGAAATATGAGTTCTTTCCATCGGCTTTGATGGCCACGGGGGAAGTTGAAGGAGCTAATGCCTATCCGGCGAGTAGTGTGAGGCCTCATTTGTTGCTCATGCAAGTGCAAAATTGCCACAATAACCCTCTCCTAATCAAGTCTGATGATGGCATCGATACAGGATATACGCCATGAGCCATTGCTGGTAAAAGATTCACTCCTTATAGAGCCAGAATTCGGCTAAACAGTCCCCGTCACCGCATTCCCCTTCCTTTCTATCCTGCCTTTTCTGAGTATGAAATACAATGTAAGCCCAATTCATGCATTAAATTCGATGACAAACCGTATAATAAGCCGAAGTTAACCTTATACGTCATCCCTCTATTCACAGAAGATGCGCAATATCATATTATAATCCTTGTGAACTTGAACATTTACCTCTCGACTATCATCAACGCAGCTGGATGCTTTGTAATCTTAAATACCCGGCTCTTCACGGTGAAAGCACAACGTGCGCCTAACATCCCGAAGCAGCTTTTTCAGACACACCACCGACAAGATCAAATGACTCCATGCATTTGGGCATTCAGCGGAGTCTACCCAATCCAATAACTCACAGCTACCATACTATTACATGTCAAATACTGAAAGATCCAAACGACAACGCCGTGGCTCCACCACCAGATCGAGTGAACATTACGACCGTAGTTGGAGTAGAGGACTACCTCACGGACATGACACGATTCCAGCATCGGAAATACAGACAATTTCCCTCTGTGTCCTGATGACGTCTGGGAGTGTATTCACTTATCCTTATGCTTCTCAAATATCTACCAAGCAAAGACTGTCTTGAATTCTCCTGCTGGTAATCAAAAATCAAGCAATGCTAAAGGTAGCCGTAGCGAAAACATTCGCTGGGATCTTTAGTCAGGAACGAAGGCATGATGGCGGATGACGGTGATTCTAGTTGGTGTTTGTGTAAATACTAAATGCTCATCAAAGTGTCAGACCAAGAAAAACGTTCAACGAGTCGTATATGTATAGATTTCAAATGATTCATTAATGATTGATAAATGACTTTCGCATGACAACGCTAGAATGTCAACCGATTCTTACCCTGTGCCATAAATACGCTTTCACACATCCCATCAAGTGAAGACATCACTAGCAAACCTATCATTCTTGATGCTCTGAAACCAATCCTCAACCTCCTCGTCCGTCTTAGTCTTCCCAAGAAGATCAGCAGCCTCTGCGTAAATCTTTTTAGTCATGACCGAGACGCCTTCACCAACCATACTTGATCCACACACATACAACTTTGCACCACTTTGAAAAACGTTCCTTAACTCTTCTCTTTCTTCCCAAAGTCTATCCTGAACATGGCGGCATCCTTTACTTATTTCTGGAGATTGCGAGAAGGCGTAATGCAGCTTTACTACTCCATCCGCTTCCCATTTCTTTAGCTCCTCGGAGAACAAAGAGTCTTTATCGGGATGTCCACAGCCAATGAACAAATATGCAGCGGCTAGTTTTCGTCCAGCTGCGATTTGCAATGCTCGCTCTTGTACAAAACCACGGAAAGGGGCTAATCCAGTCCCGGCGCAAATATAGATTACCGGAGTATTCTCCAAATCCGTGGGTGGATGGAAAGATCCACGACTTGGTCTGACAGAGACATGCACACGATCTCCCTCTTCAACAGAAGAAAGGTAGTTCGATGCTACCCCCAAATAACGCTTCGACTCACCGGCTTTTGAGACAGCGTCGAGAACAGACCAGGTCAGGGTGGCGACTGTAGGGTCATGAAACGGCGATGAAGAGATAGAGTACTGACGTATTCTCATGGGTGGAAGCATTGCTAGGAAGTCTCCCAGAGATAATGCGGCGGATGGATATTCTTCGAGGATATCCAATGGCGAACGACGTTTGAGGAAAACTTCTTGGTTGAAGCCTTCCTTACCCAAATACTCGATCTTTTCTCTTACTTCTGGTTCAGGTGTACTTGCGGCTATTTTCGCAACATTCTATCAAGGTTAGCATTTTGATGAATAGGAGGATGAGGGAAAATAGTACCTTCCGAGTGGCAACTTGACTAAGTTCAACATAAGCTCCAAGGACATCCCACACAGATATTGGGTGCCCAGTTGGTAAAGTAGTATTAGCACTAGCTTTGATATTCAACATAGCATCCCAAGGAAGTCCGTAATGTTTCAGCACTCGTCGGATATTCTTTGAATTGTTTATCGGCAGCACTGCCATATAGTCGCCAGCACGATATGACATACCTGTCGGCAATTTGAGTGATATGTGACGCTTCTCCGGCACTCCCGGTGCGGTCAAAACCTTGTTGCTTAAAACAATTGATTCGCGTACGTCTTGTCGAAGCCTGGAGGACCGGGCACTAGAATCGATGTCGATCTCCAATCCTACATCTTCTTCAGGAACCGCACTGCTAGCTAATTGAGTCCAAAGACAACTATCTTGCCATTTGTCAAAAGCTTCGAAGATATCTCCAGCAGCAACGTCACCTACCCCAGTATCTGCGATTCTTGTTGCGCCGTTATTCTCGAATTCGGTGTCGAGCAATTTCGGAATTCGCTGATAAGTAGCTACCCAATCATCTAGAAGGAGTGTTAATGATCATCCTTTCTCAAGAGCTACAAAGTATGGGAACACATACGATTTCCGCAACCATAAACAGCATATTTAATGTCCTTAAGGCGATCACTGCCTTTTAGATTTTCCAGCCACTCAACGAAATGGCGAGCATTATCAGGAGCTTGCCCTTCATAACTTGACGATATCAAGATTACTGGCTGGCCTTTCGGAATTTTGTCTACAGCAGCATCAAGAGGGTCAACTCGAGCCTCGTAGCCACGTCCACTAGCTTCTCTTGCAAGATTTCGAGCCAAAGCTTCACATGTTCCTGAGCTCGAACCATAAAAAATAGACATCGGTTGCTTTGGCTTTCCCGAGCTGCTCAAATCCTTGCTAAGTTTTTGATCGTTCTCTGACAGTCGCTCTTTGGAAGTATCAACGTGCAGCATTTTTTCGAGGTCAAGAGAATCAATGCCATCCCGGAGGCTCGCGCGCATATAAAACCCGTTTGGCTTGATACTCAATGTTTGTTTGATGAGAAGATTGTAACTTGGATCATCCATTCTGAAATTGAGGTTTTGTAAGAGCATAGCGACGGCCAGAAGTGCCTCCTGCCATGCAAAAGGTCTCCCGATACACCCTCTCATACCATTGCCGAACGGTTTCCAGGCGTTGGGTGGTAAGTTTCTGAAAGGCTCGTCCAACATTCGTTCTGGTTTGAATAAGTCGGCATCGTCACCGTAGACAGTGGGATCACGGTGAATTTCAGGGATGAGAGCAAGTATTGACTGTCCTGGCTTCACTTCGTACTTACCACCGATGATTATGGGCGACTCGGTTGAATCAGGCAGGGGATAGAAGGAGATAACGGGGGCTGGAGGATTCAACCTCAGTGTCTCTCGCAGGCAAGCTTCTATGTATGGGAGTTTTGAAAGGTGATCAATGGTTATGGGTCCCTTGCCAACAACTCCATCAACCTCGCGTTGAGCTGCCTGGTATGCTGAAGGATTCTTTAGTAAATAATAGAAAAGGAAAGAGAGCATTCCACTCGTCGTTTCATGACCTGGGAGGATGGTTAGAATAGAGGGACCCGATACACAGCGAAAGGTTCATTACCAGCAATGAGAAAGGTAATCATATTGTTCAAAATATTCGAATCTGAGAGGCCTTTTCCAGTTTTTGGATCTCTGCCGTTGATCATGGCATTAAGCAGATCTTTCTTATCATTGGGATTCGCCCGTCGCTCAGCCAACAGTTCTTTGGCCACACTTTGAAGCAGCGCGATATCAGAATCGAACTTGGCTTGTGCAGAACGCATAAAATAATTGGCGATAGCAGGTCGCTGAGCTCTAGCACCAGATTCGACAAGGAATCCACTCATGGCGCCGACGAAGGGATGCATTTCTTCACGGTAGAAGCTATTGAAACGGGTACCCATAGCGCACCTGAGTCCCCAGTAAGTTCAGTTGCCCAGTGAATCGTGAATATCAGTGGATGACTTACAAAGCAATAGAGTCCAGTGCCAATCTCGTGAAGTCATCTGTAACGTCAATCTTCTCTTTTGAACCGAATCTCGCCCATTTCATAAGTAATTGTGAAGCAATATCATGCATTTCACCAAACATAGATCGAATGGATAGAGGCCCGAATGCTTTATCTTGTCAATTCGCAGTAACAAATTGTTGCGATTCATAATACACACCTGGCATTAATACTCTATGTGCCAATCCCCAATTTTCTTCGCCATAGTTGGCTGTGAAAAGGCCGTCGCCGACACCGTGTCGAACTTCCTCTAAGCTGCCAGATACTATCTTCGTGAACCTCTTCTCGTCGCAGACCTCATTGAGGAGTGCTTGCGAGGATATCCACAATTTTTCAGAACCGCCGATATTAAGCTTGAAGATGGAACCTGGTTTAGAGGGAAATAGGATCAGCGACATTAATAAAAAGAGGGGTTGCATCATTCCTACCATATATTCCTGCCAAACGCTCAATACTAGCAAGTGGACTGATGGGGTTAACATCTTGGACGTTCCCTAAAAAAGGAAGTCCAGGAGGCCCAGGTATCTCTTCCAAAGCTGCCATGTTGAATCCAGCCCACTTCCGATATGGTAACTGAGCGGCAAGTTGAAGTTAAGAGAGAGAAGATTGGAAAAGATAAATCAGTGACGTTTGCAGAAGAAGACACTGCCTTATATATCTATATACGAGACGATGGCGGGGCGGATGAGAGACTTCATCATTTGACGGGTAGGAACAACACAGCAGGTGTGCTGTACGTGTGTCGGAAATCTGATTATAACCCCTCCGTTCAAATACGTAGTTCTCGGAGTATGCACTCGTAAGATCTTACCTATGCGCTCTGAGACAGTTTGATTTTAGACCGAGGCTGATCGGTGGTTAGAGATAGGCCGATGCCGATGTCGATATTTCACCGAGGCGGGTGTTAGGCTATCATGAGCCTACCTTTTAAGGCACACACTTTGGATTTAATACAGAATCATATTTTAACCTTAAAGAGAAGAGTCTTTTGGATAAGAATAATAAGATTTTGCATTTAGAGCTTGTTTACAGTGATCTAATCTAATATAGGATTTTTGGATTGGATTATTAGAAAGCTTTTCAAGGGGACTTGTCACGATTTAAAAGATTATATAAGCCAATCACCTGTCACGATTCACAATCGCAGGATGAGTGTCAGGTGAAAAGTAGGATCACGTGATGTGCTAGCTATGCTAGCCAGCTAGCACTGCTAGCAGTCAGGAAATCGATAGTATATAGTCAGAATAGTTTCATAGTTTAGAAGCTTCGTGCTCAACTTAGTTATTAATTGGTTTACCTACATTCTACTTGATCTAGTAACGACTTCACTTCCAAGTGAAGACTAGTGATAAAGCCTTAACCCACAACTACCAACCAGACGAAACCTCAGGCAGCCGCTGCCTCCGGTACAGTATCGTTACACCTTAACCCACAACTACCAATCAGACGAAACCGGAGGCAGCCGCTGCCTCCAGTACAGTATCGTTACATCACCCTGAGGACCTCGGCAGTTTATGACGATTGTGCCACAGAAAGTCATTAAAAGATCTTGAAGATTTTTAAAATTTGTATGTAAACCCTATATAAATTGAAAATCCAAAAATTTTACTTCCTGTTACGTGACGGTTGTTACCCCACTAGTGGCTCACGTGCACTAGCCCTGTATATAAAGACCTTCTTACTTAGAATCTTCTTAGTTCTTTAGTTTTAGATTCTAAGTAATTGAATTGACTCCGTTTACGACTTTTCCGTCACACTTCCTAAATCGCAATGAAAATAATTATAAAAACTCTGGAACATTTCTGAATTTATCGATAGTTATTTATAGAATCTGTTAAAAGGAATGACCTTACACAGGGAATATGTAACGATGCTGTACTGGAGGCAGCGGCTGCCTGAGGTTTCGTCTGGTTGGTAGTTGTGGGTTAAGGCTTTATCACTGGTATTCACTTGGAAGTGAAGTCGTTACTAGATCAAGTAGAATGTAGGTAAACTAATTGATAACTAAGTTGAGCACGAAGCTCCTAAACTATGAAACTATCTTAACTATATACTTCTGAATACTATTGGATAGCCTGGATAGACTAGGCTATCCAGTCTATCTATCACGTGATCCTTTAAAGGACGATTCTGATCCTAGGATAATATAGCTCCTAGGATAATATAGCTCCTAGGATAATTGTCCTGGGACAAATATTATCCTAGGACACTTGTCCTAAGCCTACATGGTTGCCTAATCGTTTTGTCCTAGGATACTAATTATCCTGGGACATATTTTATCCTAGGACACTTGTCCTAGGATTCCTTATCGATAAGGACCCCCTCGGAAACAGCGGCCCAAACCTCCGTACTTGCTTTTATTGTGTTATAATAATCGTGATTCGTGACAGAATAGTGGGAAGCTGATAGGGCAGAACTAAGGCTATATTGGTCTTGTATATTAATCACTCATTATCTAAGTTCTACGGAAGTGCGAAGCTCTCCTACAGAGAGCTTCTCAATCTAGTCCTAATAGGACTAGTGCCCTGTGCACGTGCTACGCAGGAACCATTCACTTTAACAGAATCTACGATTAAAATTTCAAAAGATTTCGTTGATAAAAAAGTTATCAATAGATAATAATTGTGATTTTTGGTGCAAAAAGGGTGGCTTAAAACAGGAGTGGCCTGAAAGTAGAGTACTAGACTTACTGATGGGGACGAGACTACTAAAGTTATCGATCGTGACGAACAATGGGCATGCTGGTATTTGTGGTTGGCGATGTTCGAACTCGCTGAATGAGTAAGAGTGCATCGCTTATCAGGGGATGACACTTCCTTACCATTTAGGTTATCAGTGTCTGGAACAATGGCGACTCCTCGTTCTAGCGGCCAAGGAGCGAACACTTTCTTTGGGTTTGACACTTCTCAGATCTTACCCTCGAAGGTTACGTAATGCTGACTTCTTCCATCTCAAAAAGTTTCTGCTCTACACTATCAAGTACTCACACACCGAGGTAAAAAAATAAAAAAAAAACCTCAAACACCCGAGGTAAAAAGTTCCCCAAACACCGAGGGCGAAATACAATGATCAGACCTTTGAGTGGCAGGCAGTATATCTGTCCTCACCGGCGAAGGCCCTCCATACCTGCTCCTGTATTGACCCACTGAGTCCTTCTGCGTCAATTTGAGCTTTGCATTAACGGTGAGTACTGGCTCTGTGCCAATGGCCGTTCCACTGTTAAAATGTGCTTGTCATTTACTCATTGGTCTTCCACCGCTCATCCAAGGTGAGAGCAATATACTTGCAATTGAAAAAGATGTTCTCGCAAAGTGCATCAATTTGCCGTGTAAGGTTGTATTAATAAATGCGTGTCAGTGGAATGAACCCTCTTATACTTAAGTCCCCAGAATGATGGCAGCTTGAGGCTTAAAAATTCAATGGTATGTATGCAAAATCATCCAAGAGCAAGACTTCGATACAACGATTACCACTTGGCAAGACGAGAAAACGTTTCAAATGTTTCAAGGGATAATCACGCTCAAGGCTTCGTCAAATCGAACTGGGCCTTGAACCTCGACTGATGCATGAAGGTGCGATCTGTACGGTGCTATGGTGCATTAACGCTGGCAACAACTTACAGACCATAGCCCTGGAGTAAATACTTGGTGCTCAAAGCAAAAAGGGTTGACTTTGCAGAAGAGAGTTGGCAATACGTCAATGCCAGACATTGTTTTGCTCCTGGATCTCCAGGAGATTGAGTGCAACTTTTATTATCTCGCGCGGCCTTCTCGCCGTACCCTTGTGGATGGATGCCAAACCCAATCTATCCCATAACTAAAGTCTGATATTGCCAGCGAGGTATTGTTGAATATAACTATGAACCTGCCGTCACAACTAGCGACCAGTTCCAAAGCGTCACAAATCGTGAGTACAACTCTCCAAAAACCACTTTGTAAAGATGCTATCCTCACACAAACTTCTGCATGTACGAAATTTCGAATATCTGATGGTCAAGTCATATGGTTTAGTCAGAATGGAAAACGATGAGCCCAAACATAGATGCTACCTTGATACGAGCGTGGAGGAAATAGGTAGGTTTAGGAGAGAAAGGTGTACTCGAGATAGAAGGAGCGAACTCAACACATCACAGCTTAGCTTAGCGCTTAGCATTAGTACTAAGGTGTCTAGCCTAGGCATTCCTTCAATCTGGCCACATTTGGCCTCTCGAGTCTCTTCACATCTTTCCTCTCTTCAGTCCACCTATTTTCCAGAGTGTGTGGTCTAATTGAAAGCGTGGCGAGGCTAGACCCTTTGTACTAATACTGAGCTAAGGGCCATGTGACTCGATAAATTTGCTCCTTCTACGGTACACATGGGACAATGTCGCCTGCACCATGTGGAAGGATCTTGGCTAGAATATGTTCCAGTGTCTAGCCGTGGTACGAATTCGGTTGATTAGGTACGTACGAAGGCCAAATGTAATTTCGGAAGATGTTGAGTTTCCCAAAAGAAACCAGTATTCAGTGAACAACAAAGCAGATGCCTACTCGTGCGGCCAGAAAGTACAGGACACCTTCCTAACAGGATCTTTTATGTACAAAAAGGGTATAGATACATGGATACCCGTATCGACTCGGCAATCTAGACATGGTGTAGCTCAGCTCAGGAAAGCTGGGGAAGCCGAGCGGTGTATCACTAGAAGAGCGCAGAACCTGGTTTGGGAGGATTCCGATAGAACAAAATATGCATAAAATTTTATTCAAGGTTATGCTGAAATTATATTTGGAATTCCACCTCCGAACTTCCGATCTTCCCACAATTGATTTACCATAGGTATGACAATTTTATTCGAAAAAATCCAAGGTTATTTTATTTATGCTGTTCTGCGCCAAAAAATATCCTCGAATACCGGATTCATCTTAGAAGTGTCTAGTATTCTGACATATATTCAAAATTCGGCATTATTCTCACACGAAAATCGATCGAGTCTGGAAATCTTTCTGGGACAATACAGGGTGGCGCGAAAGTGGGTACAAGCCGAGCATCCGGAATTTATGCATATTTTCCTTTGACAGTTCCTATTAATAAGGTCGAACGTGAGCGACTAAGAGATTTCATTGGCCAAGTGATAGACTCCGCATGAGGATCTCCCGCAGTTATTCCCACGAGAAGGATGCCGCAAGCAAAAATAATTAGGGTTCGGAACTATCCGACTTAATGGGGGAACCACGGTATACCCTAGCTGGAAAGTTTATTGGATCGTCAAACGCATCTAAGCCATCTAGACCTCACACGACACGGTGCATCCCAATCATCCAGAAAGCCCTGGCACATTCATTCCAAGGCTAATTTGGTGGGGAGACTACGTGAGTTGGGCTGAAAAGTGTAATGCATCGTCAAACGCGTCTAAGCCAACTAGCCATAGTGCCCTAATCTTCCAGAAACTCTCTAAATTCCTTCTAAGAACACAAGAACCGAAGGATCCAAGTTGGCGGGAGAACTACTCGGAGCTTGCTGAAAGTTTAATGCATCGTCAAATGCCATTAAGCCGTCTAGGCGCAAGTTGCGCTACACCTCAATCTCCTTCCTGTCTCCAGGAAACCTTCAATTTCTAGACCACAAGACCAAGCATGCCAACGGCCAAGGCGCGCCAACTAAAACGTGTAAATGCCTCAAGTATCTATCGCTGTAATTATCTCACCTCCTGCAGGAAGACTGCTTTCTGCCGGGCAAAGTTGCCTGAACTTTGGAAAGGGAATCACGTGATAGAATGGCTCCGGCCCTTGATGAAACGGCACAGGAGGCAAAGGTGACGTGCAGATGCAAAGCTTTGAACTTGTCGCGCTTACACAGTCTTTAGAGTGACAACTGATGGACCATCAGTGAGGTCTTTTCACCGACGGCGTGTTTGCACTTTGATTAACGTTTCATCCTTAGCGGATGAACTTGTCTTCTGTGCCAGTAGCAAGATATTTTCCACACTCCCCTGACCATCAACCAAAGACTACAAGAACTTTATTTCAAATGATCCAAGTTCATACGGTCTCTACAATGCCAAGTAAATAACGAACCCCGACTTTTCTGCCGGCGCGTGTTTGGCACCGTTTGCACTTCGATTAAAGTTCTATACTCAGCGCAGTCTCTCTCTTGACCATCAAGCAAAAAGTAGAAAAACTTTATTTCAAATTTGCTATGTTCATGCGACCTCTACAGTGCCAAGTACCTAGCTATTCCCGGGAAACTCCCATCGGCGGCGTGTTTGGCACTGTTTGTACTTCGATTAAAGTTTGGGGATGGCTCTGTCGTTGATGGCCAATGTCAGAGAATACGCTGAGTGTGGAACTCTATTTCGAGTTTGTGCCCAATATGAGTGAGATACTGGTTGTTATTCGGATCATTGAGACGAGCTAAACATGGATGCTCAATTGTAGGTGTAATTGTGCACTTACATTGGGCACATTTTGAGCCTCTCGTCTGAAAATTGGGGATTCTGCTGAGAGGCTAGGCATTTGGCTACATTTCATGCCACGATCAAACCAGCCAAAATCCAGAGATTATCATATATGAGCTTTATTGTTCGATCCCTGCTTGGTGCGTCTGAATTGTCAAGGACGACTACGGTAGATGAAAGATATGAGGATTGGAGATTATATAAACCTCTTCTGTTTCCCGTTCAAAATATCTTAACATCATCATCACATTCACACAATCATTCTACTCTCACTTTCACTTCCACTTCCACATTCACATCCACACTCAAATCAAAAACAAATTCTCTCTTTTTTTCAAGAAAATCAACCACTCACTTCCATCAAAATGAAGTTCTCCCTTGCCACCATCATTGTATGCGCTGCCATTGCAAACGCAGCTGCCTTCCCAGCTCCAGAAGCTGCAGTTGGAGACCCAAACGCAGTCATTGCACCTTCCGTTGAAACTCATTTCAGTGGACAGGTATATAGAATCATTCCTTGGAGTGTCATGTGCAATGCTAATGATTTAAAAGTTCGATACCACTGGAGCTTTAGTCGCCAAGGAAGACAATGAAACCGATCAAGCGCTTCAAAAGCGTATTGCACCAGTTGTAGTCGTCGCTGGAATTGCCGCAATCAAGGGCATTGCCATCTTGACCAAGATCGCCGTTGAAATTGGACAACAGACTATCGCCAACCTTGGGAAATGGAATGAGGTGACTATCTCCCGAGAAAGCCCAAAGAAATTGTTTTGATACTAATCTACTTTCCAGACACGTGAGAAGTTCACTCAAGCGACTACTCTTGCGATGTGGAACAGAAACCCGGATTACAACAAGTTTCCTGCTGTTGCCTGCTACAACAAAGGTTATCATCTCCGAAATCCTAGTGGCCAGGATGGAAGAGTGTCTGCCAAACTTTCTCTTGGTATGCTCAACACTGAGTAAGTAGTCTATACAGCTTCGATTCGGAGCTCTCCTCTCAGCTATTCAATAGCTAATAATTCTAGCTACGATTGCTTGTACATGACTGGAAACAACGCATTCTATACCCATAACGAAGGTGGATATATCAATGTAAGAAATCAATACTACAAAGATAAAATCACCATACTAACAGGCACCTAGCTTTCCTACAGATATAACGGAGGCCGATGCACATTCGACAAGCGCACCGGTGACTTGACCTGCAGATAGAGAGTTTAAAATTTATAGCTCTGTGCGACACCTATATACGATTGCCCTCGTATAAAAACGAGAGGCTGCTTTTGGTAACATGGGCTAGGTGGTCACCTAGTGCATTGCTTCGTCACAGATTTTTGTTCTCATTGGATGTTTTGCTCGTTTAGACCTTGCTTTCCTGCCTCTTTTTGTAATGTTCTGTCTAGTTAGTTGAATTGAGCTCATTTCTAAAAAAAAATTAAAAAAAATTGACGTTGTGCTCGGTGCTTCAACGTACAATCAAGCAACTTTGTGATGAGTGATTAATAGCTTTTCTATTTTGTTATGTAATTAGATAAAACACAGTAAAAGCAATGATTGATGGGTTTGTTATAGGTTGCAATATTTGTTTTATCTTCAATGGGGGAATGTGCATTAACTCTTGGAAAAAAATATCCCGTGACACTTGCTTATATTAGGGGAAGAACAGCAGAAAGCGGTATTCTTCCAAACATCGGAGTGGTAAGCCCGGTGGATCGGCTGGCACAGCCGGTAATTTATCCGTGTCAGTGTGTCATGTGACCAATATGGGAGGGGGCCATACTGTCACGAACCACGGTTTAGATAATAGTAGTATTATGAGTATCGGTGATTTAGCTGCCGATTACAGGGGAAGTGTGATTTAACCGCGGTTTACGGGGGTTTCCTTATCAGCTTCGATAAGGAACCTAGGAATCCTAGAACAAGTGTCCTAGGACAAGCGTTCTAGGCAACCACAATGAAACAGGACAAGTATCCTCGGAGTTCAGGATGAGCTAGGATAGTATGCGTCCTAGGATAAAACGTCCTAGGATGATAATCGTCCCAGGACAATTATCCTAGGAGTTAAATTATCCTAGGAGACGAACCGTCCCAGGATTAGTGTCCTGAGACATATATAATCACGTGATGGAGCCTCCAGGAGCGCAGGCTCCTCAGGGCTCCTCGAAGGGGATCATTATATAGGCAGAGTAGTTTCATAGTTTAGGAGCCTCGTGCTCAACTTAGTTATCAATTAGTTTACCTACATTCTACTTGATCTAGTAACGACTTCACTTCCAAGTGAATACCAGTGATAAAGTCTTAACCCATAACTACCAACCAGACGAAACCTTAGGCAGCCGCTGCCTCCAGTACAGTATCGTTACATTATCCCAGTTCGAAGTCGAATATATGATTTTCCCTTTTTTAATCATTCTCATTATTTTCTTCAATAATTACTCATATGTTGAATAGTTATAGTAATCATGTCTTGGTAAATTAAATTGGTGACAGTCAGTCTAATGTAGAGGAGAGAAAGAGAGGAAAGGTGTTACGACGACGTAACATTACCACCATCAGGTGACCAATTAGTTAATATGATCATGTGACAAGCGTCACCTGATCCGAAAGCCGACCGACTTCGTAGGAATCGATCGGTCCTGAAAATCGATCGGCCCTTCAAGAGTCGATCGACTTTCAGAACACAAAGGTCTATATAATGAAGATGGATTTCCTTTGTATAGAGCTTCGTGCTCAAGATCAATCATTTATTATACTCTACTATTAGTTACGAATTGCATATCATTATTGTCATTACTTAAGTCCCTGCTTGAGGCCTAGTTATAAACCACCTCGAGAGCCTAGAGCATTTCCACGTGATCTAGACTGCAAACCTCGTAACAACACGTGTTCCATGAGAGGCTCTCATTGCATTAATTGAATATGGGTGCTCACGTATCGTCACGTGATAACAACAAACACATTTTTCCATTGGCAACCTTCAAACATCAATTACCTCACGCGCGCATAGAATTCTTCATCCCATCACATTACAGAACTTTATCAAGATGGCACAGAGAATAGTCCCCGAGATGGCTCACTATTCACAACGGGCAGTATTAAAACCACGACCGGGTCTTGACCAGAGTGCATACCGCGTACCCGCTCCTTGGGAACGGGTTAAACCTGTAAGTCAGCATTATTTGCTTATAGCTGCCTATTTCGACGAAACATGGACGCGGAAAGTTCTTGCCGATGAGAAAATCGCGGTTCTCGCGAGGAGACATATATTCAACCCGCGATTTGAACCTATTATTCGAGAGAGAATTCCCAACAAATATGCTTTTCGTCTGGATTGGGTCTTGAAAGAGCTTGCGAATGAGCGATCTAGCTTCACGATGGATCCTTCTGAAGGCGAACCTGAATACAATATTCATGAAGAAAGCGAAATGGTTAGCATAAATGTCGAAAGAAAAAGAAACAGTGCATATATTCCGATAACCTCCCAGCCATTCGTTGAACTCAAGAGGTCTCTACTTCGCAAGATCGAAAAAGAATTTCCCCCGAGTAAGATCATTGGACAGAAGCCTGAAGGATGGTTGCGTGCTTGGTCGAACTTACCAGAAAGGCCATCAAAGCTTTTTTCATTCCCAACGAGAGGAGTTCCAAGTCACATTCTAAATGATCTAGAGGATCTTAGGGTCCGCTTGGAAACGATTGGCCCGGCTCGAGTTAATGGCTTCAAGCTGATGCACTTCAAGATCAAACCAGTTACAGAAGAGCACAAAGAAACGATCATCAAGTATTATCCATTCAAGGATTGTTTGGATGACTACCAAAATCGTCCCCTGTTTGATACAGTCTGATAAGATCTATGTTCAACATGAGGAATTTATAAACAACCTCTCTTCACCACCTGTCTTCTGACCTTCGGAGTTTCGCAATTAATTCTCCACATAATACTTCTGTGTTGCCTCAGAACAACCTCGAATGCCGAATTTGGTCACTCATTTAGTGGGTTATCTCCATCTGACTTCGAAGGGAGGATCGCAACAGTCATCTGGCAGTACTATTCCAATTATATCATCATAGGAGCTCAATTTTTCCACTAGTGGCATTAAGAAGAACCTTGGGTCGGTGCTCGACGCGCTCCCGGCTGGAATACTTTACATTATGATAGGTCGCTGTCGCTCTGCCTGATATACTCCTACCTCCAAAGAGTTTTGAGTGAGCTCTGAAAGGAGTTGCGTTGGTGGGGAGGTACCTTGGGGGCGATTGGGAGGGCCAGGTGCGTCCAGTTATATTAAACCAGGCTTCACCTCGAAATGAGGTTTGTCAACCGGAATGTATCTTCTTCGTGAAGAGTCTTATTAGTGCTCAGATAATGGAATGGGACGCGGCCTCATGATTGCGAATTCTACTAAATATGCACATGAAATTATTCCAAGGTACTCCTGTTTGTACGCTTATTCTGTATTTACGCGTGTTCTCCTTTATCATCGGAAGATGGACTGCCGGTTTTGGTATTAAACCTTTTTAACAATTCCTTTGTACTTATCTATGATCCGATCAAGGAATTCTTACTTTCTTTATTGAAACATTTTTCAGCCATTTTTTTCTTTCCTCGACTTCTCCATTTCCTACCGAGTTATTGAAAATTCCTCACCCTTCATGTGTCCATTACCTATACCTTTTTTGAATCAAGGGTAATACACACCGAAAATCAAATATTTAATCGGCGATCTTCCGCAACCGTTGAATAGACGACAAAATGCTTCCCCCCGATACGACCGACGGCAAAAGAATATGGCGAGAATATGAGGCCAGCAATTACTGTCAACACCAAAACCACGCCCATCCCGAAACACGTCCCCACTGCCCATGTTGGTCCAATTGGGTTTCTGACCGAGTAGTCAGTCTTGAAAAAGAGATAGATAGGGTACGGGGAGAGGTCAACTTCAATCCACAGGAAGATATGACGCATTTGCAAGAGGAATTGGAATCTGCACAGGCCAGGACAAGATCTCGAATTGCGCAAGAGACTCAGTATCGAGACGAGAGGGATAGACATTTTAATCGACTACTGGATATGCAGCGACAGATTCAAAGCTGTGCTGCCGATCTCGAAGCTGCCCGGGCCGGCCCAGGGCATAAAGTAGTTCTTAACAAAAACGTAACGCTTGAGGAACTCTTGAATGTAGTGCGCCGAGAATTATTATTCCGAGAGGAGAGAGAGCGAAGTGGTATTCCTCGAGAGGAAATTGAAGCTATACGTTCGGATTTGCATAAGCTCTGGCAACTTGCTGAAGCTGCTGCCGGGGTAATCGGTGTCCATCTCGAGCAAAGGGATCTCCTCACTATCCAAGGATATATTATTGCATCAGTGCAAATGATCCAAGCATTGCAGATGGAAATTCAGCAGAAGGATGTTAGTAGTGATTATGTCCTGTTTTTGCAGCAGCGAAACCGGGAGGGGGCAAGGGTGATCAACGAGATGGGTGAGCAACTGAGGGGTGTATGGCAAGGAAATATGCCTGGGATGGGAGTTGTACCCGGGAATTTCACCGCTGCGGTTGGAGCTGTCAATATAGCACCACCTATCGATTTCAAGTCATTCAAGGAACTTATATGGGGTATCTATCTTGGGCTTTTCAATTCGGAGCGAAACCTCACGACAATAATAATGGATCGACAGATGGAGCTACCAATATGGGAACCCGAGCCTATTCGTATTGATTCCGAGAATATAACTTGTCTGAATAAATGGGAGTTGTGTGCACAGCTTGTTCGGAGAGAAGTTGACCGCTTCTTGAGACGAGTGTGGCAACTTTGCTTATATATCCGCGAGATGAATATACCAGGCAGTCAGGATTATTGGAACGGGCCACACGATGATGACCATGGACGAGCAATACATGTGCACGACGCGATGAAAGCCGTTATAGGACGAGGACTTATCGCACAGTCGGAATTAAGAGCCAAACGACAATACATTGAACCAGCTACCGATGCCGCATACAAGACCGATCTCGAGGAACGTATTGATCGACGCTATCCCATCTACCGAGACCTACAAGCCTCGATTAACAATCTCACTCAAAGAATCATAATGTTTCGTCAAGTACCCCCATCATGGCCCGAGCAGCACGAACGAGACAACAGCGCCTTCTCACCTAAGAAGAGCTTCGATTTATTGGCCTTGATGCTTTCGCGTATCGAGATGGAGTATTTGAGCATCCGTTTGATCCAACTCATCCAAACGACGAATAATTGCTGGCACCTAATCCCTCGGGATGACCCCGAAATGGCCCGATATATGTCTAATGAGATGGTCCACGCACATGGCGTACAGGTAGCTTGTGAAGCGGAGTTAACACGACCATCTGAGATTGCGCCCGCACCTGCATATCCAGGGAAGATGCTACCGCCGCTCCCTGCCTATCAGCCATATGGAGATCAAATTATTCCTAAATCGACATACAATAACAATGGATACAATAACAACGATAATAACAACGATAATGGTGGCAAAATTGACAAGGATAAAAAAGATAACGAATCAAAAGTAAGAGGCAATATTAACGCTTTGGAGAAGGCCCTGGAGAATAAAAGTATCACCTTTCAGAGAATGGCAAGAAATAAAAAGGCAAATTTTGCGAATGCACTTAGCAACATCTCAGCGGATGAAAGATTACAGTTGGAGCTAAATAAGTTGCACGAATACAGGAAAATGCTGGAGGGGTTATATACCAGTAAAGGTAAAGGGAAGGTCGTCGATATCAAAGGTTACAAGAGATAATCTTGGAGGTCAAAGATGTGGCATTTGCCGTTTGCTGTTTGCTGACGTAGTGTCCATTATTGTTACATAGTCTGTACTTTAGACCATTGGGAAATATCTAGCTGGTTATTCGATCTCCGTCTGCGCCAGTCTCATCTCTAGCCAAATCATGTTCCTTCAATAAAGTCGTAATCTCATCCGCACCCCAGAGGTGGTGGTAAATTGTGCCATCCTTGTTCTTTCCTACTGTAGCAAACTCAACTGTCAAAACGTTAGCAAGGTCCTTCAAAATTCACACAAAACCACATACTCTTCTCGCTGCTCAACTTCGTAGAATCCATGGTTTTGCTCAACACCTTGACCGCCATTCCACAAGCCTCCTTTAGATCACAGTCCTCCTTGTAATCCTGCTTCAACAAACTCTGCGCACTAGCATTGTTTGCACCAACACTCGTAGCCTTCCATCCTCCATAGTTACCACTAGGATTACTTTGGTAAAGTTGGAACTCCCTCTGTGGATCGTAACCTGCATAGATGAATGAAACACCAAAAGGACGAAGACCACCATGCTGAGTATAACCTTGCTTCAAATCGCATAATCGACGCACGAGCTGTTCGCAAGGAATGTCTTCATTATAGGTAAGGAGGTATCGTTGAGCGGCTTGGCGGGCATAGTTGATGAGGATGTTAGCATCAGCTGTCATACCTGCTACTGCGCAAATCATGTTGCTGAAATATAATGTGTTAGTAGATTTTACTTCGGGAAGTCAACAGCTACCTGACATACTCGTTCAAAATGTAGAGCTTCTCGGCCGAAGTATCTTGCTCCAATAGCTTGCTAGTAACCTTTCTTTCTGCAGCCAATACAATTCCATCCTTTGCCAGGATCCCTAATGCGGTTCCTGCGTGAGAGATAGCTTCAAGAGCATATTCGACTTGGTAAAGACGTCCTTCTGGGGAGAAGATAGTCGTCTTCATGAAAATCAGCTGGATTTCTGAGGGACTAGTGATTAGATGGAGCTTACTCTTGAATCGTATCTTCTGGACATGATTGCGATTGATCGAAAAAGGTATGTGGTTGGGAGAGAGGGTATCAAGGAAATGCAGACGAGATATGAATACTCTGGATCTTGAGTACAAGAAGTTCAAGATGCCTCAAATATGGCTGTGGAATAATTGAAGTCAAATGTATCAACCTCTTTTCGTGGGCAGTGATGTTATATCTGCTGCATCGGTATTGTTATCGTATCCCCAAGCTCAACTGCAACCAACTTTCATATTGGAGCTCCAGGCACGACCCGAACTACGCGTAGTAGCTAGTGCGGAGCTTAGCGCCGGAATCTCTTAACTCTGTAACCTTATTGGCCTTACAGTGTCGTGTCACAGCCTCGTGTCACAGCCTCGTGTCACGGCCTCGTGATGTAGCCTCACACAACATTTGAGCCTTACATAAGGTTAACCATATTTCTGTGTCGGGGCCTTTTCCCAACGCGCTGTGCGAAATGCTGTTTCTACCACGATGAAATTTGAAGATATACACCTCAACGTATTTATTTGACGACTTGTACGACCACATACTGGTGTTATGCTAACGAAATGTTAAAATCAACCCACAAACCAACCCTTCCTCCTCCTTTACCACCAGGATGGGCTGAACACAAAGCACCCACAGGTGAGAAGTATTCCCTAACATGCCTACCACCGCATAGCATAGCTAATATGCAAAGGTCATTCTTACTACTACAATACTGAAACTAAACAATCTACGTATACGCGACCGGTACCAGTAGTAGTGCCTCATCCGCCAGCTCCAGATCCAACCCAGAGCTTCCTCCAATACCAGTCTGTTGGAAATTCAATACCAAGTGCTGGAACGAATTTCAACAAATTTGTTTCTCGAGATCAAGAGCAGGCCCAAGGTGGTAGAGGTGGTTTTCAGGGGCACCGAGGAGGTAGGGGCCCACATGATCGTGCGCGCGAAAGTCGACCACAGCCAAATGACAAACCGAAGTCGCGATTTCCTATTCCCGGATGTGAACCATGGGTTCTTGTACATACCAGGTACGGAAGAAGATTTGTTTACAATACTGAGAAGAACCAAAGTTTTTGGCGAATACCAGATAAACTCAAGGGTGGAATCCTGAAGCTTGATCAATTAAGAATCAAGGAAAAGGCAGAAGCACTCTTGAAGGAGAGAAATGCTGAAGGAATTCCTGAAATTTCTGGTCCTGCGCAAATGCCAGGTATGACGAAGTCTGCTGCCGAGACTCTGGTTCATGATGGAGAAGACAGTTCCGAATATGAAGAGGTAGAGATTACGGATGATGAAGAAGAAGATGGCCAGGAAAATCCATCGAAACGTCAACGAATCGAAGAGCTCGATCATGATGGCCCGGTGGAGTTCAATGAGGACGACATCGCATACCAACTTGCAGCTATGGGGCAAGAATATGGACTAGATCCAGGCGAATATGATGACGGCAACATGGATGAATGGGAACCAGGTGCAGAGGGATTAGAATTAACGTTTGAAGATTCGGCGGCCCTCTTCAAGGATTTGCTCAACGACTTTGGTATAAATCCCTATTGGCCATGGGAGAAATTGATTGAAGATGGGAAAATCGTGGAGGATACACGCTACACAGCTCTTACGAACATGAAATCGCGGCGCGACGTATGGGACGAATGGTCGAAGGAAAAGATTACACAACTTCGAGAATTACGCGCCAAAGAAGAAGAGAAGGATCCCAAGATTCCTTACTTGACCTTCTTACAAAAACACGCAACGCCGAAACTTTACTGGCCAGAATTCAAACGGAAATACAAAAAGGAAGCGGAAATGCGGGACGCATCCTTATTAGATAAAGACCGGGAAAAGCTGTACAGAGAACATATCAATCGACTGAAATTTCCACAATCGACTTTGAAATCGGATCTTTCCACGCTTCTCAAGTCTCAATCCCTGTCCACCTTGAATAATGCGACTCTTATCTCGCATTTACCTCCAGAGATACTTGGGGATATTCGATACATTTCCCTCGACGCATCCGTGAGGGATACTTTGATCGAAGCTTTCATCACCACTTTACCGCCTCCACCTGAGTCCGCCGCGTTAGAAGAAAACGAGGAAGCGACCAAGCAGAGATTAGAAAAAGAAAGAAGACAAAAGGCACTCGAGGAAAGAGAAAGAAGAGTGGCAGAAGAGAAACGGAAACAGCAAAAGGCTTTGGATTTTGGAAGGGAGAGGCTAAGGGATGGAGAGGCGGAAATCCATCGTGCTATGAATGTGTCCAAAAAAGGTCTCATGGGACATTTGAACGAAGGGGAGGTAGAGAAGCAGAGCTCGTGATATTGAAATTTCGAATAAATTATTTGAGAAAGCCGAAAATATTTAATACCTATATTATTGGTCTAATAAAAATGACATGCCAACAGTTTCGAAACATTTAGTTGATTCTTCACACAATGCTTTTGTTCTGGCTCTACATATTTCTAGTGTACCATATCCATCCACAACCATTGGATTTTATGATTTCTTACCATTCTTCTTTCTTAACTTCATTTACCGTTGCACTATAGGAATTATAGACAGTTTGGGAGGAGCTGCAGATGTAATTCTTCTACAAACAGTCTGTTTTGAGAGAACAAGAGAAGGTCAGTCGGTAAAGGTTTGGTAAATCTAGTCAGGGGTATAAGCGAGAATGACATTTCATGATGAGCCCATTTATGAACGCTCTGTGCTGGTTGTCGCCAAATTTTCCAGTCATGGACACAAGTATATGCACGTTGCAAGCTGAGTAATACATAAACACAGAGTTATGAGTGAGTATTTCCCCTTCAGAATCGCACCCAACTCGCTTCCAATTGTTTTCCTTTCCCCCCCATACCTTAGAACTACCTAAAGAATACCGCTCACATCAATCAACATCTATCTACCCATGCCTCTAATGAGACGAAAATTAATACCAGCATATCAGTACCTTGGAAAATCAATTGTAGCATCTGATATCGCTCTTCCGCCAACAGCTATCCTGAATTTCAGATTCGCCCCTCTATCGCCAAAGATAGTGTGAACCTGGAGGTAGAACAGATGAACCATCTTTTTCAGACGAGGGTTATACCTCGACTTGCTATTAACACCGTAGTTGAATTCCGCAGGAATCACAGAGCGGATCTGGCCGACTAGCTCAACGCCTTAATCTATTAGTATCGTGGAGTTTGTTGGTAGTCGCATCCCAGATGAGATTAACTTACCAGGGTCATCTATTCTTTCAAGTTGGGATCCATTCCGCAAGAGTAGATTCTGATCCTAAAGTGTTTGGCTTTTCCCGGGGTATATGTGAGGAAGCAGTTTTTTGAACACTGTGTCCCTTGAATGATAGGATCGCCCTAATAGCATGAGAGAGATCCAGAAAATGCTGATGAGAAAGAACACCTTACGTTAGAAAGACACCATTGTATCCGACCTTCACAGTATTTATCGTTGTCGAATTCACCAATAAATGCATGTTCCTCCCTATATTTACCCTCTCGAAACGGTAAAAAGATTTGGAACCCATAATGAATACGAGCGTACTTGAGACGAGGCGCAATTTCTTCCAGTCCTCGAATCGCAGCACCTCTCAAGACTACGGTTTGTCTGTTAATAATATCAGATAATGGCAGAGAGCAGAGTTCATGAATTACTTACGGACTCTTGGGGCATAGAAATTCAATCTCGCCATTAAAGCGACACCATATCGACAGCTTATCATAGAGATATTTCGAACTTCCGAGACCACCGACTAAAACCATACGCTACAGGCGAGTCAGGAAGAAATACAATGTAACAAATTGATATACCGGCTTACATGAATCTTAGCCTTTTTGTGTACTCTTACTTCAATCAACTGCCGCTGCAGTAGACCGATAATACTTTCGACGATGGGGTCAAATATAGATTCCATATCTTGTCTGAAAAAAAGTCAGCAAGCTATTAGGTAGCATACACTTGATCTGCTAAGCCCAGATCATATTCTCTGTGTGAACAGCTGAAAACGCAAATATGAGCTTACTTTGTAAGTACCACAAAATGTTCAAGGCTATTGTAATATTTCGAGTTAGGAAAATCGAGTCGCATTCGACTCAACTCGATATCTTGCCAACTTTCCATGTTGTAGCCAAACCTCTTCTTGGCATATTCCCATTGTGTCATGAAATCACCTCCTGGACCCTTCCCATAGTACTGCACACCTTTAAAAGCCCGACCAAAGCAATTGAATAACAACGCGTGTAGTCGACTGTCAAGGAAAGTTGACCCACACTTTGCACCTACAATTGCAGCTTGTTAGCTATCTTGTCAGTAAAGCTATCCAGTGATTTCCATCGTAATTTACGTGCGGTCTTTACTAGAGTATGGGAAATCTCTTGGCAAAGACACATCCTTGGATGAGTTTGGGATGCTCACCTGTCCCGACGCAAAGTTCCTCAAACTCCACATTCGGCACTACCATGGTTACTTTGTATGTGGAGATATCTACCGTTCCTCCTCCGAAATCACAGATCAAGAAATTGTCTCCTCCCTAAAGACATATTAGTGCGCCGTCTCCTCATCGAGTACTTTCAATTTTTGATAATTCGCCTGCACGGCATTCAAAGCTCCGGGTGCAGCAAGCTCTTTCAGTGTGGCAATACCAGCGGCTTCTGGCTCTGAAATTGTGTGCATCTGATATAGTGATCGGTTCCCCAAAACCAGCGTCTTTTGCGGCCTTGAGTATAGTATCTTTTGCTTCTTCGGACCAGATAGCAGGTAACGTGATCCAGAAGTCCATCGGAGTTATATCATAAGTTATAGCTGTAAGTCGATGCTTCATGATAGTGGAAAAGTGTGAATACATTTCCCGAAGAAAGTCAGTACAGACTTCCTTTGCATTTTGGAACTGTGGTAAAACCATAATCCCTTCGTTTTCGCCTATGACATGAGTCACGTCGTCGTATTGATTCGAGGGAGCATTTCTGTCTAGAAGGAGCTTTGTCCAGGTATAAGACTTGCATTTGTTGCTGAAGTCGAAGCCTATCTTGTTTGATCTCAGAGTTTTGTTCTCAACTAGATATGCAATCTTGGTTGGGATTTTCCGGCCTTCGTTTTCGTCGACGGCAACTGGCCACTCTGCTATGCAGACGACATCTTTAATGTCCTCACTAGTACTAAGAACATAACTAATTTCTAGAGACATCTGAGCAGAGTAAAATTTAAAAGCAATGACCGTGATAAATACCGGAGTATGTGGTTCCATAATCTATAGCTACTATAAGCTTATGAATTGGTTCAGCGCTAGCAGTGATTGGATGGCTGTTACTGTCTGTGGAACTGTTTGACGACATCATACAAAAATCAATACGGGTAAAAATCTCTGTTCGTTCAATGTGATGGGCTGGAAATTGCGCAGATGCAGGAAATTATATTGGAATTATTATTTTCATGACCCCCTTCACAGATTTTGGAACAGAACAATCTAGAGTACGTGGCTAGGCAATATCAATGTCTCTTTGAAGCGTGCGCATGGAGCAGGTCCTGTCACATTAGCGCGGCAAGGACGCAGCGTGAGAAATCTCTAGTATGGTTCAAGTATCCCGGGGAGATCACTACTGAATGTTTAGAGAAAAATCATTTTTATTGAAAAGAGAGGCTTCATTATAGTACCGAGTATACATATCATCGTGCTATTGACAAATGAATACAGGAGTCAAAAGTATGAGGAAACAGTAGGATTGGCATGTGCCGCATTTCCAGTATCGAAAATAAGAACAAGCGATCGAGCCCTCAACGAAATGACATGAAGCTAAATCGAACAAGACTCCAGTGTCTTCCCCATGAGCCAACTAGAAAACAACGGTTAATACGTTGGGTTCGACATTTGAGCCCACACCATCAGCTGTGGGAGATATTAAAACCTGTAACCAAAATTTGTCCAGAAGAAAGCAAAGTTGAAATTGCATCTGCGAACCTTCTGACACGAGACATCCTTGGCGATGACTTGGAAAAATGTTCCCATAGTAACGGATGGCAAGTAGCCTCCAAGCAAATCTTGACTAGGTTGACTACGACTCCACTAGAAGATCACAATCCTGATTCTTCACTAGGGCAGAAGTTATTCACAAATACGGAGGAAGCTATCTGCGAGATTGCCGATAACCCTTTGTTTAGTGGTGAAGGATTGAAAATCATGCAAACTCCTGATGCTCGCCGTCTGTCAACCCACTCGGAAACTGGCAAAGACTGCACGATATCACAGACACCACTTTACGGAAATACATATTCGAAAGTTCAACTTGGCCATCCACAACCTATTGTACATTCAATCCTACAGCGCCCGTACCGGGACAAAGCACAGTCTTCACCTGCTAATCCGCCACGTCCGAATTTACTAACAAATATTCATCACCGGAATTTATCCGGGAGTGCCGTATTTAGGAAGAACAAACGGATCAGGTTTCTAGGAGATGTGACTAAAAAGCGGAAGCGTCACCGAATGATGACTAGAATCCTGAAGAATGAAATCGTCAACCTACGAGAGAATGAAAAGAAGTTGCAGCAGCACTTTGAAGGGGAATTCACCCGGGTAGTACGTGCGCTGCAGGAAATATAGTTCAAAGGACTGAAACCAGGCGATTGGGCCGCCACTACAAATGGCGCTGTCAGAGACGATATCAGGGGCATGAATAGCGCGATAAGAGAATGTAGCACTGGTGCAGTCAACAAGAACGCTCAACTGCTCATTCAAGACACATGTCTAGGAGAACACTCAGAAGCGAAAAAGGAGTTGTGGCAAGAGCTTGCAAAAGTAATGGTATTTCAGGACACGGAACTTCCCAGAGGGTTGCATCCGGAAAAAGCAGGTAAACTTTTACTTACTGCCCTACTTTCACACAGCATATACTGGAGCATTTTTTCAGATCCTTTCTTTTTTCTTGGGGACAGTAGCTCAAGTCTGAATAGCTTCTATTCAATAGGACAATCATGTATGGTCGCACATTCTCATCCTATACTAGGACTAATAGATATAGGGACTAACGAAGCGGCCCACATATGGTGCTCTGATACCTTGAGACTCTTTTTCCCCGAATTCAAACACAATCACAAAGTCAAAAGCTCCAGGCTACTCATGCAAGCTTGCCTCGACAAAGTAGCAGATTCTTATGCAGAAGGGTTTGCTGCAAGTGCGGCTCGATATATTTTCAGACTAGACTCGTCGGACGTTATTAGCAAACTTCACAAAGTTTATCGACAGGCTGCGAATCTTTCTTACAACCTCTGGACCCGCAGAGTCCATCTTAAAATAACCACATTGGAAGGTCTGGACAAGATGTTCGACGACAAGGATCCGAAGACGATTCTTCATACTACGGTAACCGAAGATGAAGACAAGCTGACAGGCCAAGATATCACCATACTTGTGCACCCCCTAGTCGAAGCATACGGAACTGAACAAGCAGAGCATTTCGACCGCTCGCGGATATGGGGGCCAGCTGAGGTATAGTTGTACAAATCTTCGCCATGCGATTCTGAAGTTTGTGGCTCGGAATCACTATGAGGACAAAGTGTGGAAATGGTATGATAACACGGAGCAAAAATAATGGCATTCCTCTTTTGAAAGAATTCCTTGAAGAAAAAAGTAACGTTCACCGGAAAAAAACACGATTGGAATCCGTACTATTTATTCATAGACTCACACACGTTATTTCTTCATTTCATATTGAGTAGCGCACTACATTCTGGACGATGAGGACTATCAGACGAAATTGCAAATCAGCGATATTAAGTATGACTTCCTTTGTATTCATCATTATAGGGAAGGTACTATAAATAGAAACCATTTCCTATTGATGCTTTCGTGTAACCCATTATACAATCGTGTGAAAAAAAAAAACAACCGATAAACTTGTACTCCAGACAGAAATCAATTCAACCCATTTCATAAAGGAAATTGAGGAGAAGAAGAAGAGGATCTAGCGGCACAGTCTGCACACAGTATTACCAGTGTACTTTATTATCAACATTGAACCTAGCATTAATGACGGTTCCTACTCCGGACCCTCGGCCAACTACGAGTACAAAGAATATTTAATTCTTTGTTTGGGTATTTTCCATCTTCTAGCTCTTCAACAAGGAAATTAAAATATTGTGCTGTCAAGTTGATCGCTGAAATTAGCGCGCGATAACAGACTTGAAAACAATCATCATGGAAGCAAAAATTTCTCAACTCCAAAAAACGCTCAGGCAGAAAGATGAGGTGATAAAAAGAGTTCAAGAAGAGCTTATAAATAAGTACTATGTATCACGCGAAACTTGGGAACCAATGGATAATATTCCAGGCAAGTTCCAGGATCTTAGATATGCCATCCGTCAATGGTGTTCGGCACAGGCTAAAAAAGAATATAAATTTGATCTGAAGGGGAACGAACGGGAATTATTCCTTCAAGAATTAGCAGAAATTTTGCTTCTCGAAGGAGCAGATCAGCGAGAATTTCCAAAAGCACTACTTAATGATGGCAACCTTAGAACGAGAGTAATTCTCGAAGGCCTCTTTGCACACCATCTATTTTCAGCATTTTTCCCCGACCCTTTCTTCTTCCTAGGACAGCAAATCTCTAAGGGTCTCAACGAAATTTTGTCATTAGCTGCATCATGTACGTCCTGGAAGGTTCTCACTGATTATTTAAAAAATAACTAAATTCTATAGGGAGCCTACGTGAAGCTCATAGTTGGCGTGCGGAAACTTTGAGGCTCCTCTTCCCACAAAGCACTGATTTCAATGCTACAACAGTGAAAACGCAGATAGAAAAACTCACTCATAAAGCAGCCGTTATTGCAGCCAAAGAATTTGCGGAAGTTCAGCGCGCCATATCATAGATGAAAAGTCGGGAAGCTTTAAAGGATTGGAAGATGTGTATGTTCAGGCTGCCGAGCTTTCGTATAGGCTCCGGACTCAAAAGAATACATGAAGCTCTCTACCGGATTCGTTTTCTTAAGTAGGCCATTCAGAAAGGCTGACGAAAATCACACCAATGAGGGTTCTAATCGTGACCACCGCAAAATGAATATACACCATAGTTGTAACTATGACGGTGAAGAAAATCAACCAGTCTCCATGGTTGTGCACCCTCTGATTGAGGCATTTGGCCGCGCCCCAACTGGACCAGACGAGAGATGGAAATATTTTCAAGAAGCGAAGATTTGGTCAAAGCTCGAGGTCCGGCTGGATATTCCTGAGCCGGGAGAGCCTGGGAAAAAGAAATCAACTCTTGTCTCGCAACGAGTCGACTCCTCAAAGTTAGAACCGCCGAAACAGCTAGGTGCAAGGTTACTGAAAGGCCTGGAGCCCACTACTTCGTTAGAGCTTGTTAAACCTTACATAGATGAATTTTCGGACACACTGAGACCTTTGGTAGATGGGTTACGCAAGGAAATAATGCAACTTGAGGACAAATGCGACGAGAAGGATGTGTCTATTAGCTCCTGGCAGGCCAAAGCAGAGGATATACAAAAGGAAAGAGATCAATTGAGGATTCAGAAGGAAGCTATGTGACTGGAACTAAAGCGCCTCGGACAGAAGGGGAATGATACCTAATGAGATGGTAGAAGTACGAATATATATGTGCGAAGACATCGAGCGAAACATGGAAAAATAACAGCCAAAAGAGCCTCAGCCACAGTGAAAGGTAGAGCTAGCTACTTTGACGGATAAGGGATGCTCTGTGCCTTTGTCTTTCTGCCTTTCTGCCTTTTGTGAAGAGTTGGCTGGATGGATGTGTTTGTGTAGAACTTATTGATAATCTGAAAGCGATAGGTTAAGAACTTTTATCGGGTTTCACGACGCGGGGGAGGCACGTGACTCGCTCGGATGTGCCAATAGATATTGGACAACAATTTTGCACCCCAGATCTCAAGGGGCTTGGTATTTTACTATTTTGCATGGTAGTGGGGGAGTGGATTTGTTAGTGAATTAAATGTCCGTGGAAGAAAATGAGGGTTTGAAAGCAAGGTCGACGCGATGAGCGTGAAGAATTTGGAAGAGTGCGAAACAGAAGTGATCAGGATATAGTTTACCTAGTTTGCCATCTGGAGAGAAACTTTCAGCAAATGGGTAGAGCAAATGCTCATACTTTTGGATGGTTTGACGACAATAACTCTCGGTACTAGTACTGGGACTGGTAAAAGTCATGGCATTAGCATGGGCAGGAAGTGGATGTGATGAAGTGTGAAATCCGCCTGGTACTCTGAATTGTTGACGTTCAGTAATCCAATCAAATGTATCTTATGAGCGGAGGGTGTATCCTGAAAATGTTGAGTTGAATAGGTACTTACAACATACCCCTGGTAATACCTACCATTGCAAAACTGTCGAATGATTGTTTTAGCAGCACAGCCTGTGGCGACTTTTGAGGACAAACGATTAATAGCTGTTGAGACATGTGTATTACTACAATCTACTTTCTAATGTTTCTTTTGAAAATGACAATTTAAATCTAATCCAATCATTGGGGCCCATTCCATCCCGTATTTTTCTGCCCATGTCATATTCGTGAATTCACCATCCGGAGGCACAAGACAGAATCAACATGAAAAATGAGAATGATTATTATCACTTGCGTGGTCATTCACATATGTTCAAGCTTCACCTAATCATCAGCTATTGACTTATGAGCTCTCAACTCCAAGATCTTGCATTGATACCAAGTTGGTAATAGGAAAGGCTCTTTCCTTCCAAGAGAGCCTGTACCTTCTCTGTGTCCAACCTTGCTATAATGTCTCTTTCTTTCTTCAACAAGGTTACTTACAGAGAGATTATCGATCCTCCATATTAGCCCCCTTGGACCTACCCTTAAGAGAATCACTTTCGAGCAACCTCCGAGGAGCAGTGACGTGCTATATATCTTCCTCGAACTCAATCCTGTCTACCATAAAGCATAAGGACTAATTATACTTAACTATTAGAGAGATGTCACTCTTCCATGGTATCTATTCTTCTTCCGCTCCACAGAATATAGGTATCACCATATACGATTCATCCACACAGAATCGTGCATTTAGATATGTCGTCCCACAAACATCGCCATGGCATCACCCCACACTTCCAGAGATTCGACCCTTTTCTGTAAATCTCCATATCCTAATCGACGATAAACAAAACCTCCGTTACTACATTCTCCGACCTCCGCCTGAGAAAGAGCCGTTCGACGCCGATCATTTACCGACGATATCTAGTGTTACAAACATTCGCGACCTAGCTAGGCTCGATCCAGCAGCTAAAGCTGTCGTTAGAGAAGTTCATAATGCTTTAGGGATGCAGAAGTTATGGGATTTCAAGAATGGATTGTGCTACACTCTCTTTACAGCTCGATTTGCATCAGATGCTTTTCATTCAACTAGCGCCCTCAGCTCAACCACGGCGTCCGCTATGTCTCGTCACTCGGAATCTTTGCAGACAAATCCATATGTGATACGACCTGCCGATGAACTACCTCAGGTACTAGCAAGTGGCGATATATATCCTCTTGCATACGGATCGCACTCATTGGACGTTCCATTCAACGAGTTACAGTTTAAGAAGGTCAGCACTGAAATCTATGGCTGGTACATGTACAGTTGGCCCTGGCTTGCCAATGTTCGTGCAAAGATGTCTGTGCGTGTTAAAGCACAGAAAGATTGTCAAATACTGGCTCAACAGTGCCGTTGGAGGAACGGAGGTTGGTTACTTGATCATCATATTCAGCAATTTTATTTTCCCAGGTTATGTTTTGCTGCTTCCTCACTTTACTCTGGCGTAGCGACCAATTCAGCCGACGATGACTCTGTGATCTCTGCAAATCCACAAGATTATATCGAGGGTCCCTGGATCGTAGATGGCCTTTATAAACGCGCTCGTACTGCGCTCTGCCGTAAATACCTCATGGAATTTCCTTGGTTCGAACTCTCAAGTCTGAAACGTAAAGTTGAATATGACATAGGCTTCTTGCACATGGCGTGGCTATTAGTTGGATATCCGTACATGAAAAGCAACGACAAGGAGGGTATCCATGTGGAAACATTGCAGGATAAAGAGATAATTACATTTTACAATGCGGATATGTATGATTTGGTTAGTTGTTGGCCTGATGAGAGTGAGTATATGGGAAAGGAAGGCCGATTGCAGAAGAGGATGGAAAAGTGTCGTCTGCACGTCGATGTGAACTTTGTCGCTATGCCCCGGAGTTGGAGACAGTTGATGAGCTTTGGTGATGAGTTATTATGAATTTTTCTCGTTCGAGATTCACAAATAATAGAACATTGCGTACAAGCATAGGGGGACGACATGAATCACAACAAACGTCAGGAAAAAATGACACGATGACGACGATAGAGCTTCTTGGAGAGACCGTGGTAAACTTTGAGAAATGGATGCTGGGCGGCAGGAATTAATTTGGGTAAATTTGCTGGAACATGGAACTTACAATGCTTATTTTCAATAAAGTTTCATGAAAGTGTCCTGGTGGTCTTATATTTTCATAGAATAAGAATATTGGTTTGGAGACTTCCGCCCCAACCGTTCTTGGAACAGTAGATATATATATATATAAATAATACACTATAAACCCTTTGTTTTTTACTTGGGCCATCCATATTTCAACTCCCCTCTCCCTTCTCCGCTTCCACAATCTTAGCTCCTGGCTCTACTTGAAAGTATATAGTGAGACATCAAAGAAAGGCCCTCGTTCATTTAAACATTTCTCTTCCACTTCCATAATCTCACACTAATTCCAAGAATAAGGAAGGAATCAGGTGAGCCGTGTCGAACTGGGGAGGGAGGATGAATAATCTTGTGGTGTGTACTAATATGAATTGATATCTCAACCCATTACATTAGTTAATAATCATACAAAAATTGAGGAAGCGCCGAAGGAATATTAGAAGACTTTGATATTCTGTCATTGATACAATCTAGAGCTCTGATGCTTTTCTAGCTTCGGATTAGCTATATCACCACCCATTGATACATTGTGCATTATAAATATTGTTTCATTAATTTGTGGTTAATTATGAGTTTTATAAGCAATATTAAGGTCATCATTAAGATAAATAACGTTAAGGTTAGTCTTTCTCCTGTGGTCAATTTCACAGGTCGTCCTTAGAATTTCTCGATTATAGGGGATAGTTACCTACTTAGTATATATCCTACATTAAGATGAGGGTAATGAAAATGAACAAGAGTACGCGAAGGAATTAAATCAGAATTTAGAAGTCTGTATGTTGGGTGTTGGTGGGTAAGTTAATTAGGTGATTATCTCTAAAAAAGACATCGCTTATCATGATTCATGCCCCTGAATAGTGGATCAACGCTCAAGCACGTCCGTCTGGACATCTATAGTATGTTCGTCAAACATGTAAAGAACGGGATTTACGGGAGGAAAATCCAAAGAATGCAAAGAGCCAGAGTTTCCAGATAAATAGACTTAGCCTACTCTTTTCCTACCCTTCTCTTTGAAACTTCATTCAGTCTAATCCTTCTTCAGCATATGTTTTCCTTCATCTACCATCCCTTTATTTGTCATAAGCAAGGCGCTCTGCTCCCCAGTTTGCAGACGGGAGCGTGCACTGCGGTAGCTTCCAAATTGCTATCTATTCATGATTTCATATGACACAATGGTTTAGCCTTGCAAGCTACCATTTCATGTACCTGGTAATTAGGTCGAGCCATATTATTTTCAAATTTAGATCATTGAGAAAATGAAGGATCTAGCTTCCATATAATCTCCATCGAGCTGGTCCATACAGAGATATGCAGTACCGATTCAAGAAAGCCCGTAAACTGTAAATCTACATAGATGATTCAAATTCCCACACATGTAGCAGTCATGGCATTGCAAGAAAAATCAATATCGGCATCTAATTAACATATAGCTGTCAAATCTTGAGTCTCAAAAAGATTGGCAAATAGAATTCATTTTCGCTGTAGTGGTATCCAGAATGATGCACACCAAAATTTCGCGGCTCAAGTCTTCCCTGGACGAGCATACAAGTAACGCCTTGCTGAAATCTGCTTCCTGAACCAAATTTATCCACACTTAACCAAAGCACATTATATACCCAGAATTGACATATATTTAAACATCAAGTTTCTTCTCCTGTTCAGTAGGAGTAGCCATCTCATCTGCCCAGTCGCCAGCTCCAACGAACGGAGAATTGAGAACGGATTTCGTAGTTTTTGATGTTGTTGTAGTGGGCAATGATGGGAAGTCCTCTAGCGCAGGTACAGTTTGTGTTTGTTGTGCTGAACCACCTCTTCCACCCCTTCCGTTACCCCTTCCCCTTCCTCTTCCGCGCCCAGATCCCCGTCCTTTATTATCATCATAAATGTATGAAGACATATCATCTTCCGGCGCATCATTAAACCTACTACCAGCCAAGCCACCCCGACCTCTAATAACTCCACCATGACCACCTCTAACATATTGCGAGCTCCTTCCTTTATTGTCCTCGAAATCTTTCTCATCCTTGCCCTCGTCCCACTCCCTCCCACCCATAGCCTTTAGCTTTCTCTCTCTATTCTTCATTCTCTCACCTTCCATTACTCTACCTCTCTCGATCTCTTCTTTTCTCTTGCGCTTTTCTTCTTTTTCCTTTTCCGCATAACCCTCTCGATCTTTTTCACTCTTCCGGAACGACTCGGCCTTTTCTGCATTTATGATCTTCATTCGCTCGAGCTTTGCTGTCAATTCTTCCTCGGTGAGCTTTTTATGTGAGGGACCGCCAGTCAAAGAACGATCCCCTCGAACTGACAGTATAGATTTTTGTTGTGGTTGTGATTCGACAGGAGATTGTACTGGTGGAGAGGTCGAAGGCGCGACTTGGACTTGTTCAGTTGCGGATTCGGCAGGTTGAGATTGATTGGCGACAGGCACCGGGTCTTGAGACGCATATCTGGATGATTTCAGACCATTATTTGATGTACCACCTCGACCTCCCCTTCCGCCTCGTCTTCTATCCGTGCCTCGTTCCCGCTGATTTCTATGATTATGGTTGTTTGAAGGTCCTGTTGATGAAGATAATTGTGCGCCATTGGTGTGAACATATGTTTCTGCTGTAGGCGACAGTTTTGAGACGGATTGAATTGGTGCCTCTTCTATGACTGTAGGTTCCGACGCAGGCTCGAATTCATCGCCGAAGAGATCATCGTCTTCTCTTGATTGCGCAAACTCATCCATGTTGAATATGAACTGGTGGGGTTAAAGGAAATTATTGGGATTGTTGACTGCTTTTCGAGAGTGTTGCGAACAATATGATAGATTTCCTAGTCGTGCGCTGTACTCTAGAATGCGTGAATACCTTGTATATACTATCGTATACTTTGAAACTATTGTTGGTGGTGAACAATCCAACCGTATGCGTAAGAGAGTTTTCATCACAAGGTGGGATAATCGGTTAAATGTCGGTCTCCGGATTAATAATATTCCATGGCAACGGTGACAGGACAGGGTCAATGAGCATGAAGCGAGGGTAAGGTTAAGGGGAAAAGACAACTAACTGCATTATGATCTATCACCATGTAAAAGGCAGGAACCTTCGATGCATCTGGGCAGCGGAGCAACAACCTTGGATACTGTAGTAGTCAGCTATCTAAGGAATGTTTACAAACTCACTCGCGGAATGAATTATAGTAACCGTGCACAGCCGTTGTTCCCGTTGGTTAGAACCACACCAAACAATCTCTTGCCTTATTTTAGATTATCAAGATATCCTATCTGATATCATTATAACTAATCAAAATCTGTATATATTTGTCAATTATACACGGAAATTTCAATATTCTATATTCTCATCTCTTGAATAAAATTATAACATAATAAGCTTTCTTTTAACGTGGTTTATCAGTAACCGGAACATATCAGTAACCGGAACACTTTTACCTCAATTACCCATATTCCATTAAAATAAAATTACAACACCATAAATTAGGATTGAATTATATACAATCTAAAGATCAACTAATGCTGGATCGAACTGACAAGTTCGTGCATTATGTAAAGTACTACCGCATTTGCTACATTGTTGTATAGTAGCTTGCCTCCTTGCTGAAGAATTATCATTTGTATATTCGTCGCGTTGTATCTGATCTTCTACATTCTCTTGTTCTAATATACCATGCCTATCTTCTATTGAAAGTGCTCTTCTTTTTCGTATTAAAGCTTTTCTAGCTCTCCGGCGTTTACTAAGTGCTTCATTTGCTTTGCGGAGACTATGAACCTCAGCAGTTAAAAGCGTATTCGCATGAGCTAGGAGCTCTGTACCCTTAGCTAAAGCTGCAACTGTTTCAAATATTGGAGTAGGTGAGCTCCCTTGATGCCGAGCAATATGACTTTTCACTAAAGTGGATTGGGAAAGAGCTTCAGTTGGATTGTGAGGTGTTTGAGATTGCCATATATCAGGATCGGCTGATATTGATCTATTTGATGGAGTTCTTATTCGAATATCTAGCTTTGAAAGTACAATTTCCGGATTAAATGGGATTAGCCCAGCTCCGCGGAACCTAGCTTTACCATTTGATATAGATATTGCTTCGATATATGCAGCTTTGAAGGTTTGAAAGAACTCGGTTTTGGTAATATGAGTGATATGCGCCTTGATAAAGTTCTCGATTTGTCGATTATATGAACGCTTTAAAGGACCAAAACAATCGATATTGAGTGGTTGAGTTAAATGCGAAGAATGAGGTGGTAAACTAAGTAATATAATGTTGTGTTTCTTGCAGTATTCCTGAAATGCTGGCGATTTATGACTTTCATGCCCATCAAGCACTAGCATTCGATATCTACCCATTTTCCTACTTTCAGTATGCTTGTTGAAGTGCTTAATCCATTCAATACCTGTCTCATCATCTGTCTATCCATTGGTAGTAGGTTTAATAAGCCAATCATATAGTAAATCGCCTTCGGTATATCAATTTGAGAGATGGTATTCGCCTTTTACTATCAAAAACGGAGGTATATTATGACCTTCTCCATCAACACAAATAATCGCTGTAGCCCATTCTCGATTGCCTAATTGTATAGCTTTGCTTTTTCCATGTCGATCAGCTTTAGTAACTACTATATATAATGATATTTGTCCCATCATAAAGCCTGTCTCATCGAAGTTGTAGAAATCGCAGTCTAGAATACCATATTTGGCCCGCATATTCGACACTAATCGAAACTGTGTGAACGAAGTGAATGACTTCAATTCAATTACTACTGTAATAAAGAACTAAGCGAACGCGAAAGAGACTAGCTCTTTTAGTAAGTCTATATAAGACTTACTACTTTCAATATGTAGCTAGCTCTTTAGACAGAATACAATTAGACATACAGGACCTACATAATCCGTGGGTGCTACGTCTTCCGTATCCTTCTCGTACCAACAGAAACCATCTTTCAATAAGCTCTGAATCTTCGCAAAGAGCTCTTTGAAAGTTATAAACACAATTAAAACGCGTCTTTAATTCTGTATATCGTTTCACAAAGCGATGAGCCCAGAGCTTTCCAACTGTTGACCTCCTGGGATCTTGGCAGCATATGCATATATATTGCATGATGCATATAAGGAGCAAACAAAACTCAACTTTTAATTCATTCTTTCCTTTTTGGTATACTGTTTGTTTGCTTTCAATATTTTGATTTCAAAGCACTTTAATTCCGAAGGCTGAATACCTAACCTGATTCCTTCATTTTTTTTTAATATATACTCGCAGCTTAACTGCTTAGCTAGAGAATCAATCAATTCAATCTGATGCTCTTTCTGGTCTCAATAAACCCAATACCAACCTTCTTCGCACCCCGCGTTTCGAGTATATAATTCGCCATATCTTCCACATCACTTATTCGAGGACTAAACCCTCTCTCGTCCATATCAATTATATATTGAAAAAGCGATTTCTCCTCTAATTCCGTCATTTTACAATGTATTGATCGAGATCCAGCTTTCGGCGTTCGACCGGCTATTCTGTAGGTAAGGGTAGTATGCGGTATATTATAGATTTTAGCAGCTCTTCGCACACTTAGTTTTTTGGATGAAGCAATAGCTTGAATGGCTAGATTAATTTGCGACTCTTGCATATTGATTTGAAAGGTTGAATATGGATTTATCGCGTGTTAAAGTTGAGAGGTGGTAATTGAGGTAAAAGTGTTCCGGTTACTGATATGTTCCAGTTACTGATAAACCACGTTAAAAAGTTCTTGATTTTCGCTTATTATTTTACCAATAAATTTATATCCTCTACACTGTCACACTCAAGAATACTGGGCAAAGTATCTTGTATTAGAAAATACTAAGCTAAGGAGAAAAGAAGAAGGAAAACAAGAGTAGAGATTGATTGATTGATTGATTGTGTTTATCGTCATAGGCCGTAGGCCCACGCGCCTTGGCGCGTGATAACCTTAGCCATCTATTCCAGTTTTGGACAAATGACGCTCAGAGGAGAAGCCTCTGAGTGGTTTACTAGCTAGCTAGGGGGAGTATTTATATACAATTTAAAGGGGGCTAGGGCAGGGTTTACATGATTGCCTTCGCAGGGGGGGTTTGAGCCGGTAGGCCTTTTGGGGTTGTAATTGTGGTCATCCTCGTCCACTAGATCACTGGCTCTTGATCTCTCTCCCTTCCCCTCATACTATTAAAACATTGTACTCGAAAACCCTTCATCCCTGATCCCCTTCCCGATACCATCAATCCAATTACTCCTTATATACCAGAACGTACTGTAATCGCCCACCGTCAGGATTGCCTCGTCCTCATTCTGATCATCCTGCCAATAGAAAGCTTATGAAGGAGCACCAATCCTCATATAGCGTAACTATAGCATGCACAGGTAGTGGCTTGTACGGGTGTCCCGATTCCGTAAGTAGCATACCTCCGCTGAATGAGAGCAGAGTAAGTTTCGTCATCAGCTCAGGTCCTTCAACAGTACTCCTCCGGTGTTCCCGTATGGAAGGTATATAAATTGTTGTCGTTTCAGTCGTGTCGATCATGGGAGGTATACAGTATATAACATATACGCGTCAAAGATGTCGAGTTGTACTATATGTTCCAGAGGAGTCTCACTTTTAAGAAGTGAGATGATTTCGTGGCGTATTGTCGTAGATGATGGTGTTGTCCTCTGTTTCGTAATAAAGGTAGTGTTGTAGAGAGCGCATTTCGATAATGCAACTGTCAAAAAACCGCAAACGGGTAAAAACGTCGTGATCGGGCGCCTCTTCCTCTTCCAATTACCACGACTCCATCAAATAACTCAAACTTAGCTCTGCAGACTCTCATAAGAGAGCTGGAGGTTCGTAGGATGCACCGCGTACAGGTGTTGAGTCTTCGCATCCCTAACAAGAGTAGAGAGTTTTCCTGTGATTAAATACAAACGGGGCATGTCACGTGACCCGGAGGTATGGGGCGTCACATACACCAGTGTTATTCTCCCAATTGAATTCAAAAGTCTATAATAAATAAATTTTTGATATAATTCAAATGAAAAGGAATAAATTGAAATAAAAATATTGATACATTATTAAATCTCGTGATATAAAACGTTTAAGTGTTTTGTGAGTTTTGGTGTGATGTTGATGTACGACGAACGGCTGTGCGCAAGTACTGTAGACCGTGTTGTCTATGAAGGCCGTGGGGGAGGTTGGCATTAGTGTGACGGAAATCCCTGCTTTCCTCCCACCCTTATTATATAAGAAACCTCAGGTACATTAACCATGTCCACACATGATACGATTACTCGGGATTAGTATGCGATTTAGGTGACCTGAGGATCAGATTCGGACAAGTACTAGGTATCAATGGTTATTGGTAAAGTAAGATCATTGGAGGGATAAATATGAATTCTTTTTGCCTAGCCATTACGGCTAGGCCATTCATTTGTGTATATATAGAGTAGCTATCCCCATCTACAGGTGCTCTTCACCTGTAGATTCTAAGTTAAATACAATTGCTGGTCTATAAACACCCTTTTGGTCACAATTAGCTAGAAACAATCCTTTTCTGATTCTTATTATCTGAATATAAATGGTAGTTAAAGTGTGATATGATTTTTAGATTTCGAGTAATTTTCTTTTGTCAAAATTGAGTAATTCGGCGTCGGTAAATTTTGTAAGGCCCATGGTGTCACGATTCACAATCGCAGGATGAGTGTCAGGTAGAAAGTAGGATCACGTGATGTACTAGCCAGCTAACACTGCTAGCAGTCAGGAAATCGATAGTATATAGTCAGAATAGTTTCATAGTCTAGGAGCTTCGTGCTCAACTTAGTTATCAATTAGTTTACCTACATTCTACTTGATCTAGTAACGACTTCACTTCCAAGTGAAGACCAGTGATAAAGCCTTAACCCACAACTACCAACCAGACGAAACCTCAGGCAGCCGCTGCCTCCGGTACAGTATCGTTACAGTGACTTGCTCTTTTAGTAAGATGATTATCATTCTTATCTACAAGCGTAATATAAATCAAGTACTGTGTGAATGACAATTTTCATCATAAGAGGGGCTGCCTCTGGGCTTTTATTTATTGTTTCATAGTCCCCATTTTTTGAGTATATTGCATGCCCACGTTTTCCCCGTTTCCCCGGGTTCCCCACGATTTTTGGTCAATTTTCCTCAGCTAGATAGGAATCTACATCATTGGAAAATTGTATGTTTACTGTATGGGACGGACTAATTCTATGGATTAAGCTACGGTATATGCGGAAGGTAGGAGCTTGGGTAGAAGGGGAGTCTGGTAGATGGGGAAGGTGCAGTGGGTGTGCTTCCCTTTTTGTGTCCTGAAGCATGGGCCTTGCAGACACAGGGTCTGGAGGGATAGGGATACTTGGTTAAGATGATGTGAGTATGTGAGTAAGTGATGAGCCGAGTTAGCCATGAACTCTCTCAAGTGACAAGGAGAAGAGAGAAAAGGGAAGAGGGAAAAGGGGATGCGTTCGAAGGTTTTGGACTACCTCAACCTGGATATCCTTTGAAGAGATCTAGCTTCATAATTGACACTAAAGAGTTAAAACCTTACAGGCATAAGGATAATGTGCTAATGCAGTTGGAAGAATTACTCTGGACAAATGACGAGATATCAAAATTATTAAACAGAGCTATCTTCAATCCCATCACAGAGTAGTAGCAGATATGTCAGGTTAACATTATCAATGATGCAGACGCTAGCGTTTAGTTATCACTAAACATGCCCCTTTTTCGTACTGAGATTGATTCACCTACCGTTTCCTTCAGGAGAGGCTTCAGCCAAACCCGCTCAGCAATGACAAAATTGAGATGGAGAGGCTGAATGTTAAACAGTAAGAATGCCTCAAGGTCTAGTAACGCAAAAGGTAAGACCCTGAAATTGGAGATTTTTGCATCATTCTACCGCATCCACATCGCAAAGACAATACATCGTCAACCCGGTGCGATGATTTCTTTCCGTCTTGCTGGCAAAAGGGATACCTGGACAGCTTTCAGTGGAAGCGTGATCGCATGTACACTGTATTTGAGATACCAGTGACGTTCAGTAGAGGCTGCCAAGTCACGCAAATGTAAGCGTTGATATAATTTCTATGCACTTACAAGTCATGGCTCGATTCGAGATATCCCATATCGATTGAGTAGCCTTTGATGTCCACGTGACCACCGAAATTATGGCAATATTGAACAGTACCTTGTGACCGAACATGGTGTGGGAAGACGAAACTGCTTCCAGATCGATGTGGCCAGAGAAAATTGAAAATTCCGCGACTGGCAATCTTCGTTGCTTTGCGGCGAGTAGGAATTGATGATCATTGGTGTAAAGGAAGCAATGCGGTAGCTATAGGGTGAGAGAAAGAACCTTTCTTCGATCCTCAAATTTTTAGAGAAAAGAGGCAAAAATTCAACGCGGAATAATATTCTCTTGGTACAGTGTTAAAGTTGTGTTGTTTAGACGTTTGGTAAGGAAAGCCTTAGTCAGCCGGGAAGCATCCCTTGAAGTCACAGCCACGGAATATCATTTTACCGGCACCGATTCATTTTCCGCGCTAGTAATTTTAGCAGCCATCATCATATCGCCATCGATTAAAAAAGTTGTTGAATATCCAGTAAACAGTTGTTTAATAACCACTAAAACCTCCTCTACGTCGCAGAAGTTCTTACAATTTAACGGCACCCATATCCTGAACACCTTAATTCTAACTTTTATCTGCGACAACTTCAAGGCGTCGAGGTTTTCACAGCCGGAACATTGAGTGGGAAGAAAAGAGTGAAAAGTCCACTGCAAAACTATACAAAATGGATCACACACGAGACCCTTGTCCTTGGGTGGCATTGAATGATTTTGGAGGAGCATTCTGTATGGGAGTATGGAATCGCACAGTTTCCTTTTACCCTTTCGAGGAATGCATAGAGTTCCGCAATATTCAAAAGTTTAAAAGTACAAAGGTCATGATGAAGGGATGCTGACAACATTTTTTCAGGCGATCGGAGGAGCAGTATGGCATGGTGTTAAAGGTTTTCGAAACTCACCTTATGGCGAAAGAAGGATCGGCGCACTCACAGCCATAAAGGCACGAGCCCCTGTATTAGGAGGAAATTTTGGTGTCTGGGGTGGACTATTCTCGACGTTTGACTGCGCTGTCAAAGGGTTAAGGAAGAAGGAAGATCCATATAATGCTAGTATGTTTCCTCTATCTTGATAGCGCTTTTTGGGTACCGAAATGCCAGACTATCGGACAGATACAATACCTGGGAAAGGAAAAGCTGACATAGGAATAGTCATTGCTGGATTCTTTACCGGTGGTGCTTTGGCAATTCGTGGTGGTGCAAAAGCAGCAAGAAACTCGGCGATAGGTTGTGCGGTTCTTTTGGGTGTTATTGAAGGTGTTGGAATTGGTTTCCAAAGAATGATGGCAGGAAATACGAAATTAGAGGTAGGCATTTACCTCCCAGTTCCCATCAAGTCCTAAATTAACTTTCAAATAGCTACCACCTCCACCTCCTCCACCATCCGAGACTGGTAAAACTGGTTTTCCAGCTGTCGCATAATTCCCCTAGTTAACCTTGCAACGAATATAATACCTCATGTTGGTCGACTGCTCCAACAAAATTACACAAACTCTACTCTTTCCGTCCAGCCAAGAGAAGGCTGTGGTCGCATGTATTCTCCTACCTTATAATATCGTGTAGGATACCAGCACTTGATACTGGACTTGTTTGCATAGCTGGGATTGGTGTATGTATATCTAGATTTGACCTTTTGGACCTGACACCAGAACTGAGGAAGGTCGAGGTCATCAAGCGTAACGAAATGAAAATGAATTGATTTCAGCCTCTTGTCTCGGTTTCATGGAATGACTTGTGTGTTTCAGGTCTAAAAGATTCGATCGGTCTAGTGTCTGTCCTCTATTGTTTAGCAAGCCACTGTTTCTCGTTTATACATTCTTCTAGTGCAGATAAAATGGGCCATTCGAGTCGTTTTTTCAAATTTGTGACAATTGATAATTCATTCCTAACGCCCGTAGCATGTACGAGGCTACCCTATTTCACTAGCTATTTCTTCGCTCTTACGCACGACTGCTAATGGCAATAATCAACTCTTCCAACTTCCTATCTAAAACCTCCGCTGCAGCTAATAATTCACTGTTGCCTTCATCTACAGCAGCAATCATAGTACTAGGTACTTGCCATATGATTTCCGTTCCTTCCCCGTCTGGTAATTCACGAACCATAATTTCCACGGGTACAAACAGTCCGGCGTCGAGAGATTTGGTGGATTGAGAAAGCATAGTAACAGCTATTAGTGGATTGCCGAGTATGATACGTTTGAGTCCCAGCTGTGGATTGGAGTTGACATTAAAGAGGGGGAGCCAGGAGCCGTGGTTTAATTCCTTTTGAATTTCAATTAACTTTAGGTTTCTTTTACATTTGTGCTTTTCCGGCTTGGTCATCTAGCCGATTCAACCAATTGGGAGCAGATGCAATTGACCAGGGAAGACATACAAGAAAAATCATGAATCCTTCAGGTCCAACCGCTGCCTCAACTTCCTTGATAAAGGTTTCCCTCGAGGCTTCATCAAACGATTTAATGTTTGCGCCCATGGCAAGCCATTTCATATCTGAAGGTCGTCCAATTGAGGTATAGAGATTGGACATGACAGATTCGAATGGGAGGGATGTATGAGAAGTCTTCCGAGTTACGGAGTAAGTAGACGAAGCTATCCCGTTGTCAGTACCCATAATCGAAAAAGAGAATATGAGAAAGAGGATGATTGTGGGGAAGGATGGGAAGGAGTACAAAAATCCATGTTGTATGTATAGTTTGATGGGAGGCTAGTTGAGAGGGACTTTAGGATTCCTAGGTGTAATTGCGAGGAACTGTGTGTGATGATAGGTATTTAAGAGTTTATGTGTTGAGGTCATTCCTCCGTGGTTGTGGCTATAATATCCTAGCTAGACCGTGGCGTAATACAAAAAGTGAATTAATTAATCATCATCATCATAGTAGTGGAGTAAGATTATAATAGCTCCCGAGATTGCTCCTGCGATACTTTACTGTTCCTGCCTATCTATTCCTTAAAAGAGTTATCACCCCTAGGACCTAGATTTGGATCTGTAAAAAATAGAATCTTATCGATGATCTTCTTTGCATGAATACCTATGTAGTATGTGTGTACAGAGTAGGAACTAGAAAGGCGTGGTGAATACAATGTCATGATTACTTTTCCATTTGATTACTTACTTAACCTTAAACTTAAACTTAACCGAGGCTGGTTACTAATCTTTATCTCTCCTAAGTTAAGACCTACTTACAACCCTGCCAACCAACCACATACCAACTAATAAGTAATTAATCACCGGACGAACGTCATTCATGGATTGGATGGAGTGCAAGTACTTTCTTTCTTTCTACTTATAAAAGTCAAATAAGTACTCGTGAGAGAATTGAAAAAGATACTTATTTATTCGTCTAACGTGGTTTATCAGCAGTCCGCCCATATCACTAGTCCGCCCACTTTTTGGCCATTTTCAACTCTTCCACTTCAATACGCGTTTTATCAATAATTACTTATGGAAACTCATTCTAAAGAAGTACGAATTATCTTAGCTATTGAAGCTATTAAACTTAATCCACAATTCTCAATTCGGAAAGTGGCAAACCTTTATAATATACCTCGATCTACTTTGAGGGATAGAATTAAAGGTTGTACTAATATGGCTGATTATCGACCAAAAGGTCATAATTTGACCAAATTAGAAGAGGAAGTGCTTATCCAGTATATAATCGATATGGATGAGAGAGGGTTTGCACCTAAATTAAGTGGTGTAGAAGATATGGCGAATTATATCCTCGAATCGCGGGGTGCGAAGAAGGTTGGAAAGCTCTGGGCTCATCGCTTTGTTAAACGATGCCCAGAATTAAAGATGCGTTTTAATCGCGTTTATGACTTTCAAAGAGCTCTCTGCGAAGATCCCAAGCTTATTGAAGAGTGGTTTGGATTGGTATCGAATATGCGGGCGAAATATGGTATTGTCGATTCCGATTTCTATAACTTCGATGAAACCGGCTTTATGATGGGTGTAATATTCCCTGGAATGATCGTAACTAGTATTGAACGATGTGGCAGAAGCAAGGCAATACAACCAGGCAATCGAGAATGGGCTACAGCGATTATATGTGGTAATGGAGAGGGTTGGACTATACCTCCATTCTTGGTGGTGCAAGGGCAATATCACCTTTCTAATTGGTATACCGAAAGCGGTTTTCCTGCAGATTGGGCTCTTAAACCTACTTCCAATGGATGGACGAATAATGAGACAGGCCTAGAATGGTTAAAGCATTTTGATAAATATACTATTCGTCAAAGGAAGGGCAAATATCGAATGCTAGTATCGGATGGGCACGAAAGCTACGAATCAATATCTTTTCAATCATATTGCAAGTCAAATGATATTATATGCCTCAGATTACCACCACATTCAAGTCATTTAATTCAACCACTCGATGTTGGGTGTTTTGGCGTACTTAAACGTTCATATAGTTGTCAAATTGAAGGATTTATCAAAGCTCATATCAATCATATCACCAAAGTTGAATTCTTTATAGCCTTCAAAGCTGCATATTTACAATCATTTACTATTCAGAATATGAAAGCTGGTTTTCGAGGAGCAGGTCTAATACCATTCGATCCTCAATCTATACTCTCAAAACTGGATATTAGGATTCGTACTTCTACCCCTCCATCTACCTCCTTGGAACTTACCAATTCCTGGATCTCTCAAACCCCTCACAATCCAACTGAGGCTCTCTTACAATCAATTCTAGTAAAAGCTCGAATGGCTCGTCATCAATCAAGCTCTCCTACACCTATATTTGAGATTGTGCAAGCTTTAGCTAAAGGTACAGAGAGACTGGCACATGAAGTTACACTTTTGAGTGCTGAGAATCGTATGCTTCGAAGAGCAAATGAGGCATTAAGTAAACGTCGACGCGCCAAAAAAATTCAACTACGTAATGGAGGAGTACTTACTGGACAAGAAGTTGAAGATATATTATCACAACAAGAGGTTGATAATCAGATTCAACGCGACGAGCGTCAAAATGGGGGAAATTCTAATAGGGAATCATCTACTAGTCGATGCTGTAGTAAATGCGGAAAGACTGGTCATAATTCAAGAACTTGTCAAAATGATATAATAGATCCTAGATTATTAGATTCTTAATAGTTTGAATCAATTGAATAAGTTATGATTGATTAATTAGAATTTGAAGTGGTTAAATGGTCAAAAAGTGGGCGGACTAGTGATATGGGCGGACTGCTGATAAACCACGTTATACTAAATTTTCATTTTGACTACGTATACTCCGTACAGGGATAATAGGGTTCTTCCTTGCAGGAGAGTATTCATATTCTCAATTTCTCCGCTGTCCGCTCTATGCATGTGAGACTTACGTCTGTTCGTGGAGAACAACATGACACAGCGATTTAATAGTGCGATGGCATTTGCTAATATTTACTTGAGGGTATCGATACTACGAGTTGATGATGGTTCCGCTGTGGGTAGGTCTCAATATATCGAAACTAATCAATTAGCTAGTGCAAGTATGCCACCAAATAGTTCACCCATGGGCCATGAGTAAGCTATGCAGTGAAGCCAACAGATCAGTTGACCTTCCTCTAATTTTTATGCAGAGAATACTCCCGACTCCTTTAAATTTATCCCCAAATTTGCGTTTTCCGCACCATCAGCACTACAGCATACCAATAAAACTACTGATCCATCCCATCCAACTCTACCAACTTCAAGACCACCTCCACCACCTCATTCCCCGACAAATCCATACCGGGCTCATCGATTTTCCTCGCCAAAACATCATCCAACATCCCCCTCAATCTACTAACCAGTACACCAATTCTTGCCCAACCTCTTAGTCTCAGCCAACCATCTACCAAAAGACCTCTTCCTAATGTATCCAGTGTAATTGGTCCCGAGAAGAGTAGCGCCGTGTATGCATTAAAGGGTGTTAAATCTCTAATGAATATTTTACTCGTCGCCATCTTGTTAAAATAACTCATATATTTACTATTGCCCGGGAATGTTTGCGCGTCAAAGATGGTACTACTTGGATGTACGAAAACACGTCCATTTTCTTGATTGAAATATTTGATTGTTTTTGCTTCTGGGTCTAATTCCACAGCACCTGAGACTGAAGCCGCGAACTTCTTGTCTGGAAAATCGATCCGTGCAAGTTGAGGATTGAATGCTCCTGCGCAAAGAGATCTAATGAGAGCATTGTTTGATGATTTGGCGGATAAGGCTGATGGGAGGATGGATGAAGATGGAATGAAACCAATTTCACGAAGAGACGTGAGGTACTGAGTTCGATTCGAGGAGATATCATTGAGTGTTTGATATGAAAGGTAATTATCATTGCACCAGTTTCGAATCTCTCCTTGTCGGTAACTGTTACGATTAGCGTTGTGTATCAATTGTGGTGGAAGAATGCATACTTTCTATTATTGATTATCTCATACCACTCCTCGAAAGCTCGAAGATCTCCGATTAAATCACCTTGATTCTTGGCAAACCTCGCCCTTGCAGATTTCGACTCTTCTCTCTTATCCTGAGGTGATACAAAAGGTGATTTAACGGTCAAGATAGCCGCAATTGTGACTGCAGCGTCTAAACAACCAAACATAGCACCATAGACCATCAGTTTACCGCAACGAAGATCAGCAGGAATCATTGAAAGATGACGACCTAGTGCGGTAAGATCATCTCCATCAAGAGCACCCATTCTTCTCAATAAATCCATAGCACCATCAACGGCCATACTTTCAGGAGGAGTGATTGCACTGGCTAAAAATGATCCGACTTCCTTGATTCCCATAGCACGTACAGATAAACATAGTTGTTCTAATGGTACCCTTCTAATCTCAGGTTCCGGTCTCTCCATCATTTTCGACTTTTCGGCATTTCTTGTATAAAGCTTGTAACATTTCCCAGCTTGAACACGACCTGCTCTACCTCTTCTTTGTTTACATGCAGCACGTGAAGCCCATACTTCTTCCAATTTTCGCATATTGTTTTGAGGATCATAACTTGTCTCTTTCACGCGACCAGTATCTATCACTGCAACAATATCATCAATTGTGATGGATGTTTCGGCGACATTCGTGGCAACTATAACTTTTCGTTTACCATATGGAGCATGTGGAAATACTTTTCGTTGATCTGATGATTGTAAAGAAGCGTGTAATGGTAGAGCATGTAAATTTGGTATCGTCTTCAAGTAATCAAGTGTTCGAGTGATTTCGACCAGACCAGGCATGAATATGAGAATCCCACCATCTTGTTTCAGATGAGTTAATTCAGCATCAATCTCTTTAACCGTCTGACTGATCAAATCATAATTGATCCTCATACCAATACTTTGAATGGCAGCTGCGACGTCCGAATCCATACCTGATGTCTCCTGATTATCTTCCTGGTATTTACCACCAAAGCCCGGATTGAAATTAGTCATTCGGATAACATCATCAAGATAATAATCTTCCACGGGGTATGTACGACCACTAATTTCGACTCTGCCAACTTCTCCACCACTCTTGAAATAATCTTCAAAAATACCAGCATCCAAAGTGGCACTCATCAAGATTAACTTTAAGTCTTTCCGTTGACGAAGAACATCCCGTAACAAAACAAGTAAGAAATCTGTATCCAAAGATCTCTCGTGAACCTCATCAATGATAACATGACTAACATCTGCAAGTGATGCTACGACATCATCACTACTTCCTCCGGACGTTTGTAATCGCCTAAGAAGTACACCTGTAGTCACAAAAGTGATCTTGGTATTGGGTGATGCTTTTGACTCCCCTCGAATAATGTATCCAACCTCTTGACCAACAGCGGAACATCGTTCGTCACTAACACGATCCGCCAACCCTAAAGCAGAAATACGTCTAGGTTGCGTACAAATAATCTTTGCACAATCTCCAAAAGCTCTCTGGTACATGTCATCCAGAATAAATTGGGCTGATTGAGTCGATTTACCAGAACCAGTTTCTCCTGATATAATGGTAACTTGATGGGAGCTGACGGTATCAACGATAATATCTTTCATCTCCCATGCAGGCAAAGTTCTCCGACCTTTTATCATGGATTCCAACTTTGGGTTCAGCTGTCGACTAATCCAGTCATCCTTGCTCCTGTCGTTGGCAATCCATTTAATTGCTCTAGGGTGTCTCGAAACGTTTTGTCTTCTCCGACGAACTGGCTGAATCTCACTAACTGTCGATGCAGCCGCAGAAACGTCGCTGAGCTTTCCAGGTCTTTCAATGATGTTGTAAAGATTTTGTTCCACCCAGTCAATAAGAAAAAACAACATATGCTCACCAAGTAAATCTTCCATGGCGTGATTCAACGCTTGCTTCATAATACTCAAACGAATATATGCGGGTAATTGAACGTGAATAGACAGGACCGGAACTTTTTGAGGATACTCTGAAGATCGTCGAAACTGGATGATAGGCTCAACAGGGAGATTTGTTCCACGATTGGCTGGTTTAATCGTGATCCTGCAAACATCCTTCGATGGACGAGAATATTTCTCCCCAAAGACAGACTGAAGACCTGTCATTTCCTCTTCCCAGATCTCCTCGGAAGATTCCTTGGCATCTTCAGTGTCCCATGAATCTTCGCTTGGAATAGATTCCACATCTTTCCCACTCGACATGAGTATGTGTTGTAAAGCCTCAGAAGCTTTGCCTTCATCGTTATGAATATCAAAGATCTGCTTGCAAAGCTCAAGAGAGTATCCAGCTTCAGCCAGTCTCTTGATAGCACCTTCACGCTTCAAGTCACTACTTGCCATACTAATACCAGCGACATATCCTTCTGGCAATGCCCATCTTGGTAGATCGTCCTCCGGAACATGGATAAGTAGCCATTCAAGAGTTTCCTCCCGATCCTTGCATATTTCAACAGCCTCTTCAATGTGACTTTGCCGGAAATCAAGAGTCTTAAACTCCTTCACAATTGAATGCTTTTGAAAATCTGATAACTTGACATCATGTGGATTCCAAATAGCATGTCTCCTCACTAAACTTTCGACCTTCGTCCGTGTTCGCTTGCCCATTTCGATTTTTGGAACTTTAGTCCATCCTCTGTGAATGTTGTTATGCGATGAACCTCCCGCTTGATTTGTGCTATTACTTCCATTACCACGTAAAGCCAAACCTACACCTCCTGGGCCTGCCGATCCTGGTGTACTCATAGCCTTTTCCCTAGCCTTTTGCTGGTCATTTCGCTTTTTTTCCATTGCAGCTTTTGCATCTTCTCTTTCCCTCAAGGCAGCAAAAGGATCCGCCTCATACATCCACGCTTTTCCTTCCTTAACATCTTCTTTCTTCAAAACTTCAAACTCTCCCTTCCATAAATCTCGATAATCGGGTGGAAGTGTCATATGAATGTTTCGCATATTGAGAACTCGGAAAAGCCCATATGTAGCAGCGAAATGTCTAGCTTCGAGGGCTGTTGGTTTGACCGCAAGATGTTTATGCGAAGGAGGTAATTTGAACGGAGCTAGCGATACGAGTTCTTGAGTTTTTGGATTTTTAGCTTTGAGAATTACCATTGAAGAGAATCCTTCCGGAGTTTTGCTCTATTCCATATCATTAGCATGCGCCATTGTTTGCAGCAGAAGCATATGTAAATCTCAGCAACACAAGAACACTCACCATAGTATATTCCGGCTTTTCCCATCTTTGCTTCTGACAATGTTCCGAAAGTAAATTGACGGGTAACTTTCCAGTCCACGATTGTCCCCCAATTAACTTCTTAACATCCGGCCTCTTCGGTACCTCACCCATTGGATCAGATCCATCTTGTCCTTGAGCTGGTGGTTTTCTCTGCTTTGGCTCTTTATCGGAATTTGAAAAGACGATAAAACTATCATCCGCAACGGGTGCTGATGCTGGTTTATTCTTACCAGCAGATGTACCTGGCTTTGGTCCACCTTTCGAGGACTGTCCCTTCTTGACCATATTTGGTCTCTGCAATCCTTATGATAGGCAGATCCATCAAAATAAAACTCAAAGTAATGAAGGTGGTGAGTATTTTAGGGGTTTGATACATTCACTCACTAAATTCATTTGAAGTTTTCCCCACAAGGCTGAGAAAATTGTAAGGTTAAGGTTAAGCTTGGACGTTCCTGCACACTAGAAATAGAAATGTGCGTCATTTTTGGTGGAGCTTTAAGCTTGTGGGAGCAGCCTCGTGCTCTATAAATATTAACCACGAAGTAACCCTGACTCTGTGCGAAGTAATCATCACCACGCGCATATCAATTGATGCTTTCAAGCACACTGTACATGCCACTTACGACACCGGCCTATATAAGATCTATCGTTGGCATTATGGCTTCAGAAAGATGTGAAGATGCAATAACGGAAGCAGAGAATAATGGAACCTCTCAAGCATCTTCCAAATCAATTCAAAAGTCCCCCAGACCCAACGCATGTACCGTAACACCATTTGGTTTGTACCCATGCTATGTGCAACACTAATAAGTCATTGCAGTTACCGAATTAATGTCAAACTCACGATCCAAACGCCCCAACTCTTTCCCAACATCCTCTCCTCCTCCAAAAAAGATCGCAAATTCAAATCCCTTCTTCCCTGGTAGTGCAGGTCTAGGGGTCTATCTATCGGATCCATCATCACACCCTGCCTCACGCGTCATCTATCATACCCCTTTATTTGTAGCAATCCATGATTTATACCCCAAATCCTCAGTTCACACCCTTCTCATTCCACGAGAGGAGAAATGGTATAATATGCATCCTATAGCCGCATTATCCAACCCCGAGTTTCTCGAGATGGTAAGACCGGAAGCAGAAAAGTTGAAAGGGATAGTTGCATCGGAATTACGCCGGAGATATGGATCAGAATCTGCACAAGATATGGAAAGGGAAAAGATACTCAGTGGAGAAGTCAATCTAGAAGATGATGCTGAAATGCCAGATGGTAGAGATTGGAAGAGAGATGTTATGGTTGGAATACATATGCATCCATCGATGGAGCATCTTCATATTCATGTCTTGTCTGTGGATCGTTATTCTTCATGTATGAGGAAGAGGAAACATTATAGCTCATTTGCTACACCATTCTTTGTTAATCTATCCGAGTTTTCTCTGTCTGAGGAAAGGCAAGAAGCTTTAAGTAGAAGTGGCCAGGCTAAGGCATGGTTACAGGGTGATATGAAATGCTGGAGCTGTGGTTTGAATTTTGGAAATAAATTTGCTAAGCTAAAGGAGCATTTGGAGTTGGAATTCATTGAATGGAAAAAGAAATGAAATCAAACTGAATCCTAGTTATAAGGCCCAATTACCAAACAATCCACTTAGCGATAGATCAAGCAGGCAATCCAGGATGAAGTGAATAGTTTCAAATTCGCCTAATTTGGGGAGCATTAACCAGAAAACTCTCCCATCCTTCAATTTCCTAAAATATTCAGCCATCTCTCTTCTAAAACTCCTCTTTTTTCATACCAATTAGTTTCTCTCTAATCATTAAATATCTCAATTACCTCTTTTGTCTGTACTGTATACTGTTCCTCCACACATTGAGGAAAGGTAAGTAGTTTTTACAGTTAACAATGTGAGAGTCTTCCCAATAATCAAGCTCGCGGTGCGTGATGAGGAATAGGCACAAAACCCGGAGGAGAAATATTTGAAACATTATTGTGTAGAATTAAATGCACTAGATCTGATTCAACGTCTCGACGCCTCTAAAGCAGCCATTTCACTTGAGCTGCTCATTGTCAGGTTCGACTGCTTCGAGCTCCATGAATGAACTGTTACATATCTTCATAAACTAGCCGAGAGCTGATCTAAAAATCGATTTGAAGAAGGGCCTTGGGCCAATTGTGTTGGATGATAAAAGTTGGTTACCCTATTCGGCTGGTATATTCTGATGGAAGTGTGTGATGTGGAGAAGGCAGCCGAGTAATTCGGTCTACAAAGGACTAGCAGTTGGCTATTGGAGATAACGGGAAGTCATTTTGTTGAGTTCCTGAATATATTAAAAGATGAGGCATTGTAGTGAGATAGTCAGTCACCTTACCCTCATCAAGAAGTTGGACTGATCTCAGAGGTACGATGGAGACATTGGAAGAAGAATGAATCATCTGAGAGGAAGGGGAGGGTTGTGGGGGGAGGGGGGGGTCGCTATTTCCACATCAAAGCCTTCGGTCGTTCGAATCGCAATAAGAAGATCAACGAGTTTTGAGTATATTTCAGAAGAGTTGTGATGTATGTCTTTCGTGCTACTGTGGGAAAGCATATCTTCAAGCCTACCTTCAGCATTTCCAGCAGTAATTCAACATCTGTTGCCATGGTATATTTATTGTTCACAGCTTGTGGTGGCTTGGTCGTTGAGAATAGCGGAAATATCAAGTCCTCCTACTATTCTCTGACTGACTGGTTAAACACTAAAAGCTATTGGAAGTAATGATGGGCACCAAACCTTGGTATTTTAGTTCCTTCATTTTCTTTTAGTTAAACCCGAATCAACCGCCCAATCCACAACTGTGACTACTACTGCATAAACTCTCAAATGTTTAAACCATCAATGTAATCAACACAGAGCACGAAAAAATAAAAGGACAGAAAAAAACCAAATAAAACCTACATAGAACTTTTTCTGAGGATTTCTTTGTCTAGAAAACAAGCAATATAACCCTCTGTTCTTAACCCCCTTTGTTCTCGCCTGTGGACTTAACAGAGGAACTCCTCTTCATCTCATTTCCCAACTATGTCTGAACAATGCCCATTATACACATTATAATCCCATCCAACGAATCCATGCCCGATCCATCACCACTCACAAACTAACCACAAATCAGCATCACAGCATCTCACCCCCCAGATCTACCCACTCTCAAAAAGAAAGATGTCAGACCAAACAAAGGTCGTAGCAATTGCCCTCTTTCTAATCTTTTTCACCCTCTTCCTCATCTACATGACCTACCCACGAAACATCTTCTACCGGTTAAAAGCTCGACGCATTGCCGCTCAGAGAAACCGCACATCTGTTCCCCCGGCGGGCCAACCCCAGGACCGCGACATCGAGATGAACAAGTACCCCTTGCGGTACCCGGACCCAGTAATCACAAAGGGAAATCACAAATCAGATGCATGGCAACTGCGCAATCCGATTCTGCCGCCGGCGGCGTCGATTCTGACGAGACGAAGTCGGCCATCCGAGGATTGGCCTTTGAGAACCACAAAGCCGGTGGTGGTGGTGAAGAGGAGACAGTTTATGGATCCAGATGAGGATGATTTGAAGTTTGCTGGTGCGGGTGGTGATCTTGAGGGGTTTCCTTATCGGGTTTGATAGATGCGGGCATTTATTAGACAGATGGAAGAGGATTCAGAAAGGTGAGTGAAGAGCGTGATGCTTGACATAGACATTTTTCTATCAGATGAGTTAAGTGCAAGTGGACTTGCAATTGTGACAACATGATCCTTTGCCTTACATCCAAAACTATTATTTTCCCATTTAAATTGTGAGCAATTATCAAGTGAAGATATCGTGAAGAATACACCGTGAAAATAAAACAAGACTTTAGACTCTAAATGTCAATATTGACGGGAACACGTGAAATTTAATCCATTTCCCTGCTTGTGAAACAATGCAAGACATTCCACCGATCTGCGTACAACCTGTCTGTACCTATAACCTTACACCATCAGCAGATCTACAGCGGGGTAAAGTTAAAGCTAACCATTTACATAACCCAACATACGTCAATCCAAGTAAGGCGTCTTAACCCCCGAAATTAGTCTTACATCAACCTTATATCATACCACAAACCGAAAATCCAACACCAAATACGAGAAAACCAACTTTTGTACTCGAGTATCTCACTCCAAGTTACACAAACCATGCCGATCGAAGCCCGTATAGAAAATATACGATAATCTCGTGGACTAATGAAGTAACAAGTATGCATCGCTAGCTGCAGGCTAGACGAGAAAAGTATCGCGATAGGAAAGGAGTTGCAATTGCGATTGCGATTTGTAGGATCTTTAGTCCGTAGGTGAAAGGATAATGCAAGGTGCCGCTTCTGATATGTATTGATTGCCAATGAGATTATGCCCTGATCGATGGAGTATGTATGTGCATCTATATCGAGGACATACCTACCTACTTAGTAGGTATATATATGTAGAAGATTCCCTCTCAAACTAGGTGAAATATACTGGTATATCAATTTATCATTCAAAATTATCACTTACCTCTTAACTTACCTATCTCCAATTGCAATTGCAATATCCAAGTCAAAAATAAACAACACTGTATAGGGTTAACCTATTTACCCCACAAAACTTCCAAAAACGGCAATGTATATCCAAAATTTCCTCGTCGCGCTCATCTCGTTCGCCCTCATCAAGCACGTGAACTCCTCCCCAACTCAAACTGGTACACTATCCACTCCCCCACCACCAGGAGAAAGTAAGCTTAAGTTTCACCCCTTCCAACATCCCTCCCTTCTGTTTCCAGTTCCCAATCAACACCCCCATCCCCATCCACAACCCCCAACACCAAACTAACCTCCTCCCCCTCCACAGCCTACCTAACCAACTACCCTATCTGCGCAACCCCAGGCTACACCGTCGTCCCGGGCTCCTACAACGAAAGTATCCACCAAGCCAGCGGCTCCACGCTAGGACGCTGCATCAACGAATGTCGGGCCGCGTATCCCGCTTGTAAGAGTATTGCGTTTCATGCGGAGTATACGGAATGTTTGTGGTATGATAGACGGGTGGGTAGGACGCAGTTGTATGTGGATGAGGGGAGTGAGTTTGTGCATTATGATTTGATTTGTGCGGTGGATGGGTGTTATTAGGTTTGGGATAGTGGTGGAGGGGAGTAGAGGGGAGGGGATGGGGATGGAGATGGAGATGGGGATTGGGGTTTGTTAATGATGATTATGAATGGAATTATTATGGTTTATATTTCTGGTAGTCGGAAGAATGAGGGAATGGGCATAAGGAAGCGTATTTAGATTAATTAGTCTCTTTCTCAAGGCTCAAACCGGTTCTCTGATAATCACTAAGACTATACAACCAATACCCACCTACCTCCACCATAAACTCCAAACGTATATACACGTAAGACTTCCTCCACAGCAAAACTATCATACAACGAAAAATTGAAGTCAATTCATGAATAAATCCATTGCGAGTGATTCTATTCTGAAAACAGGGGCGAACAATTGAAGCACGTTCTGCAAATAAAAGCAATTTTGAAGTGTTTCTCGGTTTCAAAATGCAAGGAATTGACATATCCATCATACGAGAGGAGTTAACTAAAGGCAAGAACAGAGATTGAGAAGAGCTATTATTGAAGTGGTAGTACATGGTGGAGATGCTGGCAATTCTTACTACCAGTGATGTGTATAAAACTTTCTGAGCTCTGTGGCATCGACGGAAAGAAAAAAAACATGAAACCTCGCTAGGTAGGATTTGTCAATTCTAGAGTGGAGTTCGGATTTGACAAGCTGTTGTATTATCTTACTTTAAGTATAAAATAATGTTCATATATCAACTATATTCAAGACAGTATAGTGAACGAAGTCAAGAGTTACAACCTCTTACTGTCATTGGCCCAGGGCCTCCACTCCAAACTATTAGGAAAACCATTCTAAAATAAACCTGTCATTAAAAGTTAACAATATAGTCACCTATTTCTTCTCTCCTTCATTCCTTTCTTTCTACTCTCTCTCCTTTCCCTCCCCTTCCTATTCTTCGAAATCCCTCTCCTCTGTATTGTTCTCCTGAACCACCACAAGATCATATCTCTCATCAAAAAACAAATAACCGCAAATGCAACTGGTAAAGCTATTTGCCAAAAGTATTTTTCATTATGGTCAATACTTGGCATGTTGGTAAAATTCATCCCAAAGTAACCTGTCAAGAAACTTAATGGAAGAAAGATGATAGTGACAATCGTGAGTTGTTTCATGGACTCATTTTGATATGCTGATATGGTGTTAAAGATTAAATCAATCATTCCATCGGCATTTCTTCGAAGTTGATCCAGAGATTCTGTGATTAGGACGATATGATCTTCCACATCTCCGAGGTACGTTTGTGCCATTTGACTGATCTTAACAACCGATGCTGCTTTTTGCACATCACCTCTTTGTCCAGCATATTTATGATCTCGGAGAGAATTAATAAGATTAGCAATAGGATTGATAAAATTGCGCAAGGTAGTGATTTCGCTGGTAACGACGTATAATGATGTTGTGTGTTTAATATTTGGATTGGTCAAGACATCTAGTTCTAATGAACCAATTATGTCTTGGTAGGCAAAAGTAACAGGTATAGCAAGATCAATGATAGCATCGATAACGGCCTGCATTACCATTGATGCATCGCATGATCTGCGAAGTATTGTATCAAAGTTGCTTAATCTGTGAAGGATGGGTGTCTCAATATCATCCGCAGAGTTTTCGAAAAATGAGATGACGGTATTATCTATAACATGTCAGATGTCAAAGTCCATTGTGTTGACATTAAGGGGCTACTTGCCAGCAGTTAAAAATATCGATACTTGCTCGGCACTAACAGCCAACTTCTTTTGTGTTAAAGGAGAAACTTTCTCCATGTGCGCCGCCCTTTCTTGATTTGGACCTCCATGATATCTCTGTAAAGTCCTCAATTTTTGAACTGGCGAAGATTGTACACCATCCGTCTGTCCATTGATAAAGTCATTGGTAGTATCATGAACACCATTTGCGAGCTTATCGACCGGTACTACGTTGGGATCCCTTCGTCTCATGAAATTATGTAAAACCTTCCGAAATGGTCCTCGTTTTCTTTTATTTGGACTCTCCAGGGTTACATCTTGATCGTCGTCTCCATCACTATCCGAGTCACTATCCTTGTCCGGATGTAAATGAACGAGTTTCTGCAATGTCAAAACAACATAAGTATGGTCGGTATACCTATCTACTATTAGTCCTCGATCATTGGCAAGCACTGTACAACATACCAATCTGCCTTTGTTCTGTTATTAAGATTTACCATATCCTCAATCGCCAATCTGTGTAGCTTTTTCCTCTTTCCAACCGCTTTTATCACATCCCAACTGAGTCCATTAATGTTTATCCATCGGCACTTGATCCATTCCTCCTGTTCAATATCCAAAAACTGAACCAATTCATCATTATTGAATTCCCTCTTGACCATTTCATCTTCACTGAAATCCACAACGGTTATCTGACACTCCTCGTGTAAGTTGAAGCCTGTTGTTCTTCCACCATCAGGTTTCGATGGATCCAATCCAGGTTCTTGTCCTGGGTGCCATTCTGGTTGACGTGGTGAAATATCAACTGTGCGAAATGTATTGGATCTTGAGCGGGTTGTACGACGTCGAATCGGCGATTGTCCCATGATAGAGTCAGGGGAAGATTGAGTTTGCGTCAAAGGTTCGAGATCATCTGCAAGTTTGCGGTAAGCAGATTGTCGCAAAGTGCGCATATAGATGCTTTCCATAGAAGGAAGTGAGGAAGTATGCGAAAGTTCTTGAGAATAAGGTATGCTTTCGTCGCAGTGTTATACGATTGGTTAGAGCTGTGAAAGAAACTCACAAGCTGAAGGGAAAGCCTCCAAATCAAATCCAACAGCTCTTGACGGTGAGCTCATACCCCCAGGTGAAAAGTCTCTGATTTCCGGTTCAGTCATTTTCCTTTCTAATATTTTGTGTATGTGATAATAATTTCTGCTGTATTGAGTCTTGTAACCTGTTGTTCCTTTCCTCGAAATCAAGATTTGCGATTCTATCTGCAAGCCTCAACTTTCTTTGCAATGAATGAAATCGAAATTACGCCACGCCAGGGGTATCAAAATGAGAGTGAATGAGTGGATGAATAAGTGAATGAATATAAATTGATAAGAAATATAAACAGAGAATGCAAAAAAAACAATTAGATACAGATGAAGCGAAGACGACGATGTTCGATCGTTGAAGTTGTAATGGTTTTATCTGATAATAATTTTTGTACGCTGCAGGTACCCTAAACATGACAAGCTTTGCCAAGCCTGAGTGTCTAGACCCCACCCGTTGTTCTAGTCCCTAGCGACATGTGGTGAAGGTGAAGACAACCCCTATAAATTTAACGAGTAAGATCCTAACTTTATCCATTAAAGGAGTGAACATCAGGATACGTTTCAGGTATTTAAGTCATAATGTGTAATTATTCCAATTGTTCCAACGGAAGTACTGTATGTATATATACGTAGGTATTAACCATTGTTTTAGCTCAATTGATGACGCTCCGCTAGGCCACTGCCGTGGAGGCTTTTTCGCTTCGCTCTAGAGAAAGTAAAATGAATGAAGGGGTATTTAATGTCGACAAGCAGAAAAAAAGTTGTTTTCGAACATGTAATAAGGGGTAACATCATGATTTGAATGAATACGAGCACGGGGTAGCTAAAGTGTTGGAAAATAAGTTACCCTGGACAATATGAATATGAATGGCGAAGAAGATGATAATCACTTAAGAATGTTATAAATCTTTCAGCATTCACTGAAGCTGTCTATATAATGCTTATCTGGAGTAGCTAGATCGTGAGACTTACCAAAAGCTTAAGATTGATCAATCTTATAGCGACACCGACCTTTGGGTTTGCTGAAGTTAAAATTCAAGCCTAGTTGACCTTAGTCATCATCTCAACAGCCGTGAATTTGACATAAAAAAGTTCTTTCATATCACTAACATCACACATCATCGCAACATTACCCAATATCGTCGCGGTACGAATGAATGACGCGATAATAGTACCCCGTTCTTTTCAGATACTCTGTCTAAATACAGTGAATGAAGTCTTCTACGACACAGCTGATGACGAGAACAGTGGACCCCACGAAGATCATTATATCCTGATATTGCTGACTTTGTACACAGCCATCCAACATTATCTACCTAGGTACCCCAACAAGCCCCCATTAGGCCCCAAGATATAAAAACTCCCATATCTTATTTAATCATTGAGTAAGGAAAGAGGCTGAGTAGTCTTTGAACTCAATTGATTGATGTTACTATATCTTATTTCCCCTCATTAAGGAAATGATACCGTAACCGCCGGGGTGGGGCAAAATTTCTTTTGTGCGGTCGCATCGTACCTTGGCATCAATAGTTGATTGGGAGCATTGTTTGGAAATTTAACATGCCTGTACGAGTGTTGTGCATGGGTAACGAGTCTGGGGAGAACATTGATGATGGCAAGAATGGGAGGTTAGCTGTCGTTCTGTTGGCAAAGTGCTGTAGAATCAGAGCAAAATCAATAGGGGCAGAGAAATCTCATATTTACACGTCTTTGGAATCAATAAATGGAGTGGATCAATTTTTACATGCCATGCTTTTTTAAAAGGGAGAGAGCAAAAGTCGAATTCGACGTATCAATTTCAGTTTACTCTCAATTGTCCGAGTAAAAGTTTAGAAGAGCAAAAAGTTCATTTGGTATCATTTTCCATTTCGCCATTATAACACCCCGATCCTGAGCCGTTTCCTCCCTTCCCATTCGTTTTAAGAGCCATCTGCATTAATAATCCTTAATTCCGAAGCCATTCCGATTTCAAATGGTGATCCAACATTAACATCCAACTTCAAAAATGAATCTCTATCCCCTTCAAGTCCCCCTCCATTGAACTCCGATGCCGAGTGCGAGGAAGGTAGAGTCCATTGTGTCGGTAAATTAACGGGTAACATAAAATCATATCGTGATTCACATGTATCGATAGGCCGTAACAGAGGACTCGCACAAGGTGTTGATCTAGTACTTTGGAAAGCGGATGATGTTGGGGTGTATGAAGGTGATCCACATGTTGATGCTTCGGAAGCAGTACTTCCTCTTCTTCTACGTGCGGCATCACCAGATGCTCGAAGAAGATCAAAATCCATTGATGAGGTCTTTTTTATCGGCCTTTGACTCCGTGCGCCTTGTGCTAATTCTCCAAGTTTCATAAAGTTGTCCATATCTGAAATTGAAATGATTGGCCCGCCGGTCATTTGTAAGGTTGTTGTTGAGGACATGATGTACTGTTTTTGGTTAGTCTTTGTTGGATAGCAATTTCGGATGAGTAAACTTGCAATTGTGAAAGTCGAGAATGGAATGTTTAAAAAAAGTTCGACTGAAGTATGGATTGTCGAGAATGAATGATAGTTCTCAGAGTGCTAAATAAGTTTCCTCGGAAAGTAAAGTCGTGTTGATGTTTTGAGAGATAGTCGTAAATGAATGAGATCTTCGTAAAAATTTAGTAGTCGTAATGGTGTTTACAATGAAGCGAAAACGTTAAGGATAGTATTGGGTCTAATTATTATACAATATGATATACAAAGAATGAATGTGTTTGGTCTGGAATTTGAGATCGGAGAAGGAGGTCGAAGGGATACATATATCAAAGACCCAGACTCATCGTACAACCACATACGAACTCTACCTAGCACGAGTTTGAGTACCCCATGGCCAGCGCCTATAGATTTAAGATCTGCCTACCACCCGGGCCACCCCACTCGCGCTTGTCACAATCCACTCGAGATCCACCATAAGGCTGTCTCCATTCCCGACCCAACCACAACTTGCTTATAATAAGAAACGACCGAGCTTTAAAATGAGACGTGAGAATACCAAGCGGTTGCAGTTCGCTTGTCCTGTCGTTTCATATTCACCACCCACGTTTTTGGGGGGACATGCGTCTAATTTTGTGGGCCTATCAATCCGCCTATCGACCATGTCAACAGGGGCAAGCGAAGGCTGTGTTCTTGGGCCCCCTGGCCCCTCAAAAGAAGTAAATTCTACGATTGGTTCTTTCTTCCCAAGGATGAGGGTTACCGCTGATGTATAAATCAAGCTCATCGGATCCTGGTTTTAGACCATCATCATAACTGTTTGAGAAACATTGATATCCAATGCAGTAACCAGGGAAAGGAGACACAAGGGGAAAGTTGATATATATGAAACTCTCACGTGATGTAAATATATTATGTACAATATTTTGTTCTTCCTTGTGGATTTTTTGTGCACAAGTAATACTCCGTACACCAATGATATTCGAAAAATTCTAGCCAACGTTTGGAAGAAACAGTTTCCACATTTTCATAACACGTAAATGACGGGTCTATTTTTCTGTGGCCGATCTATCACTTCTAAAGAACATGGTCTAGAATTACTCAAGACGATAGAATCTATTCGTCTACACATGAGCAAACAAAACAATCCTTCGTGTTGGAATATTCAAAATATCAAATAATCGATAGAATGCCATGTGGATTCTTGAATTATTGTTGGTTCTCTTCACATAATGACCAACGAAATCCCAACGTTTGAATTCGGTTAAAAACATCTATGTCGGAAGCATTCAGACGAGATTAGAAGAATGGCTGGATAAATGCATGAGATAAGGAGATAAATCTTATACTGTGCATTTCTTGGGATTTGGGAAGTTGACCGCGTAGACATTTCGCGATACACATATTCTATTGGCTTATATACGATGTGTTAGGCTCATCTATTACTTATCAACTCATGAGTTTCGAATCACTCGGAGTTACTCAGACCAGTGTCAATCAAGGTGTGTGAAATTGGAATAAATGCATATCCATGGGTATTGTTCATCTGGTTGGTCAAGGTTACGGACTACACCACTTGACTTTAACACCCAGGAAGCTTCCATCCTGTTGGTACCAATCTAAATTGATGAAGCTGGAAGCATGCTGCATTATTCGAGTGAGTTTAGTAAACTCTACATGCTTACTTGACGGTATCATTCATCAGGAATTGACATAATATCATATCATATCTCTATGATTCCGGGAAAATTGTATCTAGACCAGGAGAATTTCCGCTCAATACTGCGTAATTATTGGGTTTCTTGGGACCAGAAAGAGCATCAGATTGAATTGATTGATTCTCTAGCTAAGCAGTTAAGCTGCGAGTATATATTAAAAAAAAATGAAGGAATCAGGTTAGGTATTCAGCCTTCGGAATTAAAGTGCTTTGAAATCAAAATATTGAAAGCAAACAAACAGTATACCGAAAAGGAAAGAATGAATTAAAAGTTGAGTTTTGTTTGCTCCTTATATGCATCATGCAATATATATGCATATGCTGCCAAGATCCCAGGAGGTCAACAGTAATCATCCCGAATGCCTCCTTTTGATATGTACATAGATTATTCTGCATGAAATTCCATATATCAAAGACCTAGAATTCGATATGCGTAGTATTATTTGCTTTGTGAATATCACAAGCACTTTATTTGCGAGAAATTAATGCATGTTTTACTCCTTTTAAGGCTTTGCTATTAACCATTAACCCGATGGCCATCCATCCATTCCATTACCGCATAGACTTCAACTCGGCTATCTTCAGACACCTAGTATTAATATTCGTTGGTGTTGCTTTTGATGCTCGTATTAGTGTTACAAACATCGTAAGTTATATCCCACATCCACCTAACCACCATCGTCCCAATCAACAACCAAAAACCAGCCCCTCGGTTAATTTTCTCCAGCAAGCAAAGCTAAGCTCTAATAAGATTGGTTCTTGCAGTTCCGGCCCGCAGATCGGAAAATTGTTGATATCGATGCGTAATCAATGTAATGTAATGACTGGAAATATGCAATTCGGGGAAAGAACCCACGCTTCCGAGGTGAGATGTTGGGTTATAGTTCGTCTCGGGATGAAGGGGAAATTAGGTAGGAAGCTTTTGAATCTCTGCTTGAGAGATAACGTGGGAAATCGATGTGGTCGAATGGTTGTAGCTGCAATTCTCGTGTTAATTTGATGGGTATTATGAAAAAATATCACGAGAAGGCCGTGGTATAATCTAATGATGTGCTAGCAAGGTAAATAATAATCGTCACAAAGACCATATTGTCCGGGTTGGTAGACCAGAAGTGTGAGATCTTCAAACAGATTTGGATGGTTTGGGATGATAAGACTGGCCTCGGGAAGGCAAGCTGCAAGGGTAATATTGGTGGTGGTATCACTTTGAGTGATGCTATTTACATAGTACTATTATGGGGTTGTTTGTTATCCATTCTTGCTAACTACACTATAAGAAGAGGATCCTATCTATTATTAAAAAGGGGAAGAGTCAAGGCTCATAAGGAGTATTGGAGAGAATGTGACTGAAGATGCAAGTAGTATAAAATCTGTTCGTTGAAATTGAAAGGGTATGGGGATAAGTAGGACATTTTCCTTGAGGCATTATTGTGCATTATAATCTCCCAAGTTCTTAGTAGATCTTATCAAGAGCCATTTGGGGTTGAAACTTCGTTTTCAAACATTAGAGACTAGACCTACTCGTTCATTCATATCATGCCGAGGAATATTCAAGGAGAAAGTCAAATGCTATTAGCGAATACTAGTTCTATCCAACCGGTTTCCTAGTCTCCGGCTTGCAAGAACCCAGGATCCAGCTCTGATGTTTGATAACAGTTGATGAATGCTCATCCATGCGATTTTATCTTTAAGTGGGCGTACTCGTAAGGCAAGTTCCTCGAACTTCTCTGCTAAACACGACGATGATAATCCAATACTTGAAACTAACAAGCCTGAGCTTTTACTAAATTCTCTAATAGTAGATGGATATCCACTAAAACAACAACACTTGTTATTTCTCAATGCCTCTGAAAAGATGAAACAGAAGATCTTGGATATCACCCATCATGGCCGGGGTGAGATCACCTCTTCTGCATTAGTGGCATCTACTTCAATCGTACTAAGAGAATGTGATGAAAACGAAACAGAAAGGTCCAAACTCGGTACTCAAAGCCGTGAATGTGTAACTTGCCGAAAAAAAGAAGAGACTAATATAATAGGTGGATCAAGCTTGGATCGCATTGGCCTCATGGCTCATCATCCATCCCTCTGTAGTTCATCATCCATCTTTCATCGTCTGTAGTCCATGGTCCATCATTCGAGGGTGCCTTGGAGATTCTGGATTTGCAACAGTGGCTACCTATCTCATATACCACAAGAATTCGACAAAAAATTCTGATCCTATCAAAATGAGCCGTGTGAGATGTGGAGTTAACAGAGAAATCAATCTTCACAGAGTCCTGGTATAGAAAAAATTTTAAGGGACGTGTCCCGCGAGCTTAAGCTTTTCCCCTATGATCAGCACGCCCTACTTGAGTCCCCCACACAAAGATTTAAGGTCAGAAAGAACGAAATGGCACAATTCTTTTATCAATCGGCCACTAGTACCCGTTATAGCGTCGAACAGACCCCCAAGTCACTTCACCTCGGCATGGATATTCCCCACCTACATAGAGTACCCTTCATCAAAACATGAACTACTTATAAGAAGAGAAATGTTTACCATTCTAAAATCTTTTAATCTCATACTCAGTATCTTGTTCATCAATGACTTCAAAAGATCTTGAAAACGATGCCAATCAGAAAACCATCCACAGCTATTTCCATGGAACCATCATCTGAATCCCCAACACGATCAAAGTCGCATCATACAAAAAACCCAAGTTACAGCTCCAGTTGTAGCATATCCTCAAGATCTTTAAGTACTTCTGATGCTTCTATTTGTTCCTTCGATTCGAAAAGGTTGGAAATTATGAAAACTCAAACGATAGAATGGACTTACGAACCTGCTTCAAATTTCAGCGAGACGGAGAAAATCGAAAATAATCCGAATACATATCATACCTGGGAAGGGATAGGTTTGGATAAGACCTATATTGTGAATTTCGAAAGTGGTATTATTTCGCCAAAGAAAGAAAGATGGACCAAGGATTGAATGATTATATCATTGAAACTTATATTTCCATGACTTGAACAACATCAGCTAGACGGCTTAAAGAACGAAGATAATAAGAACGTCTATATTGTGGTCTTCAGTCGGAATATTGGATCTGAAAGCCTGAGATAGAAGCGATGTCTACGTGAGGGAAGTCCATGGCACAAGTGCACTCGCACATAACAGGCTGGGATGGTACAATTTAACGACACGTTCCAGAATGCCGTAGGGATGTTGGTTTGGAAGGTTTAACCTGCGCGAATAAAAGTGGATTTATGATGCGAGCACACTACGGGAGCATATGGAGAGAAGAGACAGCTTCCAACTTGTGATTGAATATCATTCCGAGCTCGGCTACCCCTGTCTGAGAATTTTGAAGAAAGCGGCACGGTTGAAGAGACAACCCACAGTCGAAATCTTGGATGGAAATGGGAGAGAATTTGACGAGAAGTGAAGAAAAGTCATCCGAGCTATCCAGAAGCCGAGACTAGAGGTGAAGTTGGGAGACAGGACCCGACCAAAGTTACGATGAAGGATAGATCGGACTACAAAATATATTTGGTCTACATGGTATTCGAGACACCGCTCGATGCTAGGGGCTGGTTGAGGGAATACAATAGGCACAAAGACTTCTTTATTACCATTTTTAGAAAAAGACCAAAGAAAGAGATCGAAAACAAACAAAACGGATCTCTGATGACACAAAGGAAATAGAACAATGCCTCAGTTACATTAATAAAACATCCCCCCCCACAAATTCCCTGAATTCCCTCAAGTTACATATTCAATTCTTAATCCCCTAAAAACTCAAAATCACATCACAGAGTTCATCACACAACTTCACCAAAAACCACACTACCCACTCCCACCCCACAGACACCACCACCACCAAAGAAAAATGGCTCTCTCAAACAAAGGCGACAGCATCATCGTATTCACCCTCGTAACATTCTTCTCTACATTCTTCATTTTCTTTCTACTCTACGTTCCCCGCTGGATCTACCTCAGTTTAAAAGTCCACAAAAAAATACCACCTATTCGTAGCGAAATGAAACAATGGTTTGAACGAGGTGTTGAAGCTACCTATTTATCAATGGGAAGAAGAAAGAGAGTAGGAAATGATACTCGTAGGGCGAGGATTGAAGATGGGTTTCGGGATATTGAGTTGGGGGATATATCGAGGGATGCATTGGGGGGAAAGATTCGAGGAAGAGGGAGAGTAGTTGTGGCTTTGCCGCAAAGGGCGGTGGTTTCGGGTGAGAGATTGCCGGGACAGATATAATTGCTCGTTTTTATACTTGTCTCTCGGTAGTTTTGAGTAGGTAACTGAACTGGCTATGATATGATGCTGGACATTATTTTAGCTGGCAGGTAAGAATATAATTTTATGGTTTTTCTTTTTTTGATTAAATTTCTATGTGGGTAGTATTGTGTTGATTAGTGACTTTAATCGTGTAATAAGGTTCATGCTGCTCTGTAGGTTCAATGGAACTTCAGGGAATTCCTCGGCATTACATGTCTAATTGTTTGACTGAACAAAGACTTTTGCTTGTCTTTCTCCTATGTGTGAATGTTCTTTGTTAATTAGATTGACCACACGCAGTAGCACTGGTAGATAATAATTCTTGAAGTATTGGTATTGCCTCGAATATTGTGGTATTGTCATATGAAGTTCCTGTCCAGATCCATGGAATTTGATACCATTTTATGCCTAGGCATAGTGTTTTAGTAGACTTTTGCTTTCGAGTAGCTCTGTGGTGAATATTCAATACCTTAAACTGTTTGGATTCATCAGCCATCAGTATGGGTTTTGAATGTATATTTGGACGACTATCTATGTAGCCATCACTAATTTTTAACTCCCATTGATATACACAATTAAGAATCACAACAGACTTCTTTCGACCTACAAATACACAAACTTTTGATGGCGCAATGAAATATCAATCCCTCCTCCAAATTTTCATGACGAGTAGTAAATCGCAGAATTCGCTCAAACCTCAAAGCCTTAAAACATCCCATAACCTATTTATAATCCGGTGTTCGTTTTATACTGTCACCTCACGCACATCCTGGCGCAAACGCGGCAGAAACACAAACCTGTCCCTTGCTCACAGTTTTCCGCCAGGTCCAGTCCATTTAGCAGAGTACTCCAGCAACATACCATTCAATTCAGCGGATATCTCTAGCTCGACACGATAATGCGGTTTAGCCTTGCTTATACTACCATATTCGTCTTTTAGTAATTGAATCTTATTTTCCTTTTTGAGGAAAGTCATCGGATTCGATTCGACCGGCTATTTGGACATCTAGAGACTATACGTCAGTAAAAATAAAGAATAATATTGCCTTCATGTGCCATAGACAAGACATTGTGAACGCCGCCAGAAAAGCTTGCAATGATAATAAGTGTGATAACAAGATGGATTGACGATAGTTTACAAGGAAAACGCAAAATTCCGACCTTTATTGTACTCGTGATCGAAAGGATAATGAGAATACTTTGCTTCATCAGACATATAAATCAATTCCTCACATGTCAGCGTTTCATGATCTTCAGTAAAGGTGTGAATTGATTTCCAAGGCTCAAATTTATGTCTAGGCGGAATAAGCGATCCCTGCTTGAATGTCAATCTGGATTACCATGAAGTTCTGTCATAATTCAGCTCATCTTGAATACAAAATAATTAATCACCTGAATATACTGATCGCCGTCAATTGGACAATTGCTAGGAATGCAGTTTCTGTGCCCCTCAAAACCTGGTACGTTCGGTCGATAAGGCTCTTTGCGAAATAATCCATAGCTAGATTGGGCTCTTCGTGCTGGACCATTTGTTTTGTTCAAAGCAGCAAGGACTGCACCACAAGATACAGCCGTGACTCTGTTTGTTCTCCTAGTCAGTTCCCGAGCTGCGAGAGTTATAAGGGCCGTCCATAGAACATACGGATATCCAGAGGCATCGTTTCCTGTCTTTTAATTCAATTTCGTAGCCAGTCTCAGGCTTATTAGACATCTCTCTTAAGTAGCTTCGAAGATAAGATCTCAGTGATGGTGATGCTCCAAATCCCCCGGGCAAGAAAACTTTCTGAAATGTTTCTTAGCTTATTGTATAGAATCAAGAAACCGCATCAATACGTACTTTGACTTTGAAATTCTTTTGAAGTGCAGCACACAACTGTGTATGCAATAAATTCTTCACGCGCTCTAGAAGGGGTTTGAATACTCCTTCCCAGTCTTGTCTATTTCAGTAAACCAGGCGATGTTAGCAGGCTCTCATGTGCGTTAAACGGGTGATACGAAGAGGTACAGACTTCAAGATGACGATATAACCGTCGTCGAATCTCTTCTCTGCATTTGGTCTTAGTCCAGGGAGGGGAATACGAGTCTTAAGACCAAAAATAGCGGTGAAATCTTTGCGTCTCTTAAACTCATTTTCAAAATTTGGCAAGAAACGATTTACAATGGACTCCAAAGTTTCGCCTTCAGGCCAGATATCAAGTAGATAATGTTCGTCCCGTAGCCTATCAAGGAGCATTATTTGTAGTTCTCATTCAGATAACTGCTCCCACAATTGTTGCCTACGATATCAGCATGATTGCGAAGATGCAGTCCATTCGTGCCCGACCTACCTCCTGGTGTAACCTTTTCCTCGCTCAGCCTGAGTGGATGCTCTGTGCCAATCTCATACGTGACAATATCGACCGTGCCTCCACCACAATCAGCAATAATGAACGTTTCTCCTGGCTACAGAGTATGGGTTAGCTATCAATCTCCCCATGTAAGCGAAGTGAAGAAAGGAATCAGCATACATGTACTGAATTATCTCGCGCCAGCATGTAAATTGCAGCTGCTTCTGGCTCCGATACAGTATATGGTATAACGGCTTTCTTTGTTGACATATCTCCAAATTTAGTAACTCTTGCTGCGGTCTGTAAAGCATTTTGGAGGATACGAGATGCTTTCGGGCTCCAGATTGTTGGTACAGTCAAAGAAAACTCAACAACAGAGCTATGAGAAAAGTTGTGTAGCTGAGTAAGTTGCTCCTTGGTATGATGCAGGACCTTCACCAGGAAATCTATAAATGTATCGAGTACATCCCTTACATCGGGCTCATCCTTTAAACCATGTTTTCGAATGAAGTAATTTTCGATAAGATATTCAATGATGTGTACTAACTCAATACGATCTTCACGCGTGTAAGGTGTCTGGACCAGCCACAACTTGGATCTCTTGACTCTAGTTCTAGTGTCCCTGGAAATGTTCTCTCTGTACTGCTGGTGATGTACCTGATAACCCCAGAAGAACTCTGAGAAACGTTCAACTAAATCCAGATTGTCCGGCTGCGAATCGATATTTGGGTCTTCAATACTCGTTAGAGGGTGATTGTTATCAGCGTATACGAATTCTTCTGATGTTCCACCGTCCTCATCAATATCCTCAGGCGCCTCCCTTGACAAAGGAATTGTTGAGTACCACTATGAATCTAACTTAGCACCCTCAGACATTTCAAATACATGTTCAAGTAGCAATGAACTTACAGTCTCAGTCGGTACTTGAGGTCGAGTCCCACCCGCATCACCACTACTCAAATCATCTGGCCAATTCTTAATGCTCAAAAGCTGTTCCAGAAAAGCTCGAGGATGTCAATCATTAATAGGGTGAGAGAAATAAGATACGGATGTGAATGTAGTTCCAAAATCTACGCCGATGACAAACTTTTGTGGTGTGGTGGTGTTATTAGATTCTCCTTCAACTGTGTTGCCCATATTGACTGCGAGTCTTTTGCAAGAAGATTGCAAGTTCGGGCCATTGCGTTTGATCGTTAGCTTCATTGTTTGAAATCTTACTCGAGTAGAAGAACCTGGGTCACAAGTTCATCGAGAGCATCGAAGAACTTTCGAGGAAACAAAATGAGTATGGGAGACTGGAATTTCAAGCACGAGAGCGTTTGACAGAACAATCCGGCTGTGGCTAGCCTCTGGAAAAGATTTGATTATCTCAAACGCAGAGAAGCAAACGGATGAAAATAACAAATATGCACTCTAACCAGGGTTTCTGTAAGACGGATAGAGATTTGACACGGCCACAGGAGTCAGGCGGATGAGAAAGTGGTATCTTCTAGGATTTCCAGGCAAAAGCTATCCGATTTGTGCATTGCAAGCCAAGGAGCCGGGGTTCTGTTTCATTTTCGGGTGGCTGAATATGTTCGATAGACAGCAGTGTACAGAAATTGGTTGCCACCGTAGAAGAGCAAACGGCCATTTAAATTTGCCCTGATAGCCAACCTTCTCGCATCTCAAGTTTTCAAAATATTTTCGGCAGTTCCAAACCAATTTCGAGCAAATTTCATATGGTCAAATATTCATTCAGTAAGGATGCCGGATTGGTCGTTTGAAGAAGATGTGCACTCTTCGCTTGGCTCGATTTCTGCAATAAACATGGAGGAGATTACTTGGCAACAGTAGAACAAAAAATAATGGAAGCGACTGGCAAATGTCGGACAAGAAATGCTGCAAGATGTCGCCTTGATTAGTCGAGTGGAAATATCGTAATTCGGATGGAAAACGACGATCCAACCGTGATGAATTTGATTCGTTCCGCAATACCAGCCAGAAGGGATCCAAGAGCTTGAAATATTCTCCCAAAGGCATGACACGGAAAATCAAGAATGCTTTGAGCGAGTATGAAAGGACACACGCGTCAGATGAAACTCAAAGAAGGGTAGAAGTCACACCTATGGAAAAAAATCGAGGTCAGCTACAAGTACAAGTACCTGCTCGCAAATTATCCCCTATAAAGACTCCAATTACCCCATCATCAAAGACCACCCGGCAGGCACAAGATAAGGCAAGCCATATTCGGAAAAGAGGCTCGCAGGAGGATGGGGGGGAGAGGATATCGCGAGAAAGAAGCGACGTATAGAAAAGGTATGGGAACCCCTTGCTAGTATTCAATCAAGAAGTGAATTATCGCTGGCCACAATGCATCCGTCCAAATTTAGGATGGTTTGATTGAGCCGTCTGAGTCAAAGAAGCTGATAAGTCTTCGAACTGTGGGCTCTTTTGACGAGATAGGAGTGACTCATCGTCTCCTTAAATACCTATGCAGGTATAGATTTGGAAGATATAACAAGACTGACAATGTATTCGATTTAGACCACTGGGACAACCCAGCTTGAGAAGCAAGATAGAAAATCTGAATTGGGACTTCCTCAACCCTCCAGCACAGCAGAACGCCCAAGATCTTGTCTTCCAAAGGCAAAGTCGCCCGCCAAGGCTGCAATATCAAACGTTCACAAAGAACCAAAAATTTCCCTTTCACCCAAAACTCACTCCGAGGACAGGAGTAATGACGAAGTAGTGGAAGTGGGACATCACAAGCATGTCGAGGAGAAAGTTCTCGAGAATATGAAAGAAAATTACAGGAGGGACTTGCAGAGTAAAGAAGCAGAAGTAATTGCCATTCGAGACCAGTGGGATAGCGACCTTCGAGAACTACATGGGAAGATCGAAAAGCTTGAAAAAACGAAACTAGAGTTGGAATCCAAAGCTTCAAATTTAGAAGCAGCAGAAATCGCCGTCAGAAATGCAGGAAGGGATCCACTGGCTTATGAGATTGGCCAAAAGAACATAGAAATATGGATGTTGACTAATAAGATTCATCGGCAGTTCGAAGTGTCAAGCCTCAGCCAGAGAGAAGCAAAGCACCTACCGCCTCAAACTATCGACACTGCTATGAACGAGATCCGCTTAGAGTTGGAAGCTATGACTGAAATACAAGACTTTAGACGAATGCATAGGCCAAAAGAGTGGTTCGATGGCGACTTAACACACTTGGTGAACTCTGCTTTTACTTCTCTCGAAGGATCAGATGATGGTAAGCTCCAATTAAAAAGATTGGGCGTGGAATGCGGAGAATCTGCGGTATTTAAAATTCTGGCCCTAGCTGCATTGAAGGATTGGGTTTTCCTAACGGATTTTCCACACGTTGAATTGGGGTCGTTGAATCTAATTGAAGCATATCGCAGCATCGCGTTTAACAAAGGTGGGCACTGTCGCAATGTCTTTAGGTTTTTTGCTCTGATGAGAAAAATATCCTGTCTTTTGAGTTAGGCTTCAATATCAGATACTAACTCGAATGAATCAGGCGGATGGGTTGAACTACGACTCTTTGATGTCGGAGCCTTCAAAGAGCATATGAGACAGCCATACTTCAAAGATCTTCTAAAACGCACTGCAAAACAGCTTTCGTGTCGATTATCAAGGACCTTGAGCCCTTTATTCGGTAAAAGTCTTCAAAATCCGGGAAATGATTTCTCCTTCCATACCTGGGGCGAGGACTTGGAGTCTTGGAAGGAAAGACAGTACCATTTTGAAAGGCTTTTCCGCACAGCCCTTGAGCTAAAAAGTGACTCTGTAAGTACGGATGATAATTATACCTTCGAATTTTCGTCCAACCAAGTATATGCTAATAAACCATTGAATGAGCCAGACGTTCCTGAAGGATCTTGGTTACGTCTTTCCATTTGTGCATACAAATCAAAACCACTAAACTCCGAGAGTGAGAAGGAAAGTGCACTAGTTCAAACACGGAATTTTTTTACCTTCTGTCACTGAGGGTTGTTTCTGCGATTATCGGAAAAATGTATATCTCGGTGTCAGCCCATCACAGAAGACGCAAAGAATGTTGCAGCCCAACAGAGATCTACTTAACATTTCTGCGACATCTGGCACTGATAATGAGGATTCTGAACGAAATATTCTACATCCCGGAAGAACTCACATCTCCGAAACAACTCACAACAGTCGTCCTGCGGTCGTCGAGATACCCATACAATCAAAGAGTATTTTGCAGCTCCCTGCTAGACCCCCAGATATGCCGTCAAATTATGTATGTAAAACATGCAAGGAGGAATTCAGCCGTGTTCAAGGTCTAAAAACGCATGAGAGAAATGGTACGTTTCGAGAATCACTCAAGGCACGAGGGACACTGACATCTTTTAAAGACAACTGTAAGCGATGCCATACATGTAAAGAGGTTTGGCCCACAATACATGATCTTAATGAACACATAAAGAAGCAGCATACGCGGCGATTCGAAAAATCCAACTCGTCATTGTCTGTAACGCGCGACCGTGAGAGGCCACCACCAGCAATGCTCTCGCCCCTGAAACGAATAACGAAGTCTAATGCGCTTACAGAAAGAGACAGTAGTGAGGATACAGATCTTCATGCAGACTCCACGAATTCCTCAGAAGCTGTAAAAAATCGAGGACCAGATAGTCCTCGCGCCACACATGACCACATCTCATTAGCTGATAGAGATACGCAAAGCCTATATAATGAGATATCCGACAGCCTCGATTCCGATGACGATGAAGAGCCAGAACCGCGAATTTTCCCCCTTCATTTGGCTTCCATGATTAAAACAGATAATCCTGACCTTTCAAATGTCGGACGTGGTAGGTGTAGCACCCAAATACTTCAGAAGAATCAGAAATTGAGGAGCTGGCGATCGCGGAAAAGAACCACACGACCAAAAACATTCGGAAGAGTAGTTATGAGCTTGGCGAAAACACAGTGATACTATCTGAAGAGCTCATACATGGGTCTAATTTAAAGATGGACATGAAACTCGGCAGTTCATTTGGAATCAGTCGAGAAACTCTCGAGGTCAATTTGAAGACGCCACTCTTAGTCCAAGTAATGGAAGAATCAGAGACAGTTCCGAAAATCCAAGTAATCTTAGTTCCTGTACAGACGACATAGATATAGGAAATCAGGATATCCCTCTCCCAGAAAAATGGTGCTTGACTGGAGAAAGTGGCACCACGAATTTTGTATTTGAAAGCCCCAGGCTCATACCCGAAAGACGCGAGAGTCAATTATGTTTGTTGAACAATGAGGACGAAGAAGCCGAAGAAAGTGAGGTGGATGAAGATCATAGTGTTGTAATCAACGATAGTGAAAATGTCAACGCGGGAAGAGCTGAGCAGGTCGACACTGCTGAGGATGAGAGCACCAAGATGGACGAAAATGAAAGTATCGAGGATGAGAATCAGGCGGAAGATACGGACGAAGATGAAAGTATCGTGGCTGGCCATGACGATAAATTTCAAACGAAAGAATATGAGGTACACGGTGTAGATAACGAGGATGCTGTCAAGTCGCAGGATAATGAGGGTATTGAGGACGACATCTGTGAAACTTCCGGGGCAGATAATGGCGAAAATGGTGGAGTGGCCGGTAAAGAAGCAACTGAGGCAAAGAAGGGCAACTTCGATGAGGTTATCGGCAAAGCGAACAGTGAAACAGAGAATAGCGACAATGAAATTCTTGAAGAATGGTTAAACTACTGTGCAGCACACATCTATGAAACAGCTGAAGTAGAACGAGATGAAACCATTGAGCTTGATGATAATAGATATGGTCAAGCGCGAATCGAGGGAGATGTCATTTTTGAAGAAAGTGGCGGAGGCTGTGGCGACAAGACTAATGCGGTGGAAAACGACGATAGCATTGAGGCTACCAGTAAAGGAGCTACTGAGGTGGAGAACCAGAAGGGCGTTGATGTTGATAGCAATAAAATCCTTGAAGATTCAGGTCTCACGTTCGATGTTTTTTTCAACACACCTGTTGAAGCGGAGAGCGGAGATATCATCCAATTAGATGGCGAGGGAGAGCTTAGAGTGACGGAAATTAGGAAGAAAGAGGTTGCTGTTGACGAGGAGATAGTAGCTCAGGATAGTGAGATTACTGGAGCAGAAGACGAGGAAATCATTGAGGCTGATATTGATGGATGTTTTCAAGTGCGAGGAGCCGATAACGATATTACTATGGTCGATTTTGTCGAAGGTTTCTCCGGCCATGATACTGCTGTATTGGAGCAGTACGATAGCTTTGAGGTAGATGAAAAGGGCAACTTTCAGTGGGGCGAAGTTGTAGTGGAAAAAGAGAAAAACCTTGAGGACGAGTACAACGAGTACCTGCGTGTCCGAAACATTGAAGAGAATGAGACTACTATTGATGAGACTGTCAAACAGTACCTCGAGATGACTGTCAAAGTGGAAAATGACGATAGCAATGAAGTCGATGACAAGATGAATTGTCAAGAGTGCGAAGTTGTGGAGAAAGGAGTTGACGGCAGCTTGATTATCACGGCGGAACGCCCCAAATATGGTCCAGAATCCGAATTTGAGCAGGAAGTAGTTGATTTGAACGAGAGCATGGAAATTGACAGCGGTAACATTGCTAAAGTTGAGAATGGTGATAGCAAGATGAATACTCAGGATGAAGAATTCCACAACGACCAAACCTCTGTAATGGACAATGACCGCGGTATTGACGCCGACTACTTTAACAATAGCCTAGAACGAGAGGTTGAACGGGATACCATGAGCGAGAACATCGGAGTCAACAACGATGAGATCGCAGAAGCGGAAAACGGGGAAATCATCTTGGCCGCTGATAAACCAATAAAAAAGCAGGAAGAACACCAAAACTCTGAAACAAATAGGAGCAGCGTTGAGTTCAAAGCTCCATTTTCCGTCCGACTGGAGTACAAGAACCCCGTTCAAAATTTGGAAATGAATGTGTGCCCGCTGGATCTTTCCCGTGGAATATATTGAAAAATCCAAGTATCTTTTCATTGCTAAAGGCCCAACAACAACAACATACGGGAAATAAATTGAAGACGCAATCGGAGGGAAATAGGGATATGGAAGTTCAGGAGGAAGAGGATGAAGTACAAGGCGTTTCGACTGAGTTTGCCGAGGATTAATGATTAATGAGTGAGAGTAGGTCGATTACGTTGTATTTCTTTTGCCAAATTGGTATTTTGTTTTCTTTCTTTCCACGAAGATTTAGGTAGCTCAGCAATGAAATCAAGCAATTATGGGAATGACTGATGACAATTGATGGCTAAGATGATAATGAGAACACTGGGTGACAGGAACTCCAGGAAGTATATTTGCCAAGCCACTAATTTCATCTCAGAATAACACGTGATCGATCAACAGCCGAACCATCCATTTCATCCACTAATTACATCCTAACTTGCAGGCTTAACCATACCCTAAGCATAGCGATACCTCAACCCTACAAGCCGGACCCCCAGGCTTCGATCGCAAACATCCATATCCTCAACTACAACAACCTTGGAAGTTTCCTATACAGCACATCAATATATCAAACATCCATAAATCTCCCGAATAACAAACCGCAATATGAAAGAGTGAACCCCCGCCCAGATTAATATCGACGGAATCACGTTCCCCTAAACACACAAACGGGGTACTCAAAGGATTTATCTCCTACATACCACATATCAAATATCAAAATACAAACAGCGATGTGAAAGAAAAAGGGGGGGGAAAGAATGGAAAGAAATGCGGCTGGTATCCGGCAAACTACATATTCCCATCACCAACACTAATAATACCAATATAAATACCAATACCAACGATCAAAACCCAATAATCCACTCCATACAGTACCTCACATAGCATACAGCATAAACCACCAAGAACCCACCACTGAACCCCCTAACCACCCAAACACAGAATCACAAAAACCAAACATGTCCACCACTCAAAAAATCCTCACAACCATAATCACAACCACAGTCACAATCATAACCCTAACCCTAACTCTCCCAATCCCCCAAATCCTCCAAATCCCCCTAACCCCCCTAACCCCGGCCCCCTCAACCGCCGCCCTAGCCCTCCTCCCCACAACCACCTTAATACGCGGCGCCACAGCCCCAATCCGATGCTATGAGCGAATCACCACGCTCGCGTCTGCGGGAGATTGCAAGCGCGATTCTAGGGAGTGTAGTGAGGGGAGTTTGGTTTTGACTATGGTTTAGTTTTAGTTTTAGTTTTAGGTTTAGGTTAGGTTAGGGTGGAGGGTGAATGAGGGTTCTGTCTTGGTGGCTTAATTTTGGCAGATCAGATATCAGCTTAATACCGAGAAATGGGAGTTTGGGATGGATGTTCGGAGCTAGTGACGATTGGGTCATTGGAATATGTTAGGAAATTATTACTTAATAGTACCTTAATTGCCTGAACTATCACTAAATTCATCTAGCACGAACTGCGTGCTTTCGAAATACCATACTCCATGATCTACTATACTTTGTTTGTAACCATTCCCCCCTAAAAACTCCATATTATACATACACTCCTATTCCCTATTTTCCATTTGCTTGCCTCAAAACGCCTTAAAGTCTCACCAATACTCAATCAGCTCCATTCCCGATCACTCTCAACCAAATATCTCCCCACAATCATCCACCACCAATCACCCACCTCCCAACCCTCCAGATCACTTGCCTCTCTAGCCGTTGCTCCCAAGCCTTCATAATCACACTTTCGCCAAACACCTTTCTCAACCCCCCAGTCTATCAATTGTTTAATTTCCCATGCGTCGAGACTAGGCGCGAATACTTTTTCTAATCCTTCAATGTCGATACTACTTCGTAATACGAAAGCACCCGTAACTCCTAAGAGGACTTTTCTCCACATACCCTCTATGATTTCCCCTTTTATACTTCTCCAAACTGGAATTGCACCTCGTGAGCCGAGAGATGGAGGGTCCGAGATTAATGCATCGAGGTTCGGAATTGCATGATTATAAACATAATTTGAAGTGGGCGTAATATCCATTTGGAAACGATATTTCGCTTTATCAATAAGTCTAGTTTCATATCCACCTTCCGTAAGACCGAATTTGTTTGCTCTGATGTTGCTTTTTTGAACGTAAATATATCCATTAGCTTGTAGGTTCGTAATAGCTAATACGGCACCCTCGTTTACGCCCCATGGGATATTAACAATGGTCTCACCATTTCGGAATTTTTGATCTAATTCGCATTTGAACTCATAAGCTTCCCGGTATTGTTTTTCGTAAATAATCTTTCCAGTACGGACGAAAACCGCGTTGAAAGCATCTGGAAGATTGTAGACTCGGCCGTTGGTGCGGAGACGCTTATTTTTGGTAATAATCTTGTTCTTCAACAAATCCTCTCTAGCTTTGATAATGACAGAACTGGGAAGACGATTGAGCAATTTATTGGCTGCTTTGCTATCCCATAAATGATCGGGTGTAACGGCCGCTGCCCTACACCAGGATTTTGCTAGTGCATAGTCATTTATCTCATAAGTTGGAGTTTCTTGTTGTAGAGGATTTGCAAATGGCACAGAGTTAACAAGATTCATTCTCTGATAAACGGCTGCAAGAGGATAGTAATATTGTTCCGACCAGTAATTACTTCGAGCTTCTGGGACTAATGCATATTTCTTCTTGAGCTCTGGAAATGAGTTCGGGAGATCAAACACCTTCTTTTCCGGGGTTGGAGTATTGATCTTGGTCATGGCCCAATCTATTAAAGTGTTGAAATCGTAGTCGACAATATGATCGTAATCAATTGATTGAATTTGACTCTTTCGGTAACCCATGATAAAAACTTCCTGAAAGTCTTTTGTCAACTTCTCAACCATTGGCTTTTTCTTTGCCCAAACAACTTGCCACCATTTCTTCAAAAAGTTTAAGGAATAATCCTTAAAGACGGAACCAAGTATGACCCAATCAATGTTCATTTCCAGCCCACCAAGCAATGCTCGAATGACAACAATACCCATGGTCAATCGTTCTTCTTCATCAGCAGCTAAACCCTGTTCCTTGAATCTCTGTCTCTTTCTCCGAATATTCATATCGTAGTTTACCATCTGAGTGCCGAGTAATTCTGCAGCGTATCTCACATCTCTATGAACACCAAGAAGATCATCTGGTGCAGATGTGAGACGTCGAGGCATTACCCATTTGTTTTTTAGACCTTTACGGACACCAATATGTGGCTCTTTGATTTGTTGTCTTTTGGGTTTGGGTCCAATGATAGTTTGTTGCTCTGGTGGTAAGTCATCATTATCCTCGAGGGCTGAGTATGGTATCGTTTCCAAGGTGAAAGCTGTACGATCAAGCCACTGCATCTTAAGCTTTTCAACATTAGTGCAAGCTACAAAAGGATGAGCAAGATCCCAGAGTCCAGCAGATTCATTCGAGAAAAGATGAGGGAGACCTGGTGTCGCTGGAGGAGACGGTATGCTAGCCAACCCAGGATTGGTTTGGCGACCAATTCCTTCTTCAAGCGGCTTCGCTTCATAGTGATTCAATATATCAAGCTCAGTTAAGCCATTGATGCTAGCTTCCATCAAATCCATAGGGTCTGGTGTTAATGATCTATAACCTCGCTTTGCATGTCCAGTATACCTTGAAATCTTTGGATTCTTTTGTGATCTGGTACGATATGTGTAATGCCTTTTTGGTAGTCCGGTAGCATCTGAGATCTCTATGTGACCATCAGGTCGAGCAGCTAAGTCTCCTTGAAGATTTTTGTTGAGGAAAAACTTTGATGGAATGGACGGACGCATGACTGGTATGTTAGGATGAATGACTGGTCGATGACTATCTACTCGCTGCTGAAGATAATGTTCGCCTTGAGGATTTCCAACAACCATCTTATTCGGTCTAGCAAAGATGGGATTCACACCATGTCCAAAAGGTCTAACAGACCAAGAACCAGAAGGGTCTTGCATAAACGTATTTGGCTCCGGAAGACGTTCTCTCAACTTGTAGCTTCGTTTTGGCTTCGAGAAAACATCCCATGCGCCATTCTCTGAATTTTGTAATGCTGTTGGTAACGGAGTCCATGTCTGTTCCTGCAGAGCATTTGCATGTTGCCTTCTTTCTCGCTCTTCAAGAGTCAAAGGATGACCTGGGCGTCTCACACGAGATTTCATTTGACTGCCATTAAGCTTTGAAGGTATTGGCTGATGCAATGAGGTAAACTGGAAGTCTTGCGTAGGGGTATATTCCGGAAACGGTGAAAACTCGCTCCCAGCATCGTCAGAATCCAAATCTAGGTCCATAGGGTCATCTTCAAGGTCATCTACTGCATCTAATGCGTGATTATTAGGTTTAAAATCATCATCTGAGGAATCACCTTTGCCTGCATCTTCATCAGGCCCTAGTATCTCATTAAGTTGTGCGGCTGACATCTCCGGGGCCAGTGGTGGAGGCTTTCCAATAGCATTCAGGATGTCCAAAATGACACCCGGAGGAGAAAATCCAGGTGGAATATAGAAATCAGGATGCTTGGCTTTTGTGTCATCTTTCAATTTGGCAATATCAGCTGACGAAGGGGCAGCTACTTTCGGATCGACTAAAATGCTCCTGCTTATAGTTCTGCTCCTAGCACCAGGAAAATCGAATGTAATCTTTGAAAGTACTTTGTCCTCAAGTAACTCATCGAGAGCTCTTGCAAATAGTTTGTGTTCGGGGAGTACCCTGGAAGTAGGATAATATCTAAGCCAACATGCAACGAAAGCGAACCAGAGACCACGTTCACCAGGTAACGCATTATTAGCTCGAAGGAGACAAAGAATAATATCCTTAACAACCTTTTCTTTTGACATAGGCGAGACTACTTCTGGGAGTGATTGATCTGGGATTTGGGGCAATGGTGGAATCTTTGCGAGCTCTTCCGTAAGTGATGGTGTCTGCCTCACTGTTTCAACGATTTCCAATAGTGCTGGTCTTTCGCCTCCCAACGATTTGTAGACTTTTCCACTTCTACCAATGACCGGCTCTCCTCTGTCTCCTCTTTGCTTTTTCGGAGATTTCTTCAACGTAGCAACTTTTGCAGCCCATTCAAAGATAGAATCATCAGAGTCGCCTCCTTCAGGTTCAGACTCGGATTCAGATTCATCTGTCGGTTCAGGCCGAACTTCCTTCTCTGGAGGGGCCACAGGTTTGCTCTTCGTTTTGGTCACTTTAGCCTTCTTCGGTGTCTCCTTTTTTGGTTTACCATGTGGTTTTGGCTTGAAGGTCTCTGGATCGAAATCTGGGTTGCAGGTCGTCTGTGATTTAGAAAGATGGTATTTAATACCTTCTTTATTCTTGAACCTGGCACCACACTTTTCACATTTCCACGGCTTAGTAGCGATTATTTCTGGATCTTCAGCTTGGAGTATTTGAGGATTGGCCATTTGCACGAAGATTCGAGCAGTAACCAAATTTGCTCTCATTTCATTTGCAGACTTATGAGCTTCCTTAGTACGAGCAATCAAAAATCGATGAACAATGATTGATTCATCATCTTTCTTCTCCTTCAAACGTAACTCCATTGGATTTGAACCTGGCATAGAGACTATTGGATTTTCGGCCATTTTCCAAACTTCCATTGTCCAAATAGGATCAGTCGTTCCTTCAACCATCGACCAGAACTTCAAAGTTGTCTTATCAGAAGACAAAATGAGGTTACCCATCACCGTATTATAAATTGAGGACATGCGAGCAAAGACTGATTCAAACGGAATGGCTTCAGCCTTTTTGAAACCTTCAACATCATCGGGGGTGGCTGGCGGTGACATTTGTTCAGTTGCTTCAGTAATGACAGTTGAAGATTCTGGCAAGGTGGGGCTCATCGCCGCTGAAATTTGTGGGCTTGGTAATTGTGCTATGTTAGGAGTGGACCTCTTTCGTTTCCTTGGCTCTAAAGTTGATTCTGAAGGGGGTTGTATTGATGGTGACCTGTGTAATTGAGCTGGAATTGACGCCGCAGGTTGATTAGAGCTGGGTTGAGATCCTGTAGCCTTGCCAGGCTGTGGTTGATGAGATACAAGATCAGGTTGACTTTGCTCCACAGCTTGTGTTGAAACAGGACCATCAGCAGAGGAAGGAAGGCCCGCGAGTGAGTTCTGGGATTGTGCCTGAGCCTCCCTTTCGTTTTCGAGTCCCGCCAGTTGTGCATGGCTGTCGGCAGGTGCTTCATGCGCTGCGCTTCGGGCTGGTGTCTGATCCTGTTCCTGAGTTTCGGGTCTAGATGGGTGCGCATGACTTTTTGTAGGTTCTGTATGTGGTGTTGGTAGCGCAGAATCCATGGATTTGAACTCTTGGTTAAGAGTCGATGGCATTTGCATTTGGCCGTAATCATTTTGTCTTTCTTCGAGACCCTGCAACTGTTGACTCGTTGTAGAAACCGCAGGCCTAGAATACGGCGAAGAGGTATATGGAACAGATTGACCAAATTGAGGCTGCGGCACAGGCGGATGGCTCGTTAAGCGGGGACTTCCATGTGAATTTGGGCGGCTGTGAACCGATTCTTGTGATATATGATCTTTTGAAGGTGGGTCAGAAGCATGTGACGCAGCAGGACTTGATTGCTGCATCGGCCCAATGGTCATCGGACTAGATGGGGTGGCATCTAACGGAAGGGTATTTGGAGCTAGGAAGCCAGATGGCCATTTGGTCTTTGGACGCATCTGCGATGGTCTAGGAGGTTCGGGCGGTAAGAAGCCAGCAGGCCAGGAATTTTGTGCTGGACTTTGCTGAACCGGGCTTCGATGAACCGGGCTGTGAAGATGAGCAGGATTCCTAGCTAACCAAGGGTTTAGAGCTAGGAATGATGGCGCAGGTTGCTGTTCTTCATATGGGGAAATGTACCTGTCTGCTCGAGAAGATACCGGAGCGTTTCCATGGTATGGAGGCTGGTTATGGTGATCAGCGATGTGATCCTGCCCAGATTGTCTACTGTACGGTGAATTGTAAGAATTAATATTCGATGCTAGAGGTAAAGAATTTCGGATGGTCGAGGATGTCTGATGTGGTTCTAAAGATTCGGTCCATCGTGGTTGTTGTGGGTGATGCATTGCAGCTGTATGGGCTTCTTTGTGAAGCGAGTCATTCTGATGTCTGATGTGTGACAGGGACTCAAATGGTGGAATCGAATGCGAGATACCAGATTGAGGTGACCGTGGACGCGTAGAATCTATGTACATTGTAGGAAAAGAAGAGCTTGGCCCTGCACTTTGCGAATTCGGAGTACTTGCAGAAGCTTTCGGATATGTCCATTCCGTAGTCCGCTGCCCATGTTGCATTGAGTTTGCTACAAAAGGATCGATTGTTGATCTAGGCGGCCCGGATGGTTCAGGTGTAAAGCCTTGATCAGGCTGTTGGGCAAATCCACTGTTAAATTTCTCAAACTCTAGTGCCAACTCCTCGTTTGACGGGAAGGATTCGGTATTAGAATTCAAAACTTCTGATGGCTTTGCAACGGAAAGGGCCTTGAACTTCTCAAACTCCGAAGCTATTTCTTCATCCGAGGGGAAAGGGTTTGGACTGGGACCGGCGGAATCCAATGACTCTGCAGGTCCGGAAATGGCGACTTCTGGTACTCCAACAGTTTCAATACTGGGAACCTCTGATGCCTTTTCAGGCTCAACAATGGGAGCTTCCGCCTCTGTAGGTTCAGCAACAGAAGCATCTAGTGATTCTTTAGTTCCGGCACTAGGTACCATCAATGACTGTTCGGGCTCGGTATCTGAAGGCTTTGGGCGCTTTGAACGTTCTACTTCGGATTTCTCATCCCTTTTCCTTTTCTTGGACTTCTCCTCTTCAGTAGCGGCGGCAGCAATCTTCGCTGCTTCTGCTTCGACGATAGCTTGCAAAGCCTTTCTCCTCTCGGCAAGCACTTCAATCCATGTTCCTTTCCGATTTTCCAGCAGATCCGGGTCACGAAGCTTTTGGCATTTTATCAAGACGACTAATGTCTTCTTTCGAGCAACTGATCTTCCTTCTTTTGCATCGATGGGATTGATGTAGACGCCATCAATTCCAGCTTTGCGTTTCTGATCGTCCTCTTCCCTTAACAGTTCTTCGTAGGATGTATAGATTGGTTCGCGATGCCTTCGAAGGGGTTTGGACTTCGATGATGTAGGAGAATCCGCAGATTTGCCAAATTTGACAGCCGCAGGCTCAGGTTCAGGTGATTCTGTCCGGGTGGGGGTAAAGAATTGTCGCGGTTTCGGTTGTCTTCGAGATGTACGAAGTCCCGACTCTGTTATGTGAAGCCCTGTGTCGGCTAAATCCTCGGAACTTATCTCTGCAGGTGGTTCATTGACAGGTCCTTTGTGTTTGATGGTTGGTCCTCTGGGACGGCCACGCTTTTTCTGCGGGGGTTTTGGGGTTTGAAATTGTTCCAGTTCTGCAAGGGATGAGAAGCTCATAGATGCCGGATCTTTCGGAGAACTTGCCTCCACTGACAGATTCCTAGGACTGGTTTGACGACCGGCGCCCTTTGGACGGCCACGTTTTCTTTGTCCTGGCACGGGTCCATGGCGGGTGGGTTTTGGCGTAAAATAGTCAATACCATCTTCATCATTCTCAGTTGAGATAGTCTGCTGGGCAACTTTACTGGCCGCGTTTTTGGGCAGTACGGAATTATGTTGGTATCCAACTGCGGGTGTAGATTGACCAGTTATCGACATCTGTACTTTTGCTAGATGTTTTGGAATTTCAGTGTCCATCTCATTGCGCTGTTGACCATTGGGGGTAACAGTTGTGTCTAGAGTGGAGCCCGACGGCTTTGGATGTTGAACTTGAGAATCCTTCGGAACAGTATGTGTTTGAATTTGCGGTGGAGGATCAGTCTCAGGTATATGGGTACTCTCGATAGGGGAATGCACAGTATTCTCGACGTCCTTGGCTGCATTGTTTGTTTGCGGTTGATTTGCAAGGTTGGGAGTATGGAACCAGTCAGCCTCAGCGCGTGCTGCATTCAAAAGACTTTGTAATCTCCTTTGTGAACCTTGGGTGGCCCGTGGATCATCTGCAATCTTATACGACTTCTTATTGCCAGACCTTTGCTCAGAGGATGAAACTGCTTTTGTAAATGAACCATTTCGGACTGGAATAAATTGCTCTTTTGGCTCCGGTGATCGTTGAACCAGAGTCGCTACGTCTGTAATAACTGACTTGGATGAATTTATCTGGGTATCAGATTGCGCAGTTTCATCGCTTTCATCCACTGGCACCTCTCCGGACTCCTGCTCGCTAGGTCTCTCCATGGCGGCCTCAACCATTTCAACATCAACTGATTCTGCTTGAATCACAACCTTCCTAACTCCATAACCCAAAGCTAGAGTATCACCCCACTCCAAACTCTTCATCACGCCAACCTCTTCCTCGGAGCCCTCTATCCTCACACCGTCTCGCCTCATAAAAGTTTGCCAAACCTCATCTTTGACCTGCTCATTTGCAGCAACCTCTTCCCTAAAATTTTGATCAAATTTCTCGGAAAGATCTTGTATAGCAATACCTGAAATTGACCTAATCAGCAAAACTCTCTCGCCTCAAGTCTCTTTTCCCTATGATGGAAGGGTGCAGATGATTTTATTGGTCGATCACACGTGATGGTTAGAACATCCATGCGATTTTCTCGAGCAACTCCCCAAAAAAGCCCCGCTCCCTCAAATGCGACTCCAGACCACTAAGCCATCATGACATTTTGCTGAAACAAACCTGCTCTTCATGGAGACAGTGTATATCGATGACCCCGGTCATCAAACATCCAATCGAAAGAATTCCCGAACTAACTTTTGACGAGGCTGAAAGTTTTTGAATATAAAATTTCACTCACCAGGCTCTCCAAAGCTCTTCACGAATTGATAGAGCCAATCCATTATTTCCTCTTTTCCTTTTGGCATTGTGAAATATTATCGATTATCATACTTTTATGTATTCGATTCAATCGATAGAAGCAGTAGGAATTTGCAAGAGTAAATGTTGCAGTCGTTATTGTACTGTTGAATGTTTTTTTTTGCGACATGCATGTGAATTGAAGGTCAATATTTTCTGCGATGAAGGCTAGAAGCTTAAATTTTTAAGCGGGTAATGCGGGGTTTTTTGGTAGCCTGAACGTTGATGCATGATTTATTTTAGATTTGATTGGATAAAGGGGAATCTAACAAGGCTGAGACTTCGGCGGTAAAAAACAACTCGTTGACAAGGCTGATAGAAAATCCCAGTGCTATTTTTAGCACAGTTGATTTGAATGCATTGATATCATTCAATGACTATAAAATATTGACAAGTAGACTCATGAAGGTTGCGTATTTTGTATTATCTATAAGGTCAAACTAAGATGTCCCATCTGGATATATTACTGTGACTTGGCTTTGTCCTTGTGATCCTTCATCATTTGTCTATATGATTCAACAATGTTCTTCCTCTCTTCACCCAATTCTTCTCTTCTCCTCAAACTTCCAGCTGCTTTGGGTACATCTGACACTTCCACCTTCGCTCCATGAAGTTCCTTGAACTTAGCTTTAGGAACCTTAGTGAACGTCGGCGGAGCTTGTACCACATCATTCAAACCCGCCTTCACCTCACCTCTATTCTTCGCAATTATTGCCCAAGGGTCATCATTCCCATCATCTATTTCTCCCACCACCTTCTTCTTTTTCTTCTTATTCTTCCCTGTTTTTCCAGTTGTATTAATTTCCGATTTCCATTGCATTTGTCCTTCTCCATCCATTTCCATGTCATCTTCTTCCCTCAACTCTGCTTCCTCCTGTCGTTTCTCCTGAATCTTTTTCTCTTCTTCCCTCCATTCATCATACATTCGATGCATCTTCTTCTCCGTCTTTGTACGTCCTTGCTTGAGACCTAATGGATCTTTACCACCTTTAGCACTCTTGTGAATTAATCCTCCGACTGGTAATGCTGCATCAACTCTTGCTGAAAACTCCCACATCTTCTCTCCTGGTCTAATCTTCGGAATTTCCATTTCTGGTTCCTTCTTTGGCGTTGGCACATCCTTTTTTTGCGAATCACCATCGTTATTCTTCGCTTTTTTGGCCTTTGGTTTTTTCAATCCATCGTCCAATCCTTTTGGTAATTTCTGTCCGGACTTAAAAGCCATAAGTCTTGCAAACGCTTTAGGTGTATCATCGTCTGCATTGGTATTTCTCTTCCTCTTATTATTTTTGCGTGTGGAATCTAGTTCACTGGTAAAGATTCCATTGGCATTGCTAGATTTGGAAACAGGCAAAGGTTTTGCGATCGTGGTGGGTGGTAAGTTAATACTGTTGAGACATTGTGTTAGGAATAGAATATGATGATTGGCATGAGGGATCATACGTAGATTTGTCCTCCCCACCTTTACGAGTATGTTTATGAGGCATATTTGGTGGTGGATGGGTAATGGTTTAATATTCTTGTCGTGGTCTGAAACTTCATATATTTTCACTTCGGCGCAAAGAGATAGAAGGGCATTAAGTTTTTCTGCTGTAGGTTTTAGGCGGTGAGATATTTTGAGCTTAGCACTGATTTCTCACAATTGGACTCCGTAGACCACCGATGGACGGACTAAAGATTCCGCACAACAAAGTCCATCAATCCCATCATCAAACACAAAATATGAATACAAATCAACGACAAATTAAAGATCAAGTACCTAGTACCTACGTTCATTGCTTTTATCCTATCATGTTATGTGATGACATTCTCCGGTATTGTGTCATACAATTATCATGGAAAATCACAGACAATGCGTCTTGTTTCTGACTTTTGTTCGATGGAAGATCTCGAGGCATTTCTTGACAGTGGCTTATTGCACGTGCTTGATGCATGCGGCGCAGTTTGTTCCTTAATTGTGCCTACAGGTCTAGATTCTTTCGATTGTAGGATGGGGATTGACATATGGGATGAAGACATTGAAAATGTGCTTAATTTATAGGAAAATGCCAGGATACATGACCGAAAACAGAATCAGATTCACCCTCCGTGGGGAACATGTGTTGAGATGCAGATGCAGACTACCAAAGGAAGGATGTGACTGATGACTATCCCAAATGTGTTTTCTCGAATCATTTGATTCAAGTCAATTGCAAGTCAGAATTGAAGCCAAAAGTGCCGCCAACATCGATATTACTTATATCTAAATACTCGCATTTCTGTTTCTACTGTCCATTTTTAAGCCAATAACCCATTAAACATTAGCCATTAGCCCATCTTAGATATTTGACTCCTATTCTCTTCTCTTCTCTTCTCTTCCTCCTCCTCTCCTCCTTCATCCTTTCTTCCCTTGCACCTGGATCATGAAACTTCAGCCATATACCCAGTAGCTCGTATAGCCACCAGAAACCTTTCCAATCGAACGACCAAGTCAATCCTCACCAAATCCTCAACGCCCCAAATCCTACCTGTGTTAGCAACCATAGTAACACAACTAAGCACTCCGGACCTAGAACTGTACCGCCTGTCAGCTCTAACTACGGTTCGAGAATGACAATTGCAAAGAACTAAACAACTTGTTCCTTTCATCGGCCCATCCTGTTTGATCCATCAGGCAAAATTCTCTGCAACAAACGCACGGAACTTGGGTCTGTGTCTCTGGTCCTTGGGCTGGGGCACTTTTGAACCAACACCAAACAGCGATACCCGTCGCATGTCTTTAATACCTCATAGTAGAAGACTGAAATCTCGTCCAAGCAACAAACTACTCACTCCTCAGACTCAAACATAACTGTTTCACTGTGGGTTCGAAAGAAAGGACTTTTTTACCAATAATCTTTACCATTTCTATCGAATCCGGATTGTTTTTTTATAAACCTTGTACTCCCCCAGCTGGAGAAAAAGCATTGGCAGACCCTGCCAAGAGTCTTGGTTCCTCAACTCCATTCGATAAGAAACATCAATACGCCGTAAACATGTCCCACTTACCATCAATTCGTCATGCCACCGGAGCTACTGAAAGATATGATGAAATAACCCAAACGTTAAATGGTTCCCCGCGAGATTTCCATGATGACGATATCCAAGCCTCAATTCACTCACCTAGTTCATCATTTCAATTTCATTCCACAATGGAGAAGCCAAGGAAGCCAGCAGATTCATTGGAATATTCAGATTCGCCGACCCTACAAGATGAATTTGTGTCAAGACCAAGAGAGTCCAGTCAGGCGGGTTATTGGTGGAATAAAATGTTAAAGAGTAGGAGGAAGCAATCTTTCGATGAGATTGAGGGTATCGATACAGATGTTGGTGATGGATTATTAACAGGTTTACATAAACACGCTAAAAGGCACCGAAGAAAGAATGGGATATTCAATTATTTCGTCTTTGGAGGTATAAGTGGTTTCAGTATATTGTGAGTTCTGCAAGTACCGTTTATAATGGAATTTAATACTAATTTGTCTCAGGTCAATTCTTCTTCTCACAAACCTTCTATTCGGTGCTGCAACATTACTTTGGAGTCATGATATCGATGATGTTTTGAAGAATTGGGGAAAGCCTGGAACAGGAACTGAGGGTTTAGCATGGTATCCGACCGATTTCACACGAGATATACGCCCTATTCCATGTCATTCGCACAATGATTATTGGAGACGAGTGCCATTATTTGATGCATTACGAGCTGGATGTACAGGAGTGGAGGCAGATGTATGGCTTTTTGATAATGATTTATACGTTGGACACAACACTGCTTCATTACAACGAAATCGGACCTTTCAATCTCTTTACATCAACCCTTTAGTCGATATCCTCGAACGACAAAATCCAACAACTGATTTTTATAATGGGACCAATCATGGAGTTTTTGATTCAGATGATGAAAAATCTTTGACTCTTTTGGTAGATGTAAAGACTGATGGTGCAGAAACATGGCAATGGGTTCTGGAACAACTCGAACCACTGAGAAAACGTGGATGGCTCTCATATGTCGAGAATGATACGCTACATACACGACCCATTACAGTTGTTGGGACAGGAAATACACCATTTGATGTCCTTACCCAAAATTCAACCTATCGCGATACCTTTTTTGATGCGCCACTTGATATAATGTGGGAACCAAGACATACTACCGAAGAAATGAAAGATTTGCCTGAATTCGATGACGATGCACCAGGTGAAGAATTAGATGAAGATGAAGATGAAGAAAGTGCAGAAGGTCTTGCGCCTGGAAGCTCTGCTTCAGTTCCTCATAAGAAATCAAACAAAGGGCAAGGCATGTCAGGTGTATCATCCAACACAGAGTTTAACTCACTAAACTCATATTACGCATCCGTTTCTTTTAATCAAGCAGTGGGCAAAATATGGAGAGGGAAATTAAATCATAAACAAATGAAGATTATTCGTGGACAAATTAGAGGTGCGCATAAAAGAGGTCTTAAAGCTAGATATTGGGATTTACCCAGTTGGCCTATTGGATTAAGAAATCATGTGTGGGATGTTCTTGTTAAAGAGGGAATGGACTATTTAAATGCAGATGATTTGCGAGCGGCGGCAAAACAAGTTTGGTGAGGGGGTCTAAGCATTTGAATTTGGTTTAAGAGCGGGAAGTTGTGAGAGAGGGTGCGGAGTGCTGCAGGTATTTGAGCTGATGATGATGGGAATGTTTGGAAATAGTAGCCATTGCCATATGAAATTGCAAGGTGCGGTAGAATGGCGTTTTTCTATGGTTATTGGTATTGAGCATTCGGTATTGGCATTTGGTATACCTTGGGGAGCGAATTATATGTTTATATGATCGTACGCAAATAAATAAATCGATTAGAGTAGAAAGAAATAAAAAAATTTTATACTTTATGCGTGGTTTTTGATGTGGAGTTTATTTTTTGGCTTGCTTGCTTGATGGTTATTTGTTGTGTGGTGGTTATCAACGAGGGGAGGGAAGTTGAATAGATTAATGGGGGGAGTTGAAGGGTTGAAGAACAGGAGTTGCTGTTGGATTTAGTGGAGAAGTAAGTAAGTAAGTAAGTAAGTAGTAAGTAAGTAGGTCTTTACCCTGTGAATCTGTGGAGCTGTGATGGATTGGTGTAATATATGGCTGGTTGGTTGAATGGATGGAGGGGATATGATGTGGAGAGAGTAAGTTGGTAGGTCGATGATAGATTTTGGGAAGGATGAAAGATAAGGCAGTAGGTTTGAGGATTTGATGCGAGGAATTTGGATTTTTTGATATTTGTTCTGCGGGTTGCGAGGAGTTGGGGAGAATGATCTGGAAAGCACTGTAATGTTTCATATTTCGTGTAGTAGAAAGCTGAGCTGGGCTGAGCTGGATTCTACGGATACGATATGTAGTCCGCTAATAAATAGCGTGGGTTCTATGAGCTCGCTGGGAAGTTTGCTAGTGAGTGGATGGAGAAGAGAAGAGAAGAGAGAAGGGAATAGGATAGGAGAGGTAGATGAATGGTACTATCTCTGATTTATACGCAGAATTCCTGGCTGAAAAGAAAGAATACTCGATCATCTATTATGAGTTATGAGTTCAGAGTCTATACCACGAAAGTACAATTCCCTTCGAGGGTTGAGGCAAGAGCAAGGTCTCCTTAAAGACAGCCATCATCTCACCAGCCCCATTGCCACCAGGAAACAAGAGAAAAATATATTCATACGTAAGATTACTTGGTAGGTAGGTAGGTAGGTGTATTCACAATTATGCAATCCAATGCAAAGATCCGCATAACCAAACACTCAGCATGATTAGAAAGGGAAAAAAGCAACAGTTATTTGGTAATTCATGTAAGATATTATCTAGCCTATTTTTCTATTTCCAAAAGAGATCTTTTGTTCTGTATGGAAGAAATTGCTATCAAACTGATATCTCCTAGACTCCTAGAGAATCATTTAACCTGATAATTAATATAAGGTTGGGGAATAAGTCCTGTGGGTTTTTGACCCTTGAATTTATGGGTTTTTGGAGAAATAAAATGGAAATGAAAATAAGTCAAAATATAGGAAAAAGGAAAGAGGAAGGTATCTACTGTCTCTCTTTTTCGAGTCTTCAGGGTATGTATTCATATTTCGATATAGCTGTAGGCGAGTGTCTTGTCTGGACATCATCTCTTTTGTTACGGTTCTGTATATTTTTCTAGCTGTTTGGTGTATGGCTGTGTCTGTAATATGAGCCGGTAGCACACTTATTCTGCTGTCTTCGCCATATTTCCCATAGTCGTACTCCGTATGAAGTAATGTAGATCTGATCTGGTAGCAGAGTTTCATCGAAGGAATGGCTATTCTTGTGATGGATATAGCAGCCCGCAAGAACACACCAATATCGTCTTCTGAGATACCAACTTTGTACCTTGGAGATGAACCTCAGTGTAGTATTCTGTTCATGTGCAAATCTATCTCGAATCATGAATTTTGTAGAAAGTCCTCCGCGTCGTGACTTGCTCATGTAAGATTAGTTAAAGTTATCTCTCTGGTTCCATCTTTGACACCAATTACCCACTCTTAAGTGAAATCGCGAGGGTCTCTTCTGTGACCTATATCTTTAGTACATATGCTCTGTGTTTCTTATCATATTTATCTGTCCTGCTTTCCACACTATCTTCAGTCTCATTCGTTAACGTTGAATCTAGGTCGGTGAAAGATTCTGGAATTGGTGGAGCCAACCATGGACGACGATAATTAACTGTATTAGGCTGACTTGGCTATAGTGCTTTGATTCTGCTAGGTATTTCCTGACAGGTTTCCGAAGCTGTTAGTGCTGATGGCATCGTAGCTGGTGTTGAGGTCGAAAGAGACACTCGAGTCGTAATATCTGCTTGAACACCGTAAGATGTTGTGTCACTCGTCTAGATAGACGACAGCTAGATGGGTAATTCTAGATCTTGCTTTGTGCTTTCAAAGTAGCATCTTGCTTAGCTTTCCATGGATAAAAAATCTCCTTCACGACATCCTGATGCAGAAGCTAATTAATTCACAATCCTATCTATATATACAGTACCTACCTACCTACCTAGTTACACGACTCACTCTCCTCCCTCCTCCCTCCGTACCTATAACCTATAACCTATTTATATAAAGCAACAAGCGAGCAGAGTTTTTCTCTCTAATTATACCTATCTAAGGTTATCAACTCAACTCACCTCACCTCACCTCACCTCAATTTAAACCATTAATATAAAACGCCTCCAAATTCCCTTCACTACAATTCTAATTCTAATTCTACAATTCTACAAATCCGGATCCTTTAGGTCTTGATACTTGATACTTGATTCTTGATTCTTCAAGATAGATAAAATTCTCGTATCTGCGGCACTATAAGGTATCATCCAAAAACGAAACAGGTAAAATGATCATGACGAAAGTAGGTCATCTCCTTACCCCATAACAGAGCGAGACGAAGAAGCCACCACGGCAGTGGCCCAGCGGAGCGTCATTAATATCAACTGGTAAGTAGGAACACACACAATCACAGTCACATATCATAATGGGGAACGAATAATTGCTTATGACAAAAAATTTATTATATTGGCACAATGATGATGGCACAATAATGATACAAAAGTCTAGCACGCCAACTTAGACTTAGATATCGCTAACTTCAAGAGGATTCTTTATGTTGATCCTCCAACGCCATACTCCAATGTCCATCCAAGGACTTTTCACCCGTTACACCACCATCCATCATAAAAGATTTGACATGTATTTGTACCTTAGTACAAGATTTCCCAATTACTTGCACCTTAGTAAATTCTCTTAATCCAAACAAGTCTTCCCCAAAAGACTGCCCGAAATTCATTACCGCGTCCGGCTCTGAAATATTCGACGTCTGTGCCTGTTCCTTCATTATAACTTTAATAGCCCAAGACAACGTCATTAAAGATTCCAAACTGGAAGACTTACCACCATATCGAAGATCACAGACATCAGCGCCGTTCATACAATCGCCGGCCATTTGTTGTTTAGACGATAACCGCATTGCCGCCAACGTCGCATCCAGAAGAGGACGCGCCATGTTGGGACTGCAGGCTAAAAGTCTTCTCAATAAACGAATCCGAAGAGTGAACTTCGGGCGCAGATTGTGTGATCTCGTCTTGGTGAATGAAATCCTCGAATAAGGCATCGTTAGCGGCGCCGATGTTGTCGCCAGCCAGATTATCAAAGTTATTACTGAAGGCGTCGGCAATAGGACCGACCCTTTCGTTAAAGAAAGTTTGATCTGCTCCAAGGGAATCAGGATATTCGAGATGGCCGTCAAACCCATCATTTGGATCCAGAGGATATTGGCCAAAACTTGTGTAATTAGAATATTCTGAGCTGAACTCATCCAAGGCCGTTGTACTTTCGGTTGACACTGCAGGTCGCACAACATCGCGGCAGGATGTTGTGTCATACCGAAAGAACTGGCGCGGAATGAGCCATCATCAGTTGATTCCATGGGTGGAGGTGAAACGGATGCTAAATCAACAGTGCCCATTGCTGATTGCATAGTATTGTGAGTATCTCTAATTGGTGTCATCATTGGTTGGATTGAGGAATCTTCTGATTCAAATAATCCTTTCGTGAGAGCGATTGGAGATTTGGCGTGGAAAGTTTCCGAACGATTTGGAGTGGAATTGACGGATGGGGTGGTGAAGGTTGATGTAATGTTTTCACCAGTCATACCGGTGAATTGTTCAAGCTTTCGACGAACTGCTTCATATTTAGATGCCATATTCGCCAATTGTAATTCCAGATCACGATTTCTACGTTCGATTTGTTGTTTTTGTGCTTCGAGAGCTTCGACTTCTTGTCTCTTTCTCTCTCTCGATGTTTGAGCTGCTCGACGATTTCGAAGGACTCTTTCGACTCGACGTTGTTCCTTCTCATCTTCTGTCTTTGCTCGTTTTCTGCGAGATGATTAGCTCATGTTATAGTTTATGGAGCGGCAGATTGTATTAATTACCTAGGAGGTAGGTTGGTCTTGGGTTCAGGTAATTGCTGACCCCAAGACTTTCTCTTCTTTACCGGTTTCTTCTCTGGTGCAGGTGTACCAGCTAAACTTCCACCCATCTCCCCAGTCATGTCATCTCCAAACATGCTATCATCATCGAAAGATTGCGGAGTCAAGGCTTGCATTGGCTCCATACTTTGATGTGGATGAAATAGTGAAGTATATTGTTGACCGGGAGTTGAGGTGAATGATTCAGCGAGAGACTCTGCCGGGGATTGCTCAAACTTCAAATTCGGCGTCGACATCTTGTATGGTATGTATGAATGTTTGTGTTTTTTTTTTTTTTGACGATCTCGACCTCAACCTCGACCTCGACCTCGAGTTGATCTAATTTGATTAGACGTGATGTGATGTGATGTAACTGATTTCTCCGATTCTCAAATGTATCTTTAGTGGATCTAGATGATGGAGAAAAAGAAAGCTACACCCAAGAAATATGCACGATAATTATTGTAAAAGTAGAATAGTGTGGAGGAAGTCTAATGTGGACAAGCCCATAATGGATGAGGACAGATGGCCCACAAGAAAATGAATGAATGAGTCAAAACGATGGGACGAGGATTGAGGATGGCTGCCTTGAGATGGATGCCTGAGATAGATGGCTGATGTCGAAATGCCTTAATTCAATTAACGAATAGAATTAAGAGGATAAAGAAAGAAAAAGGAAGAACAAGGATGTAAGAAGTAAAAAGAAGAGGGAAGATGATTGAAGAATTGAAACTTGTGTGAGGGAAATGGGTAGAGTGGGAAAATAATCTCGAGGTGGGAGATCTGTCCTCTTTATCATTTGAACACGGTGTTCGGTTAAGGGGCAACTACAGCATTCAAGACCACAACATACCACAACGGCGAATGGAAAGGGACCAATCAATAAGAATGATCTTGGACTGGCAAAGGGATGTTCTCAATAAGATCATGGCTTTATCAGAGAACTTCCTCGAACGAGTTTAGGGTCAAACTTCAAATGTCACTAAGTTCACGCCATTTGAATCAATTATTTATTAGCTCCGTACGAGTAACTTTATTTTTATTCTAGAGAGTATCCGCACGCAGAGTGCAGTAGATAGCTTTCCCCTCTTTTTTACTCTTGGTGGGTATCCAGAGTTCCAGAGTTCGAGTTCCAGAATATCATTCATATGGAGTACTGAACATTCGTATCATTTTCCAACACATCTGGGCAAAGTGGAAGAGTGGGCAGAGGCAGAGTCTTTTTTGCTGTACAAAGAAAGTACCTACTTACTGCTACTGACTGACCAAGTCTACCCCATACACTGGCACACAAGTAGTACAAACCCAACTTATTATTAAACACAGCCTCCATTTCCAATTCCGTTGGCCCCAGGTCTGAACTCATTCATAGCTTTGAAAGCTTTGAAAGCTTATGAATGGTTGGTAAGAATACCATGCCAGAAATGTCCCGCCCCCATACCAGCAGCATACGTGAGAATGAAGGGAAGAATTATCTATATTATATGGGAATATGGCAATAATTAGAAAGAAGCTGAAGGGAGGATTTATTTGGGCATTCATTTTATCCTAAAATTAGATGATTACCCAACAATACCTACCACACGATTCCGCCTCTAAGAATTAAGAAGGCTTCCAAGATGGGAGATTTACATAAGCTCTACTTGGATACTGATGGCTATCTACCTAGATGAATACCTGGATGGTAGATACCACTCACTACCTATCTAATACTCACTGACAACCTCATAACCTCGTAAAAGCACCATCATTATCAAGCAATCTCCTCAATTGAATCTATTACGAGCAATTAACCTGTCACCATGATGAAGCTCAAGTGGAGCCTCTCCGTATACTGGGTGGGTTACCAGGAAATGATCTGATAAGTACGAACACCACTACCGTATTACTCGGTACAGTATGAAATATACCCCAAAAAGAACATCATTCGTGAACGGGACCAAACCCCTTTATTTGAACTTACACACGGAGATGTCCCAATGCCATAGCTTGTACCGACCAGCCATCTCATTGAAAGACCTACTCTATCTTTACTAAATTCCCGAACGTTCCAAGCGTTCCAAATCAAAAACCTTCCTCAATTAACTTTTAACCCAAAAAAGATGCAGCACTAATAAATTAACTTGGACGTTAGAGAAATACCAGTACTGTACGAGTAATGATCATTGACCAAACATCTTGCCTTTCATTAGGTATTTTCACAGAACCTATCAGAGATAAACTTTTGATCTGTAACCTTACAAAGTACTGTATCTGTAGACCCAAGCTCCAACAGCCGCGTGGATTTCGGGGTGGAACTCTTTGTTGGAATATCAGGTATCGAATGATTGATATTAAGTTACGTTCATCAAACCGGGGTTTTAGAGACGAAGATGCTAGGTAGAGAGAGTATATTTCTTTCAAGTGGCTTGAACTTTGAAGTTCTCTTAGAGAGAGCTTCAAGGAATAATCAAGATTGATTCGTAAACTTTCCTAGGCGCTTGCCCCTCCTTTGCCGATCAGGGGTTGAGAATTCCTGTATGTAAGAGATTTGACTGATGAGGGGGAAGAGGAGACGTGCGAGGGTATCAATGCGAAACGTATAAACTCCATAGAAATGGAATTGTTCGAGAACTTTGATTGTTTCGCGAGATATCGTCGGTACCGGTAGTTAGGTGTAGGTTGTAACATCTTAAATGAATGTTATATACCGAGAGGGATACTTTGTGTGAGGGTATACTTTGGGGTAGTTGAAACTTTTAAAAGTCAATTTATTATACGTTGTATCCTCTGTATATCCCTCAAGGTACGGAGCACTGGTCGGGATATAATTTCTCTTATCTTGGCGTTAATACACTGAGTACTGAGTACGGTAGGTACTGACTCTAGCATAGCAATCTTTCAGCCCCTACAGCCTTCGGTCTCGGTTCTCACTCAGCATTTCTACGCCACATCAGCACACATTAATAAACCTTACACCATGGTTAATTATAAACCGTCTTACATAGGTACTCTGTACATTTACTCCCTGCTTCCCTCCCTCAAAAATGCATTCCTTCATCCTTCCATTCCATCTTCCTCACATAAGAAATACAACATAATTGTGAATATCTAGTAACCTTCGGCTTTCTTCCATGTACTTCTCCGTTACCGGAATTTCTAGCCTAGATATTGATTTATTATGGTGTTGGTGCTACAAGCAATCAATCATACAATACTATCAATTATCCGCCGGGGCTTCCTCCCCCATACAACTCGAATCTCATCCATCTATCTGTACGGAGTAATAAGATCATCATACATTTATTGTATTAGCATACAACGAATCAATCCGAAATACCCAATATCCAATCCCATCCAATCCAATCCAATGCAACCCCCGAATAAAAATCACACTACCCCAACTCTTCCAAAACACCGTTCCACCCAGACCAGTCAGCGCAACCCCCCCCAAACATTATCCACCAAACCTCGTGATATTCATGACATGGCACATTTTTTCCTCCGGCCCTTCTCCCCATCTTCACGGCGCGCATACTCTATACACTTACCTACTCCGTACATCAAAGTTCATACACTTCATTATGCAGAAAGTCGGAGGAAAGAGCAGCTGATGATCTTTTCTTTCTTCCATCTTCCGCTTTATTATGTGAGAGGCTGGATTTTATCCTTCATGCTTTGGAGCGGCACGTACGAATACCGCGAGTGGCAAATAGAGATAGATAGATGGGATGCAAGATTATCAGTCCTCCCTCACATGAATAAAATCTTCGGATGAGTATCCTGAAAAAGAAGTTGTGAGTTTTTTTATATACAGAACTCCGTACGGTGTGTATTTGTCCTTGCATGGTACTTGCATAAGTTAATGTACACTCTTCTCTTTCATTCCATTTCATTCCCTTCCTCTCTCTCCCTTTCTATCTAGAATCAGTTCCAGAGTAGTATTAGAGTGGCGTGTGTGGCATATTTATATGATGTTACATTGAAAAATCAATCTTTAGATCCTCCGTACAGTCAGATCATCATGGATCTAAGAGGAGTATTTTCCTTACCAAGTTAATTGTACTATGCTTAGTATTTACAAGCCAGTTCGAATATCTAACTTCTAAGTTCCAAGTCATGATCAGACCTCCAGATCAAACAGAAGAAGAGAATCTAGATTCTCAAGATACTCCCTCGCGCAAACACGGCATGAATACCTAGTATCTCCAACATCTAACCCTCAACCCACAATCCCCAATCCCAAACCAAAAAAGTACATCACCACACATCCATCTCCTTCGCCACCATAGAGTTATATCTTCAATCCATTCTATGTTGTTACTGTATGAAACAAACTCACCCCATTTCAGTATAGATTACCACTTCAGTGCGCAAACGCAAAGACGCAAGACACGCAACAGCATGAAATCTGGATCAAAGATCAGCTTGGATTGCGCAAGACGATGATATGATGTTTGAAACATTTTGAAACATTTGGGAACCGTACGTACTACTGTGCTACTACTACTACTACTACTACTACTACTACTGCATTGTACATTGTGGCACGGAGGTTGAGTTTGGGGGGGATAAAGTTACCCCTCTGGTATTTTTTTCTCTTTTTGATCTTTGATATTTAGAATTGAAATGTTAAGCTCAGAAAATAAAATACCTATCAAAAATTCCCCTTTCCTTCCCCTATCCTATCCTATCCTGTTAGAATACGAAACATTCACCCACCAGCGCCACCACTAAGGAATACCCCACTCACAAATGCAATGCACAACTCCACCTCCCGTTTCCCCCCCTTCATCAAAAGAATTTCTAGGCCGGTCTTCTCATCATATCATATCATACCTACTTGACCGCTTACCCGGCAATACGTACATAACGGTACCATCCAGTACCGGAATACCGTACGGAGTAGATTCCCTCCACTCCACCAACCAATTCAACTCCTCCAACCAACCAATGCAACTCCTCCCGCCCCGCTATCCATACACGGAGTACATCTTTCCCATTCGAGATTTCCATCGAGGATACCATTATTATTACGACGGAATAATAGGACGGGACGCGTTTGAACTTTGAAGGAAAAATTTACCTTGCACCGCACGGCAGTAGGCTTCACCGCTTAAGATTCTATTCACATAGGTATGATGTTGTAGCCACTAGTGTACGTAGTAGACTCCACTTCTCTTGCCCCTCTGCCCCTCCAGTCCGCCGTCCATCTAGTCGATACTGTACGTATTAGGAACGTTGTGGAGTGTGTACTAGCCTACTAGGTATCTGTGATTAAGGGTATGTAGTATGTACTATGTACTTAGAAACGGCTTAACAAGTGCCAGGATAATGAATGACCTAGCTATCGGTTGGGTTCTTGAAGAAATCAACGGCTATTAATTAGGCCTTCTATCTATATTAGTATGTTATACTCACCGTATATCATACATATTATATCGCATCACATCACATCACGCCTCCTCGGTCTATCTATCCATTGTCCAATAATTTATATAATGTTGCTCGACATATACATACATACATACATGCATACATACATACAAAGACCCCACAAACACCACTGGTGCACCAAGTCAGGTCAATCCCATCCCATCCCCTTACTCGAGTAATGCCACAAGCGAAAACAAAAGCATTAATGCACGCGCTCCACACTTTCTAGGCCCTAGGGAGAACGCAATGGGGAATGATGGTACCACGTCAATTGTTTAGACGCGGGTCATGTATGTATAGATGTATAGATGTATGACTTGTCAATTGTGCTGTTTGGTAGCCTTGCTAGCTGCTTGTTTGTGCATTTGTGTATGTATGTGTATGTATGTACTATGTATGTATGGTGTGTATGGTGTGTAGTCGTGATGTATATTCCAGTACAGTAGATATGTTATGTACAGAGTAATATTTTCATGTACGGTACGGAGTTTGTACGTAGTGAAATTTGAGGGGGTCGTGTGGTTTGTTGATAGTAGAAGTAGGTTTTTGTATGGGTTGAGTCTTGTAATAGTAATTTTAAGCCTTATTTCGGGAATTGGAGGAATAGATATTCTTGAGGGGAGTTTTGGGAGATATTAATTAATGCGGTATAGTGAATGTGCTTTGAGGGTATATTGAAATATTGAATACTAGGTATATTGTGCCAGTTATATAAGCACGTGAGTTAAGTTAACATTTGAATATATATTATACAGTATTTACCACTACTGTACATAGGTAGGTATCATACATACTTACTCACTAATTTTCTTATTTATATATATATATACCTCTCTCTCTCATTTCCCCTCACGACTTTTCACTACTCTAAACTTTGCAGTCTAGATTATCCTTTTAAGTAGGATTTCGAACAAGTGTTCTAGATCAAATATTAGGTTACTCGTAGTTGGATATCGATTTGAATGAGAAAATCACATCTCGTCTTCTAATATGAGAGTATATAAGATTACATGGCCAGTAATCGAAAACACAACTGGGCTTTTTGCTTTTGATGATGAATTTCTTGTAAGACTTGTAAGAGATACTTTTGATGGGTATTTATCTAGGTACTGAATGATAGCCTGCTAGATGATAGTCTTGCTGTAGTGGTATGGTATCAGTAGGACTAAAGTATTAGTAAAAACACTTAGGTGATCTTTCTCGTATGCAGTTACCTTTCTTTTTGTATTTTTATTTTTTTTTGCGTTTTGTAGAGATTCGATGGGATTTAAATCGTTAATAGCTATAGGTAATTATTACTGATAGAAAGGATTTCTCTCTCTCATTCCATCCTGCTACAAATAGATAACGGGTGTGTGATTATCGACTAGGAATTGGCTTCATAATATATTGTGATATATCGTATCTGAGATTGTATTTTTCTTCATTCTGTTTTCTTGCAGTTGGGAGTTTTTTTGTTAAGTGGTAGATTCTTTGGTTCTAAATGAGATTTTGGTATGTTGGATTTGATTTGATTTGATTTGATTTGATTTGATTTGATTTGATTTGATTTGATTTGATTTGATTTGATTTGATTTGATTTGATTTGATTTGATAATGCTGAGTTTGGTAGTTGTGCGGGGTTTGAAGAGGGGCAAGATGGGTTGAACTTGGAGTAGGATGATGAATGAGGGGTAAAGGATAGAATGAGTGAGGGGTTCGTTTAGCTATTTCGATACTTTTGTATTGGTACTGTATACTGTATACCTACATGTTGGTTATCTATATAATTCACCCCCTAACGAGGTAATTTGAGCTTCCTTTTAAATTTCT